GCTATATGTTTGGTGCGCTCGTAGAACATGGCATTTTTGGCTAACAGAATTGCAGATTGATTGTCGATTTGGAGAGTTATTGGGGGAGTCTCTGAGAAGTTTAGTTCTCCGAGTAGGGTCCTCAACCAAACAGCCTCCTTTGTAGCAGCGGTGGTGGCCATATATTCTGCTTCGGTACTGAAGAGTGCGACCGAACTTTGCTTCTTCGAACTCCAACTAACCGCTCCTCCAGATATGGAAAATATATATCCGGTTATTGAACGCCGGTCATTGACATCTGAGGCCCAGTCTGCATCGACGAAAGCATGTAAGTCCGTTTCTGACTTTCCTTGATATGTCAAACATTTATTGATGGTGCTGCATAGATACTGATAGACACGCTGTAAGACCTATGGTCTTTGCGGCCTCGTATAGGCCTTTTTGTGTTGTCCCTCTGGTTCTAATTGCAATATGTGCTACCATTGGTATAGTGCACATATCTTATATCGTCAGCCGACGGCCGCGGCGTGTGCGTGCACTTTGGCTAGCGTCGGCTTCTCTTTGGATCCGTCGCACGTCCTCCGTCCATCCTATCCATATCCTCCACTGGTTCATCAGTGCGTATATTACTTGATTCCCACTAGACTAACAACATTTCCCAAGCTATTCCATTTATATTTTCATTAAATGTGTCATGGACCCTACTTACATACATCTCGCTACCTACTCGGCTCCGAATATCGCTTATGCGCACATACATATATTGGATACTTAGAATTTTTATGTACCTTCTCTCTCCCATCAGAATTTATCACCCGTTTACATGCAAAAGTTATAAGCCTTGACAAAAAAAAAAGTCTAAAATCTTCGGTACTCTTTCGCGCACGCACTCCTATCGGTGGCAATTGCCTTGCACTCGCGTATCCATAATATTCAACACTCCCGGCGCTCATCATCGCTCGGCTCCGCCCTCGCGTCTTCAATACCTCCTCGCAATTCACCTTCGACTAAACAGTGCATTTTCGCGTTTTTTCACATCGCAGCCGCTCGCGCTCGTGTCGCATCACATTGCATCTTATTGGCGCTTCGCCTAAGCATATATTGCATCGCATTATTGGCAGCTCGCTCGCGCTCGCATCGGCTTCGGGTTTCAGGTATTCTTTTAGTCTCAGTTACCCTTTTTAGTTTATACGTTTCCCCTCACACTTTCAACTAGAGGAATCATTCTCAGTAGCAATCCCCTCGGGCCGAATCTATACTCGCATCCAGAGGTCTATTTGAGTTTTTACCCCACTTCCCTCTTTCTTTCCATTTCACCCCTTCTCATCTAGCTATCATTCCTCGCACACAACACTTTAGGGCAGTCCAGTGTGCTTGTCCAGGGGTGGCTGCAAATCTGCTTAGGGCACCTACTGCGAACACAATGTCTGGACGCGTTGCAAGCATCGCATACATCAGTGCACCTAGGGCACTTTGGTAAGTCTTTACATCGACTTCGGCTTCATTCACTTTGATGAGCTTGGTATTAGGGTCCAATGGCGTATTAACAGGACAACTGGATCCCATGTTGAAATGCTCAAGTATCGATTTGATGTAGCGGCTCTGCGGCAGCTTGATCGTGCGCTTATCATGGTCCCGAATGATTTCCATCCCCAAGATCCAGTGCGCTTCTCCTAAATCAGTAAGCTCATACTCTGCTGCTAACCGTTTCTTCAGCTCATCTATCATCTTTTTTTTTTCTTGTCCTTCAACAGTATCATTTTATCATCGACATAGACAGTGACTATAATGATGGTGCCGTTCTCGAACTTGTAGAAGACCGAATGATCTGCATTGCTGCGCATGAAGCCGAGAGATTCAAAGATGGTACGTAGTCTTTTGTACCATGCTTTGTGTGCCTGCTTAAGACCATATAGGGCGCGTTTAAGCTTCCAAACTTGACTTGATGAGTCACGAAAACCAGGAGGGAGCTGCAGGTAAATCTCCTCATCCAATTCACCGTTTAGAAAAGCTGACTTGACATCCATCTGATGTATATCTAGATCATACTTGGCTGCAAGGGCAAGAAGGGCTCGAATCGTTGAGAACTTTGTGATGGGGGCAAAAGTGTCCGTGTAATCGACTCCTTGAACCTGTGTGAAACCTTTTGTGACGAGTCTGGCCTTATAGCGTTCAATTTCGCCATGCGGGCCGCACTTAATTTTATAGACCCATTTCGAGTCTACAACCTTGCGGTCACGAGGGCATTCGACTACCTCGTATAGGCCAATCTTCTTGAAGATCTTTAATTCTTCGGTCATCGGCGTATACCATAGATCTGCGTCTGGATGGTTCATTGCTTCATTGAACATCCCAGGCTTACCATCACAAGCTACTGTAGCCTTGTAAGCCTCCCCATGCATCTCTGCAGTCTCAATCTCGCCCACTGCCTCAGGTATGTCCTGTATAACCAGTTCCTCTCTTTGAAGTGTTGACTTCTCATAGGCATTTATGAAGTAGCAAGGATCATCGTCTCGCATAGGTGTGTGTCGTGCACGTGAACTACGTCGTACTTCGGGTGGAGGAGCTGGGCGAGGATATGGAGCAGGGGGTCCTATTTGTCGAGTAGCTGAAGGGTTTGGTGGTTGAATGCGGTTTGTCTCTAATGCACGCGTGATGTTCGGTGCTGACACTTCCTTGTTCTGGTCTTCAGGCTCGAACTTGACCATGCTTAGAGGAGCTGGCTGTTCATCGATATCATCATCCTCATGGGGAGATTTGGTAGCTGGATTTCCCACTTCCGGTGTGTCGTCGTCTGATAATTCTTCTATAATTGTTGACTTATGAGGAGCTTCCAGGCCTTGCAGGTCGGCTGTGTTGTGCTTTGCAGTGGTGACCTGTTTCTCTGGGAGAAATGTGTCTATCTTGACACAACTAGGCCCTTGTGGATCTCCTTCATCAAAGACGACGTCTCATGACTCGAGGATGTGGCCAGTTGGATGATGCAGGCATACATAGGCCTTTCGATGTTCAGCATACCCAAGGCTGACACATTCGAGCGATTTTGCACCAAGCTTCTGGCGTTTTTCATCAGGTATGTGTACATGGGCTTTGCACCCAAATACCCGAAGGTGGGATACTGATGGCTTGTTCCCAGTGAACACTTCATGTGGTGTAACGTCTCCGTCTATCGCACGAGTTGGTACCCGGTTCAATATGTGCGCCAAATATAGGATTGCGTCACCCCAATATGTGTTTGGCAGTCCGGCGTCTCGTAGCATGCTGTGTGCCATTTCGACTAAGGTCCGATTCATCCGCTCTGTGACACCATTCTCTTGTGGTGTGTATGTGTTTGTTTTCTCATGATGGATGCCTTTTGACTCGAGATAGGATGCAAATTGTTTTGATCCATATTCCCCCCCACCATCACTACGAAAATAGTTGGGGCATTCTCCAGTCTTGGTCTCTGCACATTCAAAGTATGCTTTGGTGAGTGCAAATGTTTCATCCTTGGTCTTCACGAGTTTAACCATGAGATGGTGTGAACAGGCATCTATGAATGTAATGAAGTATTGGAAGCCGGTGCGCGACACTGTTTCCATGGGTCCGCATACGTCAGAGTATGTGCGATACAAGACTCCTGGGCTTTCGACATTGGATTTCGTTGGGATTAGGTTGCGGTGTTGCTTGCCTTCAAGGCAAGGCTGACACACTACCTTATTGTGAGTACTTGAACCCTTTATATTTATCCCATTGACCATATCTTTTGAAATTAACTTAGATATGGAGTTGAAATTTACATGCCCAAGTCGTCAATGCCATGTGTCAAGAGTCGCGCTTGAATGGAGCATGCGTAAGGTGAGAACTGTTATGGGGACATCTGGATCGAGTGGAGCTGATGGTCCTTGCAGAATGTATGCAAGTGCTTTCTCGCAGGGCTTTACTCGAAGGACGTATAGCGAGTTTTGCTTATGTGCGAGAGCGATGGTCTTTCCCTTTGCAAGGATCTTGCACTGGGAACCATTGAAAGTAACTTCGAGACCTTGTTTTGTGAGGTGGGGAACTGACAGAAGGTTCGCATTTAGATCTGGTATGTGGTAGACTTCCTGCAGGATGGAGTGCATGTACTCATTTTCACCAATATAGATGTTTGTTTCGACATGTCCGATGCCTATCGCATCTATCGAGTGTCCATCTCTGATGATGACTTGTTCGGGTGGGTTCAGCATGCGATATTTGATGAAAATTTCCCACTGACACATCATGTTTGCAGATGCGCCAGAGTCTACTATCCAATCATCTTTGGATGCGGTTGTAGAGTGCCCATTTGCCATGAATAATTGAAGCGGTGTGTCATGGTCTGATGAGATGCGTGCGACCTTTGCAGATAGGTCCGTTTTCCCTTTGTCTTTATCCGCCTGCTTCCCACTCTTTGCAGCATCTTCAGCAGCTTTCTTCTTTCAACAGTCCTTCTCCTCATGTCCAGGAATTTGGCAGTATGTGCACTTTTCCTTTGACTTCTTCTTGTCCTTGTCCTTGCACTTAGGCTTATTCTTTTGTGCAGGTCCCTTCATGACGAGCGCAGACTGGCTATTGCTAGCCTGTCATTGCCTTTCCTCCACCAGCACTTGGGCTATGACGGTTTCAGTGGTGAGTTTGTCACTACTGGACATTAGGATCATTCAAAGAGTAGCATAGGATGAGGGTAGGGATATCACCATCGCAACTGCAACCAGTGAATCTTCGAGTGGCTGACCAAGCGAGGACAGTATGAATGCCTTCTGTCGCATGGTGTTGAGCTGCGTTTCCATGGGAGATTCATCCGTCAAGGTACTTCGAAACAATTCGCCAATGAGTTGAGCAATTTTTTGCTTTCCTCTACCCTCGTATCGCTCACAGAGCTTCTTCCAGGCATCTTTAGCTATTGGCATGTAGAGTATCCCATTCAAGGGGTCATCTTTCAGCGTAAGAGCTATCTGAGCTCGTGCTTCCTTGTTCTTTGCTAACCATTCCTGGTGTTGAACAGGGTGCATTATGCTATCTGGCATCTTTTCACTTCCTTCGACAATTGCCCATAGTCCTCGAAGGTCAAGGATTAACTCAACATGGTACTTCCATAGTTGGAAATTTGAACTGTCGTTTTTGAGTGACAGAATGTCATATAGGCAATTGGAGGCTTGTGCAGTTCTGCTTGTTGATGTAGAGCTGGATGATATGGAAGGGATGCTCGAGGACGAAGGAGTTGCAGCTGGTTGGGCTGCAGACACTGAGGGTGTGTTCAACATTTAATTATTGTTTCTGTTGACGTTCCTGTGTGGTACTGGATTGATTCTAAGCACCAGGGCTCATAACCTTTTGTTTGAGGACACGTCGGATGAAAGAAAAAGATAGAATGAGTTCTATAATGAAAGTAAGTAAGTACTCAGTCTCAAGAGTCGAAGACTAAGAGACTTCTAGCTGACCTATAACGAAAGTAAGTAAGTACTAGAATAGTAGCCAGTATCGTAGTAGAGAATTTAAATGAATGATATCATACCTCAGTCTCAAGAGTCGAAGACTGAGGCCCAGTGAGAACTGGTTGTGCTCGGATAGGCCTGGAAATGCTAGCAGTGACTTTCCCGTTTTGTAATATGTTGCATTGTGTTATTTTCGTATCGATACACCAACACCTTCGCATTGTGTCACATTTCTTTGCACTTTTGCATCACAATTTGTAAAGTACGAACTTCGTATCGCACAATCGCAACTTTGTAACGCACAATCGCAAATTGCAGCGCTTGCAACACTCGAACTTCGCTTCACAACGTGTAAATCTTGTATTGCAAAGCAGTAACTTATTGGATCCTTGTAGACCTGCCAAGTTCTGGTATATATCTAATATCTCGTTCAATGTACTGATGATGATCTTACTGCAGCCTAGCATGCTTCCGAGTTCGAGTTCTCAGCTAACCGAGGCCACTTCTCGATATCTCTGTGTCTGCAGCAGGTATAACCATGGTCTGCCACACGAAGTCTTGTCTGCAACATTGTATCGTCATTTGGATGAAGCTACGACCAAGGAGGAGAAGCAGTGAATTCGCTCTGCAAAGGTGCTTGGTGGCATAGCACTTACCCTAAGCAATCCCCCAATTCCACAGTTCGATGCTACCGATGCGTCTCTTTCTCATAGCGCTCGTCGCACGGAAACACTCCGAGCCCTTGTACAACGTGCACGAGAGAGAGAAGGCTCTAATAATAGGGCTGGGCATTGCAAGCATGCAAAACTTGCATTGAGTGACGATGACAACATGGTACACATCTTCTTTCAATGCTGCGACTTGCAACCGTGACTTATAATTATATTTGAATGGTGATTACCCTGTGCTCCCTCAGGAAACTGAGCATGATGATCTTGTTCCATGCAACAACATAGTTCTGCACGATGACCCAGTCCCTGACAACGATCCGCCTCCTGAATGCATCCCCCCAGTTCCGCACAATGACCCAGTTCCCGACAATGATCTGCCTCCTGAACGCATCCCCCCAGTTCCGCACAATGACCCAGTCCCTGACAACAATCTGCCTCCTGAACGCATCCCCCCAGTCCCGCACGATGACCCAGTCTCTGACAACGATCCGCCTCCTGAATGCATCCCTCCAGTTCCATGCGAAGACCCAGTCCCTGACAACGATCCGCCTCCTGAATGCATCCCCCCACTCCCATACCGTTATACAATTGAGTGCCAAAAGCAGCCTATAATTAATGTGGAGGAACTTGCGGAGACTGCTGTTCTCGAGAAAATCAAGGATACGATGGAATATATTCTTTTGCTGAAAAATGCCACCGTAGAAGATCATATTGCAAAACTTAGTGACGACACACTTGCTCAACTTTGTAATCCACCAAATGAGCCTATCCTTATTGCAAGTCCGGGTACATGACAGAGTATTGTGATGAGCATTTCTCGCAAGAATCATATGACCGTATACGCAGGGCTACTATGCAAAACTTTGTGGGAGCAGAGGGTGCTGATGAGATTCTGAGCTTCTACAATGTCAAAAAGCTCATTGCGCAATACACAGGTGTCGAGCCAATAGTGCATGACATGTGTCTGCAGTTGTGTCTCACATTTACTGGTCCACATGCATATGAGGATCGCTGTCCCATGTGTGGGACATCTCACTGGGATCAGGCGAAGATACATGCGAGCAATGGACAGGTAAAGGTTGCTGCCCAGACATTCACTACTATACCCTTAGGCCCGCAACTCCAGGCATTGTACCGGGATCCGGAGAGTGCATGCAGCATGCATTACCTCTACGAGCGCACGCAGGAGATCCTTGCAGAGTTCTGAGAAACTGGAACCATCCCCATCATTGATGATATTGCCATGGGATATGACTATTTCGGGGCTGTTGTTGATGGCAATATTAAGGAAAACGATATAGTCCTCATGGTATTACTGGATGGCGCCCAACTCTACAAAAGCAAGCGATCAGATTGCTGGATGTACGTATGGGTCATTCTCAACCTATCGCCTGATAAGCGCTATCGAAAACTGCATGTACACCCAGGTGGGTTTATACTGGGGCCAAACAAACCAAAAAACCTCGACTCCTTCCTTGCTGTTGGGTTCCATCACCTTGCTGCTCTTCAGAATGAAGGGCTCACTGTGTGGGATGCATCTTGCGAACTTGTCTTCAGATCAGATCTTTACCTCATCTTTACAACCGCTGACGGACCTGGCCTTGTTTACTGGGATTGAATGGTTGGACACAGTGGCAAGAATGGCTGCCGCATCTACTGTGAAGTAAGTGGAAGACGTAAAACTCGGGGGACACATTATTACCCTACACTTCTGAAGCCACGAGATCGGTGTGCACCAGGCAGTGCGCATGATGATGTCAACATCTTGACTCTCCCTCTCGGTGGTTCTGCCAACTACGCTGACAACTTGTATCGACTTGTATCCTCTCCAAGCCAGTGACAATTGGACATTCGGAAGACCAAGACAGGTCTCACAAAACCTCCTCTCATTTTAGGCCTCTCCCCATCTCGTTGTCTCGGCATTCCCTTTTGCATGACCACCGATTCTATGCATCTAGCTGGCAATCTCAGTGACCTGCTTCTCTCACTCTGGTGTGGGACAATGGATTGCAGTACCACTGATGATATAGGTACATGGGATTGGGCAGTACTTCGAGATGATGATACATGGCGTGCGCACAGAGATGCAGTTGAGAAAGCAGGTCTGTATCTGCCCGGCTCATTTCATCGCAAACCATGCAATATTGCAGAGAAACTCAACACTAGCTACAAAACTTGGGAATTCCAAGTTTACATGTTCGGTCTCGCACCAGCACTACTCTATGGTACCCTCCCTGAAAAGTACTGGACTAATTACTGCAAGCTCATACCCGGATTTCAGCTCATGTGCCAGCATCAAATCACTTCGCAAGATATCGCAGATGCCTACCAACTTCTATGTACTTGGGAGCATGAGTTCGAGTTACTGTACTACCAGCTCAAAGAAGATCGTCTCCAGATGGTGTGCCCCTGCATACATCAAACCTCTCATCTTGTCTCGGAGACGATCCAAAAAGGCCCTCCCATATGTTATGCTCAATGGACAATGGAGCACACAATCGGGAATCTCGGTCAAGAAATATGCCAGCCATCACAGCCTTATGCAAATTTGTCGCAAGAGGGAGTACAACGCTGCAGAGTTAACACACTTCTATCTGCGATGCCAGAACTCGATGATCCTCCAAAAGGACTTCCACCAGGCGCTGTTGATTTAGGTGATGGGTATATACTGTTGCGCAAACAAGACAGGTACCTGTTATTCCCTGCAGTCGGAGATGTTGCAGAAGCCATACAAGATTTCCTGGGGCATGGTCGCATACTTCCTTGCATCAAACGTTGGGCGCGGCTACTCTTACCAAATGGACAGGTAGCATGCTCTGCCTGGAGGGAGACCCTTAAGTCACTCGAGCAAACTCGCATGTCACGTAATGTCAAAGTTAATTTTTCAAACTAGATCATGTATGTATTTATCTGACTCGTTTTAGTTCAAGCACAAAGGCCAGTATCGCTTTGGTGAAGTCTTGTACTTCACTAGACTTGCTGTTGAAGCGGACGCTGACCATGATGACGATTGGCAATTTGCTGATGTCGCCGTCATTCGAATGTACTCTCTACCAGATGACGATCTGCTCCGCCTCTCCTCACACACTGTCGCATCTTGCACTCACCTTGACACCATTTCTATTGTCGATGTCAAACAAATCATCAGTGTCGTTGCGATGGTTCCACACAGGCCAACATTGCCTTCTGGAGTTACAGAGGATCGTTTCTTCATGGTAGAGAAGCCTGGCTTAGATGTATCAAACCTTGGAGTTCCTTACGGTCATGGTGCAGGTGAAGACAATGATGACAATGACATAGACAATGAAGGCATTGAATAAATATATTGTACAATTGGTGCTGTTGTACAGTGCATCGAATACAGTGACTGCAATAAAATAGAGACTGACGTGCAAAGAAAGAATCAGATGCCTGCATCAAAAAATGTATCAAAACTGACAAGCAAATGAAAGGATCGTATATCTGCATCAAAGAAGTCGGAGTCGCTTCCTACCCCAGTCCTCGATATCCTCAAATAACTTCTTTCTTTTTGCTACCTCAGTAGCAATGTCCAACACATCGAACGGCCGGACTGTGTAGCGCCATGGTGCAAATGAATCTTTCGGATCCTCATTTGGGTTCCCACAGCGTCTTGTGAGCACATTGCATGGAGATACCTCGCAGCTGCTTCAACAATATGTGAGTGAGAAAAATATAAAAAGATGTAGAGTGCTACCATGTTGGAAGCGATGCTACACCATCAAGTTCCTCTGCTTCGGTGTCCTCTGTCTTGATCTCGTTGTTGATGACCTCAACTGAGTCCTCCGTCTTAATATCCATGGTGGTGATTACTGGCTCTGTCTTCATTGTGTCGTCCATCCTCACTATGTCATCTGCCTCGATGATATCAACAATAGTATCAAGACTATTGCTGATACGGTGATACCCATGTTAGTACATAGAGTTAATGTCAGGACAAACTTACACATCATATTGAATGAAGCGGGTTATGTCTTGAAAGCGAAGGACAACTCTCTGAGGTAGTTATATCAGAAACACGTCTGTATCTACCACATGAAAACTCACTTTTTGGCCTGGAGACGCTATGTCAAGATCAAATGAATATGTATCCCAGATGGGAGAAATGCCATCAATATCAAGGAGTATAACATCCTCAAGCATATTGACCGCAGAAGACACATTGACGGTGCTAGAGTTTGCCATTATGTTTCAGTCAGTCTAGGCAGGAAGTGTTTACGCGACTTATGCGACTCGAGGATTTCCAGAAATTTCCATTGGAGTTGTGATACTAGACACAGATGTTTGGCTTACTCCCCTGGGAGTAAGCCAAATGTGTCTAGATATCACAACTCCAATGGAAATTTCTGGAAATCCTCGAGTCGCATAAGTCACATAAACACTTCCTGCCTCCATCCAACATGTTCTCTGGCAGCGATTCAGGCTCTCACGTTTTTAATGGCATGTCTTTCCTTAATACTGCCCAAAAATCGACTCCTAGGTATCAGAATTCACAATGGGGAGGGGACTTTACTCCTTCCCCACTCAGGTCTTTGGGTTCTGCATTACCTGAAAGTCTGGATCTATTCAATGACACATCTCTGGCGGCAATGCAACAGGTCACGCAGCCACCCTGCAACCCATTTCAACAAGTGAGTACATGTTTATTGATTTCTTACCTTCTTTCAGGGCGCATATATTTACAAAAATCAGCAACTCCAATCATTGCATGATCACTGCAAAACCTTGGAGATGCAGATAGTCAAGATCACTGCTGAGCACGACACAATACTGTATGTAGCTATATATATATCACTGATTTTGCATTCACAAAATAATTAGGTCGAGTTTCCAACTGCTTGCAGGCGCTGTACAGCTTCATGATGCAGATCCCTTCAAGTTTAACACAACCTTCAATTCACCATCACAAGGAGATCGGCTGAACTCTGAGACACATACCGACATCAAATTCTGGAACCCATCTGAATATCTTACATGGCTCGATTCACATGAGGCACAACTTGGCAACCGTGGTAAACTCCCTTACCTTGAGCAGGAGGATGGTGACCCAGTGCAAGATGACGAAATCGATGTGATACGCAAAACTTTGCGGGGTGCATTTTCTGAACTCAACAACCGGGGACTCGCTCCAATGCGTTGGGGTAACCTGACTGCATCAGATACTGATTTGATGAATAGTATAATGGAGAAGACCCACCCTATCTTCAGGCTGGCCAACAATGGCTGGAAGCTGCATTACCTCACCATGTCATCCTATCCTTCTTGGCGACAAAATCACATCGAGAATGGTGCGAGCGATAACAGCAAGAAACACAAGCATTCAATGTCTTCCATCAAGTCAGAGGTCAATGAGAAAAAAATCAAGAGTATGTTTCATGCTTATCCTATCAATGTTACTAATTGTTTGGCAGTCAATTCTTCAGTGTCTCCGATCATAGCAGACCCAGAATTACCTGCAGCCAGTGCTTCGACATCTCCTGCCACTGAATCGTCTGGATTGGACCCCATAGAACCTATCTTGGAATTGCCTGCAGCTGGTCCTTTGACATCTCCTGCCGTAGAATTGCCTGGATCAGACTCCACGGAACCTGTCTGATTAGAGCTACCTACAGCTGGTCCTTCGATATCTCTTGCCATGGAATCACCTGAGTTGGACCCCAATGAATCTGTTTCAGACTCGGCTACAGCTGCCAGTGCTTCGCCTTTGTCTCTCTTGCAACAACTCGATCATGCATCCGAATTTTCTCCATGTGCCGGCACATCCCTGCCTTTGCAACCACCTGTCTCGAATTTTCCCCCAGTTGCTCCGTCTCCACTTGCACAGCACTCAACTTTAGAAGTTCCTGCTGTCGTTCTATCTCCACCACAGCAGCCTGTTATAACACCAACACCTCAGATCAAGATTGTGAATCCGTTGTACGTCAAAATATGGTATCCTGTTCACTGCTGATATTGCTTAACAGAACTGCTCTTGCTCTTGCTGCATCTCAAATCATTTTGCCTCCACCGCCACCTGCTAATCCATCACTCAAGTCTCCACCTGACACCACCATCACTGTGAAGAAAGGTAAGAACAGTGGGACCAAGAGCAGTACCAAGGGCAAGATGTGTCCTAGCCAAACCAAAAACGGACGGTGAGTTTTTTTTTCAATTCGGACTATATTGTTCACTATCTAGTACCACAGGAACCTGTGCACCTTACGTTGGTTAAAACAAACCAAGTTGAATGGCACGACCGAGGAGTTCAATGCCTACTACAACTCCCTCACGTCGACGCAATGCACGGTACAGCTCTATACTACATAGGCAACTGCATGGGTATGGGTAACCCGCACGGGTCACGGGTAAGGGTACACCTGGGGTACGGGTGGGGGTTACCTTTCACGGCACCCGTACCCTTACCCATACCCATGCGCGGGTTAGACCATCCAAACATGATATATTGCTACGTAATTGACAACTCTGTACTAGTACCTATGCCAAAACAAAACCTTAAAGAAGCCACAACTGTCAAAAAATCTTCCATCCCATCGTCCTAAGCAAACCTGTCCCAGACTCATACCTCACATCCAACCATGCAACCAAATATATTCACCGCAGCTGCAAAACGGGTCACAAAGCTCACGGACAAGGCCAAAGCGGCACTTGAAGAGAGACTTGAAGCTACTGGCCCGTCAAGGAAGTGAAAGATTGATGCGAAGGGCGCAAGTGCAGTCTCCAACAACTTGAAGAAGGCAAAACAAAACCTTTCCACTGATACATCCAAAGATAGACCCGGCTGTTGGTACATCCAAAGATAGGCCAGTCGCTGAGGCCTCTTCATCTCCACCTGATGTGGGAATAGCGGCAGAGCCTCGTAAAATTTGCTGTGCCATTGTTCGCACTGAGGAAGAGGAAGAAGCATTGTATGACAATGCCATTGTCATTGACGATGAGAGCGAAAAAAGCGGAAGCGAGGCTGGTAATGAGGCTTCAAGTCCAGAGAGTGCGGAGGATGAGCGAAGTATGTTCCTGCTATAAAAATATAGCACCACTAATTAGCAACAGAGAGGCTCATGAAAGAATGGGTATCACCTGTTTATGCATTCTTTGACCCAACACCCCACATCACTGAAGTTGGTGGTCGATGTGCACACGAATTCAAATGCCGTGCAAAGGGGTGTAAGGCCACAATCCGACGGTTCTTAGACAAAAAGGATGCCCGATCGACAGGGAACATGCACAAACATGTCAAATCTTGTTGGGTGGAAGATACGCTCAATGCTGCTGACAACGCCAAAGATGCGAATGAAGTGCGAACAAAAATCGTCGGAGGTATCCTAAAGAATGGGTCAATCATGGCATCCTTTGAATGTAAGGGAAAGGGAAAGTAACTTACTCGCACCGTCAACACACGCATGGAGAAACAAGGTGAGGTCTTGATGTTGTCGTTGACACCTAAACCTAAAGTGTCTTCTTCCAGGTCAGAAATAGTGCGTTGGGTATCAGAGAGTCTGCGTCTGTTCGAGATAGTCAAGGATTGAGGATTTCAGTTGTTGATGAAGACTGGAAGGCCAGAGTATTACATACCTTCGCCATCCACAATTTCTCGTGATGTTCGACTTGTGTTCGCTCGGACTCGTCAATGAGTTGCTAAAATGTTACAAGTTAGTTCAAATCATGCACTTTGAATTATCACATGAAAAAACCTCACCAGGAATATGATGGCAAGATAAATTTTACAACGGACGCTTGGAGTTCACCAAACCATCGAGCGTTCGTTGCATTCTCGGTGCACCTCGAGCACAATGGCATACCGCTAAGCCTACCATTAAATATCATTGAAGTAGCTAAGGTGAGAAACTTACCTTGATAGATCCACAGCGGCTAATACTATGTTAGTCACACACAGGCGAAGAGCTGGCAAACATGTTTGCAAAGATGCTAGAGGAATTTGGCATTTCAGACAAGGTAAATTTCAAAAGAGACATGATGACTTACAAATTGATATTGTGCGGGCCAGATTTTGAGCATGACATGCGATAACGCCTCCAACAACAATGTCATGGTTGAGAACCTTGCAGCTGAGGTACCAGCATTTGGGGGGGCCGCAAGCCATACACGGTGTTTTCTTCATATGGTAAACCTCGTAGCAAAATCACTCATTCGCGAGTTTGATGTGTTACAGTCATCCGTAACACCTACACCAGCCCCCGCTCTGCTAGACTCCCAACGCGGCGGCACGCCGCCTGTTACGCTGACCGTCGGTCGGCATGTGCAAACTAGGATAGGTCTTCTCAGCGACGGCTCGAGTGAGCCTACTGAAGCTGAGGGTGGTTCTCGGCTTGACGGAACGTCAAGGGTTCCTCCGGTGATCTCGGTAAGACGGCACTCGTCGAGATACAGGGCTAGTGGATACGGCTAAGAAGCGGGGAGCGACTTAGAAGTGCAGTCTCAGACAGCTAAGCTTAGGAAGCTTAGTTGAACAAGTTCTGGGATGAACCTAGTAGATTAAAGTAAAGTCTAAGTACAATAATCTGTCTACTTATATGTGCTACATGTAAGTGTTCAAGCTCAGTCTGTAATCTATAGTATATCTAGGATCTATGATAACAAGACATGAGGGTCAGATAAGGTACATGAGGCTTAACCTCTGATCAAGCATGCAGCGCCAAGTGTGACTGCACATAAGTACATGAGGCGCCAAGGGCGCTCCGGATCTTCATGAAGCGACATGTGGTATACATGTGCTGATCTAGGGTGACCATGAGGCGTACAGCCTCCATGGATCAGGTACAAGGCCGTCTAGGCCAGGGGCGGGTCACAGCGCCAGGGGCGGCGTCACAGCGGTCCAGACCGCTGTCTTTCTAAGTGCAGGCGGCGTACCACCGCGTCGGGAGTCTAGCAGAGCGGGGGCTGGCGTAGGCGGAGCTGAGGCTCCTGTAGGTGTTACAGATGCCTGTAACACCGCCTACACTTAGAAAGACAGCGGTCTGGACCACAGTGACACCACCCCTGGCCTAGACGGCCTTGTACCTGATCCATGGAGGCTGTACGCCTCATGGTCACCCTAGATCAGCGCATGTATACCTCATGGCGCCTCATGTAGATGCGCAGTCGCACTTGGCGCTGCATGCTTGATCAGAGGTTAAGCCTCATGTACCTTATCTGAACCTCATGTCTTGTTATCATAGATCCTAGATATACTATAGATTACAGACTGAGCTTGAACACTTACATGTAGCACATATAAGTAGACAGATTATTGTACTTAGACTTTACTTTAATCTACTTGGTTCTATCCTGAAACTTGTTTAACTAAGCCTCCCAGCTTAGTTGTCTAGACTGCACTTCTAAGTTGCTCCCGCATCTTAGCCGTATCCGCTAGCCCTGTATCTCGACGAGCGCCGTCTTACCGAGATAACTGGAGGAACCCTTGACGTTCCGTCAAGCTGAGAACCACCCTTAGCTTCATAAGGTTCACTCGAACCGTCGCTAAGAAGACCTATCCAAGTTCGCACACGCCGACCAACGGTCAGCGTAACATGATGTAACCAAGAAAGAGGCCCACAAAGCCTTGGATAAGCCTGAGAATAGTGATGACAGAACAGAGCTCGAGGTATTGAGTGAGGGGATTGATGGGGAGGATGCAGTGATGATCGCTGAATATGGTGTTGGGGATAATGACGGTAGGGACAATGATGACGGTTGGGTTGATAAAGTTGAAGAGCTCGATCCTGATGAGCGACCCACGCTGGAAAAGAGTATTCTTCCTGTGAAGTTAGCCCTTGTGAAGGTAAGAACAAAAAAAACCAACATGCACCTTCAAGTCTAATATCTCTTCCAGCTCCGTAGACTCGCATACAAAGTTATACATTTGACAACTATAGTCCTCCCAGCGTGGCATAAGATTCTTGAAGACTTGCAGGCGCCCATCACTCTCATGCCACATGATGTTTCGACCCGCTGGAACTCCACATTCGATATGTTGGATTATGTGATTGAGCATCGGGAGGCTGTTGATGTTGTGACTCAACATCGAGATCTCGGTCTGCAGAAGTTTGAGCTGAATGATGAGGAGTGGGCAATTGCCGAACAGCTGAGGGGTGTTCTCAAGGTAAGTACCAGATACATCCGAACAACACATTCACTAATTTTGGTCTATGTAGATTCTAAAGGACGCAATGCCCGCTCGACACCTAATCTAGCCACCGTGATTCCGGCCATGGATCTCATTGACGAAAAGCTCACTACATACTCCCGCAACAGACAATATCACTCTTCAATCCGCTGTAGCACTTGGATCAGCGTTGGGCTCGTATCCTGCCAAACTCATAGGTATTCCACATACACATTCCTCGACACTCCATTTTATCTTCCGAGAGTTCCGTGCGTTCGTCCGAGTCATCCGAAGGTCATCCGTCCGTTTCCGAGGCTTGTATACAGTTCCGATCCTCCGTACCATGTCCCGTCCGTGTCCGTTTGACTTCACTGGTGCGTTCTTCACTTGGTTATCTGTTATTGATTATGTCTAGGGGCACATATGTTGTTGGCCCGTTGGTTATACACGCCTTGCGTCTTATTACATGCATATCTCTGTAGCAGCTCACCTTGAGTCTTATTACATTTCGGATATCTTATCTCACTACTGGTTTCGCCTACACAGTTTCCAAACTTTCACGCTGTAGGATATAATCTGCCTCGCTAGCTACTGGCACTTCACTTCACTTTCCCTGCTACGAGCCATAGTTAGTAGAGTCACTTTCGGATAGTCGTACTTCGCACAATCGACCTTTTGTTCATTCGGAACAATTGTTTGGCCTGACCGCTGCCATTTCGCATCTCGCTGTCTCAAAGTACTTTCGATAGGCTTTGTTTAGTTATACTTCGCGAGTCTTATACTTTGACACACCGTCATACTTCTCTCGGAACTTTTGCTGTTCATCGGAAGCTCTTCAGACGCTTCGTGCAACCTCGGACCTTCATTTCTTGACGTCGGACCATCTTCGGACCACTTTCGGACCTCTTCGGACGCATCCTCGGAACATTGAGCGTGCTCTTGGTAAACATTCCTTTCTCTCATCCTCGATCTTAACAAGATATCCCTTGCTTTATATCAAGGAGCATTTCTATAGGCAGTCTCTTTGGGACAAACATCTCACTCGCACTCTGAGTCTTAAGGTAACACTTTTGTAGCGCCCACATAGAATCTACTCTTTACACCGCTCAGCTGTTCAGCTGGCAAAGGTAACACTTAACCGGTACTATCAACTTACAGATCAATCCGAAGTCTATCGCATTGCCATAGGTTTGTTCTTTTTTGTCTCTGTTCTGACGGCTCACATTCATACATATATAGTATTACACCCACGTCACAAGCTCATATACTTCAGGAACACTCGATGGGAGGACGACTGGGTCACGACAGCTGAAAAGCTTGTCCATGACCGATTTACTCTCTATTCAGCCTTGGATGCCAACCTTCAAGACAACGACTTGGACATGGAGACTTTAGAGGAGGAATCACATAAGGTACGTCTTTTATTTAACTGTGACTACTGACTACTGATTCTATTCTAGATGAAAAACATATTCGATGACATGCCCGCCCTTGCTCCGCCAAAATCGACTGATCTCCGTGATGAGCTCGAGCGCTATCTCACCTCTGACATTGAAAATGTTCCTGATGCACTTTCATGGTGGCACGAACGTCGTACCACCTACCCTCATCTATCATGGATGGCATTGGACTACCTTACCATTCCTGGTGAGTTTTTTTTTAAATTGAACTCGCATATACTACAGCTAATAACGTCGACAGCCACATCAGTCGACGTTGAACGACTATTCAGCTGAGGACAGCTCTTGCTCTCACATGTTCGCTCACACTTATCTGCACAATCGACACGCGCACTGCTGTGCCTCAGTTTTTGGAGCAAACTCAACCTGGTCAAGACCAATGACGTTCTCAACGTCAGTTCTTTGCCTGACGTCGAAGGTGATGAAGAGGAGCTCGAGGATGGGTGGGATGATATTATCATTGAGTAGCTATTGTACACTGTGTCATAAATTTACCATATAGTATCTATGACCCGCGGGTACACCCTTGATGGGTTGTACCCCGGGTCCTTACTTCGCTACCCACTGCGCAACCCATACCCTTGCTGCAGGTGTGGGTTTACCTCGGGGTGCGGGTGTGGGTTGACCTGCCGACACCCGGGGGTTCACCCGTGCAGATCCCTAATACTACATCTTCGAACATTGACCGACACGTCCTCCAGGAATATGACCAAGACGCAGCGAATTTGGTGGCAAGCAACGCATGGAACAAGACTGTGTGCGATGGCGAGATACACTAGTCCTCTCGACAGGATTTGGCATTGTGTTTTGGACTGCTTTCGTGCTGTTTTCTGGCTGTTTTTGTACTGTTATTATTCCCGCATTCACATACCAATAATATCATATTTGAGCATAATACAGCATACACGAAGGGAGGCAATTAAGCGAGTCGTAATATGCGCTAATGTGCTGGATCATGAAAACGACACAAGGGAGCACGAGGGGAACTGCCCCCGCATATAAAAAATCTGCTATTTTTCTCATCATAGGCTACATTGTGCTGGACTGTGGCTTTCTTCGCGACGAGTTCTACTAACATACCTCAACACATACTGGCCTCTCCCAGCACAACCAGTTCTCACTGGGACTGAGGTGCGAAGCAGTAATAAAAAACTTCTAATGAGCGTGTAGCGTATTATGTAAGCGAGTGTTGTTTGTTGTTGTCCGAATCAGAGTTATCACTTATCTATAATCTTTCAACAGTGGGCGATCCTCTCGAAGGACATTCTGACTGGGTTCGGTCTGTCGCAGTGTCACCGGATGCAAAATTTGTAGTGTCTGGTTCAGATGATACAACTATCCGTGTGTGGGATATTGGGACTGGCAAGACATTGGGCACCCCTCTCCAAGGACACACCGGCTATGTTCGCTCTGTCGCGATCTCACGAAATGGGCACCACATTGTGTCCGGTTCAAATGACAAGACGATCCGGGTGTGGGATATGAAGACTGGCCGGGGAGTGGGTCCCGCTTTTCAAGGGCACACCGGACGCGTTTATTCTATCGCAATCTCACCCGACGGCAAGCGCATTGTGTCTGGTTCAGAAGACAAAACCATCCGGGTCTGGGATATGGAATTTTTCAACCAGCCCCACTCGCCTGCAGTGTACTTTTCACCTAACCCATCCTACGCTCTCCATTCCGCCTCCTCCTTTCTCCAGGATTCCTCAACCCCACTCTCTGTTGTTGCGAACGAGGATGGATGGGTTGTAGGTCCTGACGGACGTCTTCTTCTCTGGATCCCACTCAATCTTCACCCGGTGATGTATGCCCCAGGAAACACACTGGTCATACATGATCGCGCCTCGCAGTTCGATTTGAGTCGTCTTGCGCATGGCACCTCTTGGCACATGTGTCGGGAACAGGAGGCTGCTTTGTCTTCATTATGATACCCTCGTATGTTGCGCACACACTACACATGATTCGTACCACACTTGTTTGTCGTCAGGGCTTATTCAGTCCACTTCGTCACGTACAAGTCAATTTTCGCTAATACACAATGTTTTCCATGATACTCAGATTTGTACTAAAGCACAGCCGTACATTATATTGTTTCCATTAGCTTCTACATGCATCGCAAATCACACCCCGTCTCTCTCTGAATCTTCCTGTGATCGGGAACACAAACGATCGGTCAGTTTGATGCTGGTGCTGCATATGGAGGGATGAGTGGTGTAAGAGAGGCTGGTGGCGAGTCGAGAAGATGGATTAGGATGCTCCATGTGAAGAGGGAGATGTCAGATGTAGAGGTGTATTCGTCGATTGAGATTTGTTCGGCTGTAGGGGAGGTAAATAGGTCTGTACGCACGACAGCCTGCAGAAGAAAATAGTTAGAAAACGATATATATAGGACTTTGGGCTCCAGAAACAACTGGGTTGGATCGTGGATGGCAGAGGCGAGGACTGGTACTAGCAATCTAGTGGTGCGCGCGTGCACTTGGAGTTTTTGCTGTGGGATCGGTAATATGACGGGACAGGACAGACCTTGAGACCAGATGCGCCCATGAACAACCCTTCAATGCTCTATGGGATATAGCCCATCGTAGTCCATAGCCATGGTCGGGGTGCGTACAGTTAGCCTGTCAGGACCTGAGCAGTAGCGAAACCTCGTAACTTCATTCACAGGCTAACGACTCATATGTTAGTTGAAAAGGGGATGCAATGAAACGAATCTAGTCAGATGCGGGGAATATTTAGCGGGCGAGCTGAAGTTCCAGCTGCATATCATGGACGCGAGGGCGATTCCGAAGCCTGCAAGAAGTTCATTGCTTGGTAACAAGACAATTTGAAGACGCCTGCAGCATGATTCATTAGAGACGATGTGGGACGATAAATCAAAGTCTTATGCAAGACGCTGCGAAAGAATGTCAGTATCAATACATGTGAGGTCGTAGGGCGCACCTGTACATCCACCAAACTCTACATCCTCTACAAGTACGACGCATATATGATGGCAGTACTTATTGTCCTTGTGCAAGTGCAGTACTGATCTCGTCAGTACCTTTGTTCGTGCAAAGAAAATCGGGTTACTTACCTGACAGCATCCCGCAGGACGCGACAAAAATTCATCTTGTGTCTCACGGCTGCTGCGATTCCTCACATTGCAATGATATTCCTGGTGTCCTGAGATATACCCGTATTATCATATTATGTGGAGGAGCCGAGAAGATGTGATGGAGGAAGGGCGAATGTGGGTAACGGGTTGACGGTAGTGGTGCTCGTTGTCGTCTGCCAGGTCGGACGGAACTGGTTTTAGGTCACTGGATGAGTTATTAATATGGTTTTGGTGGGGAAGGAGACTTACCAGTGCGGTAGCGTAGACAACGGACGAGAATATTTGGGATGAGGTCGAGAAGAAATGAGGTCGGTACACCATAGTGGATCGATCTTTGGCTACGGTAGGGCCTGAAAAAGGCACATGAAAGTTAGTAGGACCGCTCAGGAATGATACCTGTGACTATCCACAGCCGCGGCCGTACACCAAGTAACTCCCATCTCGAGAGAATACCATACAGTCACTGTGTGTCGTTCTCCCGAGAAAGAATAACTTGTGATCGATTCCTGTTGGTGAATTGGATGGCTGACACCGGCTTATAGGACCTTGCCCGTGCCGCGACTGTACGACGTTTCCTACTAGTAGTAAGCTCTGCACGCTAGCTAGTAAATGATCCTGTATGATAGTAATCAACAAATTGTTGGGTGTGAACGTTAACTTTGACATTATGCCGTGCGAATCTAGGTTGCACCGGTCTTTCTGACTCACAGACAGCACTGACCTGCACAATATTTGGTGCCGGCTGCTGCGAGTCCTAGTCATCGACAACCAGCTCGCCGGGCTCGAGTCGTGTCCCAAATGATGTCCACCAAACGCCACGTGCTTACCATTTTGATGTTCGTAGTAATGTCTCACCGCCAGCTTGCACGCGTGGCTTCTCTGGTCGAGTTCCTATGTCGTTCGTCCCTGGGCAAGCACAGCTTCCAAGGGCTTGTTAACTTCAGCCCGTCGCAGTCAAGTCGCAGTAAGTTATTTCCTCACAGTATTTGATATACAATTGACGCGTATTATTGACAACTCATGGCAGTTATGTTATGCACGACAACCTCTGTGTGCAAAGAGTCGCATTTATTTTAGGACACGATCACTCTTTCCCGATTTCGGAATACGGGCGCGCCCATACGGCTAACCTGTATAATTTGCAAAAGCTCCAATGCTAAGCTGCGACACCGGTTCGACTCAGTAGGTATCCTAGTTGGCTATTTTTCCTCCCTGATAATTAACAAACCTAATAGACGTTCCTCTTGGGTTCATCGTACGCTACGGGATCTTCGCCCTCCCTACTAGTCGGTATGGTACGTTAATTACCTCACTATTTGTCCAACATACAATGTACCTTTAATGAACCAAACGCGTCCTCAACAATCCAGTACCGTACAGCTAACTCATCGTATGCCACGGCCTCGGCTGACTCCAGTGCACACATGTCAATGGTGCCGATTGCTCTCTGGTTATCTGCTCTCAACTATTTGCCTATAGCGTTCACCCAACATCAGTGATTTTATGTCCGCTCAGCGCTCAGGGACAAGCCATCCTTTGCAAGATAGCTTGCAAGATATTCCTACTTGAGCGTGGACGATCACTTAGTCCCCTGCTTCTATATTAATCCGACGAGGCGCTTATGATTCAAATTGCATCGCGTCTACAACCCTCGTGGTTCTATATTTATACCGATGACATTAATTATAGCCTCCGTTTTCAAATTAACTGCACCTGCGGAATCACAGCAACACCTGATAGCGGTCCAGAATGTCGCAGACCTGTCGCCTGAGCTCATATGATTCAACAACCTTCGATGGATAATGTTCATGTGCCTATACAGGCACTTGATAGCTCCAAGCTACGTCACCGCAATGCGGTCCAATGAATCAAATTACAACAATAACAACATACTGTCGGATTGCAGTATGTTTTTAGCTGCGGAGGTATAATTAGATTCGACTCATCAGTTTGTCGGGTGTTCATTCTACACAGTAACAGGTGATATGGCGCGGGAGGAAGGAGCTACTCACGCTCACGAAAATTGTTGTAAGCCAACCTTTTACTTACAGAGCTCATTCAAATCTGACGTTACTTACTGGGCAACTACTATGCAACGTAGCTGCGGCACCAAAGATCTCCGCTTATGAACAGATCCATCTCCATACCAGTCTTGAACTCGGCAACTGTCAAATTTATCGCTACAGCGCCTGGGACCAAGTCTTGAAGATCTGTGGTCTGGGCTATTTTGACAATTCTGCCGAGGCTTGATGTAAATGTAAATGTTCTACTACCGGTATCGCTTGGCTAGTGATTTGATCATATTGCATTATACAAGGCGGTCCGTCGTGTCCTGCATGCCCAAAATAGGTCTGAAGGCGGTAACTGTAACTGACATGACAGCATAGTAGCTGCCTCTCGAACCATCAATGCTTATTCAGGTGATCCGTCGCAACGCCCCCGGCCAACGACATCCACAAAACGTGCGCGTATCGCTGACGGAGAGTGCCTTTGACAGGTAATTAAAATTTCCATTCTACAGAGTCCGTAGTGCATTCGAGTTGATCGGTGGAGACCTATAGCTGGGAACCTGCTGGGACGTACCAGCACAGGGGATTACTGCCTCATCGTCGATTATTTTGATCCACGAATCGGAAGATATGTAGACCAACTCTCTGATCTAGAGGGCGATACCAGGAGCACTACTTAAGCTGAAGGATTCAATGTATTTCGCTCATCATCCTCCTCCCATTGACTCGAGTTTCGAGTCATGTTCCAACTCCATGTACTCATATGCCTTCTGGCATGCCTCCAGGGTCGTGCCGTGACTATTGGCCCAGTTTCTGACCTCGTCATTGCAAATGGCATTGTATCCCCAGACGGGTTCACCAGATCGTCAGTGTTTACTTAATTTTTGACCCATTTGATTACTGACTTCGTTGCAGGGGGGTTCTTGCCGGTGGCACTCATCCCGGGCCCACTATTGTAGCTCAGAAGGTAGCATCTACTTTGCATGCGCAAACTCTTGGTTGACCTCACGTATATTTAGGGAGATACGTTCAAGATCAACGTCACGAACCAATTGACTAACGATTCGATGCTAACGAGTACCAGTATTGTGAGTACCAGCCGATAAATGCATATAGGAGCTTACGATGATGTCTGTTGCAAACAGCACTGGCATGGACTATTCCAGCACCATAGCAACCAAATGGACGGCGTGTCATTTGTTACTCAATGTCCGATCGCTCCGGGACACTCTTTTTTGTATGACTTCAATGCTAGCGACCAAGTGGGAACGTACTGGTACCACTCTCATTATGGAGTACGTACTTCGATTTATTCATGATGTCGGAAACTGATTCCAATTTAGGAGCAATACTGCGATGGTCTACGAGGACCGCTGATCATCTACAATCCCAACGACCCATACAGTTCATTGTATGATATTGATGACGGTGAGTGCGTTCGACGAAACGGAGTCGCATTTCTGACATTTGAGTAAAGAATCTAGCATCATCACATTGATGGACTGGTAAGAAAAGAAAAGGCTGATACATTTTTTTGTTATTGATTCGGCTTGCTTTGTAGGTATAACTTGCCATCGCCTCTAGTGCCGAGACAAGTAACTGCCGACTCGGTGCTTATCAACGGTGTCGGGCGTTATGATGGAGGGCCAGATGTGCCTTTCGCTGTCATCGACGTTCAGCCAGGAAAGCGATATCGTTTCCGCTTGCTGAACATGGCGTGCAAGCCCAACTACATTTTCTCGATTGACAGCCATAATCTTACCATCATCGAAGTCGATGGTCAATACGTCGAGCCGCTCGTAGTGGACTCTATCCAGATCTATGCTGCGCAACGATACTCCTTCATTCTCGAGACAAACCAGCCTGTCGACAATTATTGGGTGCATGCCGATCCCGATGCGGGTACAAATGCCACGGCTATCTTTCGATATGCAGGCGCTCCCGACGCAGACCCCCAGAACATGACAAACTCGGACTGGGATGCTCTGAATGAGACTAGCCTACACCCCCTAACTCCGCCTTCGCCTCGTTTACTGCAGGAACCAGACGTCAAACTTGACCTTGTTCTTGGGAAAAATCTGTCCAATTTCAACTTCCTCATCAATAACGTCCAGTACACTTCTCCTAGTATCCCTGTCCTACTACAGTTACTGAGCGGTGCTATGACGGCTGCGGATCTTGCGCCCAACGGCTCCGTATACACTCTGCCACGGAATAAGGTTATCGAACTTACGTTCAATCCCGATAATTCCCCTGGCGGTCCTGTGAGTCCATTTCAAAATGACATGTATATCCTTGGCTGACATGTCTTTATAGCATCCATTCCATCTTCATGGGGTACGTCTTGGCATGTCATCTACATACACACAATGGACTAATAATGATATGGTATGTAGCACAGTTTCGCTGTTATCAGAAGTGCTGGAAGCACCGCTTATAACTACGTCGACCCCGTCATGCGCGATACAGTGACCACTGGCAACACTGGTGATCGTGTGACTATCCGGTTCATCACCGACAACCCTGGACCTTGGCTGTTGCATTGGTAAGTGTTATATCCACGTCTGTTTAGCTGGTAATGACTTTTTTTCTTTGTGAAGCCATATCGATTGGCATCTAGCCGCGTGAGTTGCTCCTTTCACTGAGCCTGGACTTGAATTAATCATTGGATCCGTAGCGGACTGGCTATAGTATTCGCAGAGGCTCCTGAAGATGTGGCGGCTTCGCAACCTCTCAATAGTAAGCAACAATCACTGTGAACTAGACCGGGTCTGACGATCAGCGTTAGATGCTTCGAAGCAGCTCTGTCCGATATACAATAGCATTCCTCAGCAAAATTTCCCTCTCCCTCCCGTAGATTGATATTCTTGGTTTATATACCCCCGTTTTTTCTGGAGCACATCAAACAGGACATTTTTTCAAATACGATTTGTAGTAATAGGTTGGACACGATAGATAGTAAATAGCCCTCATTCTTAATGCAGAAGTGATGTCCGAGCTGATCGACAGCCATTCGTGCCGTTCGTCCGTGTCATCAACACACAATGTGATTTAGCCATAAATACATGCACCCTGTAACTTAAGTTCCGCATGGAGAGAGCTTAATTAAGATGCGTCCAACCGCACCGCATAGAGGTACCAGAATGACATCATTTGCTTTTGATCGTCTATACTTGCAAATCTGAAAGGGAACGGCCGCGAAGGAAAGGGGTCGCGGGTTACTATGTCAAATTGAAGGTGTACACGGCACCTGAGGTGAGTCAACGTTCCTGCATAATGATATACTGCGGTCCTCAGCTAGTGCTTTTCTGATCGGCGAGACGTAGGCGTAATCACTAAATATATAAGCGATCTATCTTTTTTAGTACGTGTGGGTGGTTTTGACGGTACGGGCAGTCTGCCACTCGGGTGGAGTGACATGCAAAGGGAAGACGAAGGCCCAAAGTATATATGGAACTGGAATGGGCCTGCTGTGTCGAATGGTATGTTTAATCCGTTAATCATTGCGGCTATTCCTGCTGCGTTGAGAGTGGGAGTCGGCATTGGAGTGTGAGTGTAGGAAACTAAAGACAACAATCCGTGACGCACAAGACGGTGCTACGACCGGTCCAATTGCAAGTTTCTCGTTATCCCAATCAATGTTTCCTATTTGACACCTATAAATACTCAATATTCAGTCTTGACGCGTGCGACGTGTTTTTAACATCCTGTTCTACTTCGTGTGTTAAAATTGAGTGTCATTTGAGAGATGGCATCCATATGTGTGTTTGTTGGCGGAGTGGATGATAGACGACGGTACGAGTGCAAATCATTCCAAGGATATGAGATTTACACTTGAAGTGCTCCGTAGGCATAAAAGCGATCCCGTATGGTGACGCAAATGATGCGCGCCAGGTTGTTCCACGGCTGTCATTTAAAGGCGCTGCACCTAGGACCTAGACGGCGAAAAAAAGTAGTTGTGTATGCGAGACTCCTGTGAGAACAAGAAATGATAGTATGTGTTCAGAACTGAAGCTGAAGTGCTGCCGACTTCAAGAATATTAATTACCCACGGGCCACGATCAATGTCAACCATCCCATAATAGTGTTGATCACGATGGACAGAGTCAAGTTTGCCTGCCAGTGGCACCCTCTCACATAATGGGTAGCTTACCATGGCGCCAGGCTCGCCTAGTCCTATTCACCATCACCATCACCTTCGCCCTGTTCATCTTTCTCCGTTCATCAATCTTAACCTTCCGGTCTTCCGCGTTCTCTCAATCCGATTCATACAAGCTCGACCATCGCTCCGAAATCCTTTCCAAATGTGCCTACACACACGCAAAACCCGGGCCTCCACCCCATTTCCATGCACGGACACAGAGTGACCGCTACGCAGAGAACACGAAACCTGTTCTCGTGCGCAACGCTACTATCTGGACAGCCGCCAATGATGGGCACGAAGTCCTCGCTGGCGACCTGCTCATGCACCGTGGTGTTGTGAAAGTCATCGGTGATGTTCCTCTTTCAATGATTCAACAGCTCGAGTCGGAGAACGTGAACTTGGAGATTGTCGATGCTCATGGAGCATGGGTGACCCCTGGTATAGTAGATTTGCACTCCCATATTGGGGTCGGCAGTGCGCCCGAGCTAGATGGTGAGTTTATTTGCGATCCGCATAGAAATAGGATCTCATGTCCTGCAGGTACAGATGATACGAACTCTTACAAGGCCCCCATCTTGCCCTGGCTGCGCAGTATCGATGCCCTGAACACCCACGACGCGTCATACGAACTCGCTATGGCTGGAGGTGTCACCACCGCGCAAATTCTCCCTGGTAGCGCGGACAATATCGGTCAGCGTTGTTTCACTCTATACTTTGTCTGAATACTGATCTTAAACTAGGCGGCCAGGCATTTATCATGAAATTGCGCCCCACAGCTGACCGGTCACCTTCTTCCATGCTCCTTGAGCCTCCTTACACCCTCAATGGTTCTCACTTTGACCGCTCTCTCACGCCCCGCTGGCGACACATGAAGTATGTTGTCTTGCTTTTACTTCCTCGTTCTTTTCTTATATGTATTCCATTCACTTCTAACAATATCTAACAGACATGCATGCGGTATGTTCTGACGAATATTATCATAATCCTTGCTCACTCGCTCATAAGGTGAAAACCCCTCCAGTGCTTATGACATAACTCGCCTTGACTCTGCGTGGAACTTTCGCGCTGCTTACGACCATGCCAGAAAGCTGCGTGGTATTCAAGACGACTTCTGCGCCAAAGCAGAGTCTGGTTCCTGGGACGATGTCGCAGGAAAGACATTTCCTGAAGACTTGCAATGGGAATCCCTTGTCGATGTGCTCCGAGGACGCGTGAAGCTTTCCGTACATTGTTATGAGGCAGTTGATCTCGACGGAATCGTCCGCGTGCGTCCAAATCCTCTTAGAATAATTCTTTTCTAATTTATATTTGCATGTGGCTGTTCAATGTATGGGCATGAACAGCTTACGAACGAGTTCGAGTTCCCAGTAGCATCGTTTCATCATGCTGGAGAAACGTACCTCGTTCCGGAGTTGTTGAAGAAGACCTGGGTGAGTCTTTCCTCTTCCCGTTCTCAACTTCCTCTAATGACATTCATTTCCACTAGGGTGGCACACCTGCCATAGCACTCTTTGCATCCAACTTCCGGTACGTATATATGGATTGACTCCTGCAAATCTGCTGATGCAGTTGATCTTGCATGAAGGAAGAAACGCGAGGCATATCGAGGATCAGAGTTCGCACCGCGCGTGCTGGCGGAGCATGGAATCAATGTTGTTATGAAGGTAAATGTCGCCTTGAGTACTCCTTCACCTCACTTCCTTCTTTATTTATGCTGCGTCAACGTGCTCTTCTATACATGTACTCGTGTCTGGAGCCACGCAGCTCGCATGTATATTTTACATAATGATCATGAATTATTCATCTTTCTCTCCATCCTTAACTTCACTCACTTCCATCATGAAACTTCGATCTCACTTCAACTAACTCGTACTTGCAGTCTGACCACCCAGTTGTCAACTCCCGCTACCTCCTGCACGAAGCCGCCCAAGCGCACTATTATGGCCTTGACCCCGCACTCGCGCTCCTCTCCGTTACGTATACTCCTGCTACTGCCATGGGGATGGGCCATCGCATTGGGATGCTGAAAGCAGGTATGTAAGGCTACTATATAAGTTCAATGAAGAATTTAAGTTTCGGTTGAATTGGAGGATATGATGCCGGTACGTCATGCTCGCAGTCTGAATATATGAAAGATCTGTCTAATTGTCCAATCGGAACTAGATGTTGTGATTTGGTCCTCCCACCCTCTTTCACTTGCTGCAACGCCCACTCAGGTCTACATTGATGGTATCCCTCAGCTCTCCCTTCCCGGCCGCCAAGTTGCCAAGGGACCTGCCACGTCCCCACGCACGCCCGATTTCGATTCTGAGAAGGTGGCAGCTGTCGCGCATGAGGGCATTCCCCCTCTTGAACCTCGGAGCGTAAAAGGGGCGTTATTCGTGAATGTCTCGGGGCTTTATATGAGAGGTGGGGGCTCGACTGGGGTTGTACATATTTCTGAGAAGGTGGGATCGGTGGGCGTGGAAGATGGCCGAGTGGTGTGTGTTGGTCAATGCTCGGATTTTGCAGAAGGGGCCGTCGATATCGTGGACCTTGAAGGCGGCACGATCATACCTGGACTGACGAGCTTTGGTACGCCGCTGGGGCTCGTGGAGATTAGGCTAGAGCCAAGCACGAATGATGGAAGCGTTTATAACCTCCTCGACGAGGATCTTCCTGCCGTGTTGGGTGATGAGGTTGTGAGAGCCCAGGATGGGCTCATGTTTGGTGGCCAGAATTTGTTGTATGTGCACTTTCCATTCTTCACATCCAATCCGTCTGCTCTTATCCTGAATTTACCTCTTGGATTGCAGACTAGCCTATCGCGGAGGCGTTACAACGGCCATCACTGCACCCTCTGGGACCTTCCTGCGAGGTATATCTACTGCATTCTCACCTGGAGCCGTGCATGCGCGCGTGGAGAATGCAAGCATTGTTAGTGAAGTAGCATTGCATGTGGTCATAAGTATGTCTTCAAGGATTGGTGTGAGCACGCAGGTAGCGGCACTTAGGAACATGTTGTTCGGGGAGGGTGGAGATGAGGTACTCAGAAGTGTCAGAAAGGTTGGCATGTTTTTACCCCTCCCACGTTGAATGAACACTGATGTCTAGAGTCAAGGGTCAAACGACGCTCGTTTTGGACGTTGAGAGTGCAGACATCATGGCGACCCTGCTCCGACTTAAGGATGAATACGAGGCTCATTCCGGGAGGGAGCTTCATTTGACCTTTGCAGGGGCAACTGAGGCTCATCTCCTTGCGCATGAGATTGCAAGGGCAGGTGTGAGCGTGATCGTCACGCAGAGCAAGCCATACCCGTCGACTTGGGAGCTGCGAAGGTTGTAAGTATCCTTGTGCCCTTTCTTCTTAGTCATATCTTCGTTTTTTTTCTCGTTTGCAACTAAGGATGCTTACCTGACGATCACATAGACTTGCTGGCCCGCCGATCACGCAGGAGAGTCTGGTCACTGCGCTTTTGAAGGCAGGTGTCAATGTAGCCATTGGAGTCATTGATGAGTACAATGCCCGGAATACACGTTTCGAAGTCGGTTGGGTGTGTTGTGTTGGATCTCTTCTCATGACATGTTTCCTAACACTAATTCCAGTCGCTCCTCACATCCAATGGCACTATTGATCGCACAACAGCTCTCGCGCTCGCCACGACAAACCTCGAGAAGGCGCTCGGAGTACAGAGGGAGATGCCTCAGGACCTTGTGGCGTACCGTGGTGGGGATGTGTTTGAGTTTGAAGCCAAGGTGGTGGGGGTTATATCAGAGACGTTGGGGCGGACAGATTTGTTTGTGTGAGCAGCGTCAGAGTTTTATTTGTAGGGTCTGAACTTCATGTTTGTACAAATGTATAGCAACTGACAATCAATACTGGGTGTATTGGTACGATGATCATTATCACACCCTGTCAGACAATCGTGAAAACGACGCGACATCAGCAAAGCTCAAGGATACCTTGGATATGGCTGGAAATTTGACCCGACTTGCCAATAATGCAGCTTCAGTTGGATCTATTGTTAACTACTAAGGCACTGATACGACACGACGATTACATTTTGGCATACAGATGATTTCACGATGGTATACGAACACTACCTATACATCCACCGGTTGAACAGAGATATCTGCATCATGATGATGTTGTTCCTTCTTCTCCAATATCGAATCTTCATATCTGTTTTCACCTCTGATGACGTTGGATATGGGTCCGGTAAACCAATGCACGCCTCCGTAAACCGGACAATAATACCAGAAAATCGCCAAAAACATGAACCCTCCAAGTACCACAACCGTATAGTTCATCTGTTGTGTCGTCGTTTGCGGGGTTGTGGGAAAGAAGAAAACAAGCATCATGAAGGCCATCCATATCACGGCGATCGCAGCGACTGGAAAGCTCTGCACAGACATATAAATGTAAGAATACATCGCTGCCGATTAACTCACCAGTTTCCCCAGATGAAATGGACCGGGTTTAAAATCATTCTTGAACGCAAAGCGGGTTGTGATCGGCGTTATGTATGCGATGTACGATGCGGTGACAGAAATTGTGAATACCGCATCGATGGCTTCGGTACTTACGAATGACAAAAGTCCAATTGCCAGAGCGCAGATGGTGTCGAACCAAACTGTATTGACGGGTGTTCCTGTGTAGCGATTGATCCGGTATAGATACCGTGAAAATGGGATGGCTCCATCACGAGCGAATGCAAACGTTTGACGAGAGCCGACCAGGAGGCAGTTCGATGCCACCATGTACCTGCTCTATGATTAGGCTGTAAATACGCTATACGGCACTGAAACTTACTCCGCTATAATAACGAGACACCATATAGCCAGGGCCTTTTGCTGCCCGAGCGAATTGTATAAGATTTGTGCCATAGGCTGGCCGATAGGGCTATTTAAGACGCTGCCGATGTCAGTGCCCATGCAAAAGGCAAGGGAGATGTTGACTCCTAGATTAGAATATGTCATCAAGATCAGAGTGATATGTCATTCGTTTCACATACCGCAACCAAGGACAGCTGATACGGCAATAGAACTGACCTGACTGGGATAAATACAACGATGTATCATTTCTAGTGTCACTTACTATTGCCCATGGTATTGCCATAGCGGCATTTGAGACCTCCTCACTCATGTGAACGCTAGTATCATAACCTCCTGGTGGGTTAAAGATGGTCAATGGTCATGGAGCAATGATTCGAGGGAATATGGTCTAACCTATTGTATAAAGAGGGCCCATTAAGCTCAAAATAAATGTGAATCCGGATGGCCAGCCGGCTACTACAAATGATCGTGAGCTGCGAGCGTAATTGGACGATGAAACATACAGTTGGTGAATTCCCGTAGCGCAAAATTTGCGCTGTTCCGATAATCCGGTGGCGTCGCGATCGGAAGCACGATGATGATTATGAAGCAAAGGCTATTAGAGGATTTGAAACCATGACCATGGACGAACTCTACAACACCTACCATGCATTCACCAACGTGAATAGTCTCTGCAACCTTGCCAAAACTTTGGTACCGAGGCTCACGATGACAGCTTGTGACAAAAACAAAGCTGCGTATATACCACTATAGCAACCAATATGAATAGTGTTGTTCCTGCATGAGGACGAGCTTACTAGAGCTGCTGGTTGGTAGTCGCATGCGCCTGGTCAGAGGAGGCGATACTGATTGCTGCGATGATTTGAATTGTACAAGCCCAATTTACGGAAGCTAGCACGCGTGATCAGGGGGAGACTGTTGAAAAAATGGAACCCGTCTTGCCAACTCCTGTGATAATCGCTATGGTATTCGAATCTGCAGATGTCAGGACTGGCTGCATGTTGCATGAAAATGCAGGACTTACAGCCAACTATCCACGACAGAAAATTGCGGCATCGTGGAGAAGCGAGAGAGTAAGTCCAATAGTATAGCTAGATTGTGTCAACAGTCGAGTCAAGTGTGAAACAGCGACAGCGTCAATGACATACGCCGCCAGAAGTAGGTGCTGCTGATGCGAGCTCTGCCATCGCCATCCCAATGCACATGATAAAGGGGCAAGCAAATGCCCACTGCGCAGAGGAAAAGTGAGATGTTTACGAAACAGGAATCTTCACGTATGATGAAAGCTTACACCCCAAACCATCGCGAAAGGCCCACCGTTTGGTATTGTATAGAAGAGCACAGAACTGAACGAATTGTTATCATTAGCGATGGGATTTCAATTGGCTTGCGTCATAGTAACGGCTTACACTATTGAAGGAACCACTCCAACAAAGCTGAATGCAAGTCCAGCCACCTGCAATTGTTAGCTTGTGTCGCGTACACGGAAGATTCTGAAATCAAGCGCACCTCTAGCGGAGTGAATTCCCTGTGAAACTCCTGCTTGTATCCTAGCTTGGCGAGGGTGGTCTCATCTGCACCTGGTTGCGGGTGCAACTTGGAAATCGCTGAAGCTCTCGGAGTTGTCATATTGCACGGTTGCAAGTGGGTGATTTTGACTCAGCTAATCGTGCAGTATTAAAAGAGATTAATAGTCCCCTCAGTATCCACATTGCCGTAAGGACTGAGATTCCCTGATGCATACATGTGGTTCTGTGGTTCTTAGACGTCTGCGATCCAAACAAAAATTGAACCAAACCAAGAGATAACTGAAGTTTATGCCCACTTACAGTCCGGACCGCGGTGCCTCGGACACCTGGCCTATCCGAATTTGACGTGCGCGGTCAATACTTACAACTGAAATAACAAATCCTCGTGCCACTAACCTTATCATCATAAGTGCGCACAGTGTACATCATTGATGTTAGTACTTAGTAGAGTAAGAAATGAATCTTCGCTAAAGCTCGGGTAAGTTCGACAAAACTCGGATACTTAATGTAATCACAAACTCCACTGGTCTGAATGAACGCTTACTAAAGAATACTGCACCTCAACTAGCATGTCTCTAGCTGTGTAAACTGATCTACCAACGCCACGTTGCAAATTGAGGATTCCGTACTTGCCATTTTTGGCATGTGATACAAAGTCCGATGATGGAGGCAGAGTACACTGTGCACAGTGACTGCTTCACGACCAACATTTATGTTACGCACCTGGATTGAATTCATCTTTCTTCATACGAAAATACTTACTTTGGGTGATGTGCACTGCAGGAACGGATATAATCTCTCGACCTCATTTTGGTACTTAAAGCACATGGTATATCTCATTGCCATACGTCCACCAAATTTACCTCTCATTCGCTATCAATATGACCATAGTCTCAAACGATCCCACTTTGTGGCCGACCATAAACGGATATCGTTATTCCAGTTATCTTATAGGTTCGTGCAGAGCAATTGAATGTTGAAGTTGACACATTCTAACCTTAGCTGCGGTTTTGCAGTTGCCACTTTTGTTGGAGTGACATATGATTGGGGTGAGCATGATGATATTAAAGGACTGCTGATATCCTAGAACTATCTCAGCGCTTTCGTTCGGACAGGAGGCATGTCAATGCTATCGCTGGGGCGGCCATCTCGCTAATGGCAATGGTTTTATACTAGGTCGAACTGATCTGGGTGAGTGGCGTATCATGTCAGAGGAACACACATGAATGTACACTTAATTCCAGGGCCAACGCTGGTCCCTAATGACAGTCCTGTACCTCGCTGTATGCGGCTTATTTGTTGTAGTTTCCGTGCTATGCTGACTTAAACGTATTCTAGGTGCGCTATCTTGGAATCTTATGTACTGCGTATGTTCGGAAGGTCAAATAATCAATGTCGTATTGATTGTCTATCTCTCATAACCAGTATGGCTATGTTAAGTATGTCTCCTTAGTATATTCGCTGCCTTCGCTTCTCCTAACCAACGGCATACAGACTGTCTTCCAACCATCTCGTTAACAGATACAGTGAGTTTCCTGTACAGATGCATACAATCCCCCTTCAATTGACCGTGGTGTCCTGTAGGGGTCAGTGTGATTCTTTACTAACTTCTTAGTTCACTAATGACTGCTACACTATACTGCCACAGATGTGAGTCCATTTTGGAGTGTGTGCTACCCGAGGCTTGTCACTGACTGGATTCGTTAGGCATTATTTCGTACATCGTACAGTATTGTGTCAGTGGTTTGGTATTTCCAATACTGGGGGGTGAGCTTGGCACTTGCGACAGTTATTTCCTTGACTGAAACATGCTGCAAGTCATCATGATCACTCGGTTATATGCTATGTATCAACGATCCAGAAAGATCCAGATCTTTCTCAGTGTCATCTTCCTGGCTGACAACATTTTCAACGGAGTGGCCTTCGTAATGATAACTCTATATCTTTCAGGAGGTACGCTTAATTGTGGATAAAGATAAACGTGCATAGTGCTCATTGATGAATGCCAGAGGAACTCATTCTCTCCGGCACTCATCAGTGCTCGATTGACTTTGGAGACGATGGCTTGCGTCTGGATCTCATTATTTGGATACTCGGAGCTATGTGGGAGGTCCTCGCACTATGTCTCGCAATCTGGATTGCTGTAAAACACTTCAGCGAATTGCGACAATATTCGACAGGAAGTATTACCGGGGACTGTTTCACGGTATTGGTGAAAGCTCACGTGGTCTACTTTGTGAGGTGAGCTCATGGTGCGATTATTATTCCTCTTACTGAAGCTTCGGTGGTGGTAGCTTTGTTGCCACGTCTTGCTTCCAACTCGTATTTGATTTCTCTGTAGTACTCTCAGCGGTATGTCAATATTTTACTGACCTCTGCGTGCGATCATGGTTCATCATTTCTATAGGACCAAAATCCCCTGAAAGTTCAGAATTATTCTGGATTTCTTCAAATTTTCTTAGTCGGGCAGATGTGTGTGCTGGGGCCACGCCTGATTCTTAGCGTTCGAAAATATCACACTGAGCTCGTGGCCGGCTCTGATGCAGCAACCGGCATGACCTCAATCGCTTTCCAAGAGCGTGTGCATATATCGACTGGCAATAGTGTGTGATGCTCGGTGAAGTTGACGGTCTCTAGTACTCTCCAAGGAGCAGGGGAATTTGCTTTTATTTATTCGCGCTTTCGTGATGGCATTGATTAAGTTTAGTTGGTGTTTCGAAGTATATTTTAAGGAGACATACAAAAGTTTTCGTCGTAGTAAGTGATTTGCTATACACGCTGGCAATGTTTAAACCAATATCCTGTATATCTCTACTGGCACTATCTGCCCACCCACACTTGCATCAATTACTGGTCCTGTGTGATGCACCAGCATTGATTCAGCAAACTACAACTTTGTTGAGCATTCTACAGGCAACTTCGTCAAAGGAGTAAAACTTGCCATGTCCAATTTTCCAAAGTCCTGGTAAAGGCGGCGAGGCCAAAGTTTGAAACACTCGTACTCTAGGATTGTATACAACACTGTATGCTATCGAATACATACGTATCATCTTTGTATACCATTGACTTCACGACAATATTATATGAACACTACTTATACATCCACCGCTTCAACATAGATATCGACATCATGTTCATCCTTCCTCTCCGATATAGAATCTTCGTCTCTGGTGGCCGGCGTAAAGTTGGCAACGGGTCCAGTGTACCAATGTACACCTCCATACACCGGGAAATAATACCAGGAAATCGCCAGAAACATGAACCCTCCAAGCACCACAACCGTATAGTTCATCTCCTGTGCCGTTGTTTGCGGGGTCGCGGGAAAGAAGAAAACAAAGCTCATGAAGACCATCCATACCACAGCGATCACAGAGACCGGAAAGCTCTGCAGAGGCATGTTAGATCAAGAATACATCGCGCCGATTAACCCACCAGTTTCCCCAGATAAAATGGACCGGGTTTAAAATCATTCTTGAACACCCAGCGGTTCGTGATCGGCGTTATGTACGCGATATACGATGCGGTGACAGCAATTGTGAATACCGCATCGATGGCTTGGGTGCTTACGAATGACAAAAGTCCAATTGCCAGAGAGCAGATGATTTCGAACCAAACCGTGTTGACGGGTGTTCCTGTGTAGCGATTGATCCGGTACAAATACCGTGAAAAAGGGAGCGCTCCATCACGAGCAAATGCAAACGTTTGGCGAGAGCCAGCCAGGAGGCAGTTCGATGCCATGATGTACCTGCTCTATGGTTAGGCTGAGAATATGCTACGCGACACTAAAACGTACTCCGCTATAATAATGAGACACCATATAGCCAGGGCTTTTTGCTGCCCGAGCGAATTGAACAATATTTGGGCCATAGGCTGGCCAAGAGGGCTATCGAAGAGGCTGCCGATATCAGTGCCCATGCAAAAGGCAAGGGTGATGTTGATTCCTGGATCATAATATGTGATCAAGATGAGAGTGACGTGTCATTCCACATACCTAAACCAAGGAAGGCTGATACAATAACGGAACTGACCTGACTGAGATAAATACAGCAATTGGTCATTTCTAGTGTCACTTACTATTGCCCATGGTATCGCCATCGCGGCATTTGAGGCCTCTTCGCTCATGTGAACGCTAGCATCATAACCCCCTGGTGGGTTAAAGATGGTCATGGAGCAATGATTCGAGAGAATATGGTCTAACCTATCGTATAAAGAGGAGCCATTAAGCTCAAAATAAATGCGAATCCGGATGGCCAGCCGGCCACTACAACTAATTGTGAGCTGCGAGCGTAATTTGACGATGAAACATACAGTTGGTGAATTCCCCTAGCGCAAAATTTGGGCTGTTTCGATAATCCGGTGGCGTCGCGATCGGAAGCGCGATGATGATTATGAAGCAAAGGCTATTGGAGGATTTGAAACAATGATCGTGGACGAACTCTACAACACCTACGATGCGTTCACCAACGTGAATAGTCTCTGCAACCTTGCCAAAACTTTGGTACCGAGGCTCACGATGACAGCTTGTGACAAACCCAAAGCTGCGTATATACCACTATAACAACCGATATGAAGAGTGTCGTGTCTGTATGGGAATGAGCTTACTAGAGCTGCTGGTTGGTAGTCGTATATGTCTGGTCAGAGGAGGCAATACTGATTGCTGCAGTAATTTGAATTGCACAGGCCCAGTTTGCGGAAGCTAGCACGCGTGATCAGGGGGAGACTGTTGAAAAAATGAAACCTGTCTTACAAACTCCCATGATCATCTCTATGGTATTCGAATCTGCAGATGAGTCAGGACTGGCTGCATGTGGCATGAAAATGCAGGACTTACAGCCAACTATCCACGACAGAAAATTGCGGCATCGTGGAGAAGCGAGAGAGTAAGTCCAATAGTATAGCTAGATTGTGTTGAGTCAAGTGTGAAACAGCGACAGCATCGATGACATACGCCGCCAGAAGTAGGTGCTGCTGATGCGAGCTCTGCCAACGCCATCCCGGTGCAGAGAATAAAGGGGCAAGCAAATACCCACTGCGCAGAGGAAACGTGAGACGTTACAAAACAGCAATATCCACGTGTGATGAAAACTTACACCCCAAACCATCGCGACAGGCCCACCGTTTGGTATTGTATAGAAGAGCACGGAGCTGAACAATTTTTCGTCATTGATTCACAATTTCGATTGGCTTGCGCCATAGTGACAACTTACGTTATAGAAGGAACCACTCCAAAGAAGCTGAATGCAAGTCCAGCCACCTGCAATTTTTAGCTTGTGTCGCATACACGGAAGAGTCTGAAATCATGCTCACCTCTAGCGGAGTGAATTCCCTGCGAAATTCCTGCTTATATCCTAGCTTGGCGAGAGTCGCCTCATCTCCACTTGGTTGCGGGTGCAACTTTGAAATCGCTGAAGCGCTCGGAGCTGCCATATTGCACTGTTACAAGTGGGCGATTTCGAATGAACCTGAGCCATTGGCCACGCAGTATAAAAGAGATTAATAGTCGACCGGGAATCACCAGGAAGCACTCTCAGATCCACATTAGGTGACCGTAACTTCCTGATGCCATACATAGTATGGTGGAGCCTCTCTGCGATCCAAACGGAAATTGAACCACAAGATCACTGAAATTTATCCCGGCTTACGATCAAACTGCGGACGCTAGCCTGTCTGAATCTGACGCCGTCACGCGCGTGGTCAATCAGCCAGGGTCGAACAACTGCATCAACGAGAACGTGAGAAGGCTAGGTCGATATCCAGTCATGGGCCTCATGCAGGACAGGCGTGGTACAGGTAATAGCAGCCCACCGTAACCTTTACCATACCTCTGCTGTGAGCGTTTTGGTTCTTGACTTTTTTGCGCACTTCTCCGACTTGTATAGCTTTCGCAGATGGTCGTGGCTGTGTTTCAGTACCATGAGGCAGTGAAATATATCTTTGCTGGCTCTGAGTCAGAGGATGAACGCGTGCTTTGAAATGAACTTTGAATTTTATATTTGGACACGTTAAGTAAATTCACACATTCCTTAACTGCCTTTTCCGTCACTTGGTTTTATAGATCGCACAACGGCTCTGGCACTTGCCACGACAAACCTTGAGAAGGTGCTCGGAGTACAGAGAGAGATGCCTCAGGACCTTGTGGCATACCGTGGTGGGGACGTGTTTGAGTTTGAAGCGAAGGTGGTGGGTGTTATATCGGAGACGTTGGGGCGAACAGATTTGTTTGTGTGAGCAGCGTCAGAGCTTCATTCGTAATCGATAATCTCTGGGCTTCATTACAGGAACCACTGTTTAGTATACATGTAGTACGACCTATCACAGAATCGCAAACTAGGATGAAAATGCAAATTGTCGCTGGGTACATGTCTTGAATTTCACAATTGAAAATCGTCGATCATGAATGGTCCAACTTGTTCTCTTTCCATACTGACATCCATTAATGCGAACTTCTTTATGTGAGATCAGTGGGAATTGACAAGTAGAGCTTCTTCAGCGTAGAAGGATATCTAGAATGGCTATTACTCTGTTTCTGCAGTCAAGCGAAAAGTAGATCGGATCTCCTCCTGATACGATGGCAAAGTGTTACAGAGAAATTGAAAAAATTGCATTGCCGACCTTTGCACAGGGGCACTCCAACCGGAGGATAGCGTGTCAGCGAGCAATACTGAAAATAACGAACCCCAGCTGGAAAATCGTGCTGGATTGGGGCACCCTTTGAGAACTCGTTGATTCCCGAACCATCTTTTCAACCAGGAACAGGTCTTTAGTAAGAAAGATGGTATACTCAACGTGACAGATATCTTGATAGCCCACCCGGTCGATTTATGCCATGTATGTCATGTGTTGATAAGCTCAAGGTACGAACCAGTGAATTCCAAGCGCTCGTGGTCGCACGTTGCTATACCAGCTCAGATATTAGTACAAAAGGCAGAGCACGAATTTCGAAATATGCATTTACTTACATGTAAAGCTCTTGCCCGGATCTCGGTTTACATCAACGAGCGAACCCACATGGGGATTAGCTACTTGAAAACGTTTTTGATATCAAACACGAGGCCATTCGCGGTCCGGGATGTCGATGATTGCGTGGACATAGAACTTCCCGATTTGAGTCCAGCTTGCTTCAATGTGTAGTTAGTCTTTCCTTCCAGCAGAAGAAACGGGTCGAGCTGTGTACTTGAGTAGAAACTTGGGATCTAAGCGGTGCGTCGCAGGGTACACCTGGTCAGTGATGAATTGCATTTGCACGTCCAAATCCAAAGTGTTGTGCATATTCCGTGAACATTAGTAGGAAAACAACCTGCCAGAACAGCGTAGTAATCCTCTCTCCTATATCGTAACAAGTGAGTATAAACGACATCTACGTAAGATAATATACACCTCTCGGAGGGCGCGTTCTCGGGACTGTCCAAAACAAGACATCACGAAATCTCTGAGAACCAGAGAACAAGTACGAGCAGCATAGAAGCCCACGCTATAATCACCCTGCCCCGGTGATAAAGTACCAATACCCTACCACTGGCCTTACGCTGTCCCGCATCCCGTTCTTAAACAGCTCCGATTTATCGTTCGAACAGATCTGTGTGCCAACTGCACCAGCAACAATCACCGTATCGAGCAAGTGTCCGTGATCATCCAGTTTCACATCGAGATAAGCGTACCCGCAAGGTACACATTCGTCATCGATGATTGGATAAGGCATCCCCTCGAGCACCAGGAAAGGACGCCACGCTCCACGGAAAGTGTACACTGCGGCAAACTGGGCTGCACTCAGTACCCGTGGATCTATAGGACGAAGCAGTTTCTTTGGCGCGTCTTCCCGCATGCGCTCAGCATTTAGCGGGGGACCCTGCCACATGCCTTGCTCATTGAATACGCAAAATGCGGTGATCCAGCCTGAGAGGTAGGTCGGCCCGCTCCCGCCTCCCTCGTAGTGCGCGACTTTGGACCAGAAATCGAGGTTTTCGGAGCTGGACGGCGCGTCGAAGGCGGCTACGAATCGAGAGATGATGGGGTGCAGGAGGTGATACCACGCTATTGTTTCTATGCTGTATATTTTTAGTCGTTCAAGTCGTTCAAGGATTGCTTCCCAGTCATGTCTCTCCCCCAGGAGGGTCACGACCGGTATCCCACAACGTAGTACAAACTTGTAGCGAAAATACTCTTTCATCGTCGCCATCATGGACATCGCGTACACTGTCCGATCTACATCCGTCGTCGTTGAAAATTCAGGCATAATCCAATCCCTCAGCATCGGATCCACTACACGCGTGTGCATAAGGTCCAACATCTGGCGCGCCAAGAATGCATAATCTGCCGTGTGACGATTTCGATCGCCAATGATGATGAGTTCCTCCCGACCATGGGCTGCAAAGTGCCCACTAAGTTGCTCGGCATGTGCACTCACGAAGAAGCTGAACTGTATGAGGATCGCGGTCCAGACGTCGTCCGGGCGGAGGATAAGCGCACGATGGTTATTGTATGCCTCAAGCACCGTGTGCACGAATCCGTTGGGCTTTGGCATGATATCGCGCACCGCATCGAGGTTGGTGGGGAGGGACGTGCGAAGGAGGTGAATACAACGCATGAATTGTTCAGGAGATGTCTTTTCGAGGACGGTGAGGTAGGGGTTTTGGTGGAATGGGATCTGGAGACGGTAGTCTTCCGTGAAAGACTCAGCAGGATGCGTGGCTGGGCAGAACGAAGTCACGCCAGAAGGAATGTGTTGTTGAGTCTAATAATAGGTCTGGCGTTTGGCATAATTCAGCATTAGGAATGACATGAACATACCGTGGAGAGCGGGGACGAAACCTCAAATGAAGCCGTTGAACTAGCCACGGAAGATATCGGGGAGAGTTTATGTAAAAACATAGGGTGTATAGGAGGTGCAGTCGTGATGACCCTGCGAGGTCGTTTTTGAAGTTTCGGACTGGGATACGGCCTGAGTGAGCCTGTAATACTCTCTGTAGGGGCAGTAGCCGTGAAAATGGCAGAAACAGCTTCCTCCTTGAACTTGCTGCCTTGGGAGAGAGGCAAATCGATGCTGATCGGAGAAAGTGGTGGTGGATTATAAGGATGTGCTGGAGGTCGGTCGGTATCCCTCGATCTCGAGAAGACACGCCCAAATGTCAGTTTTCGAACCATAAGGTTAAGCCTGGAAAAGGGCTGCGTATGCCAACAAAGTCGAGTTGAGAAGGAGTGGATGTCGAGGAGTGGTATTGATGTCAATCGCGACAGGCACTGCACATGTCGTGCCTATTTCTGAGTATGAAAATGGACTTGGACCACGAGATAGAAGTCCAAAATGAAGTTCAGCTGACTTTGGAGGATTAGGTCAACAAGGCAGCTGACGGCGTACTATCCCTTCCTACATGGGAAGAACCATCGTAATAGGGCTTCAAATTAATGAGCGTGCATGACGCGTTGGTAGATGTTGGCCCGAAATGCAAGTATCAGATCCAGCTTGTTCCGCTATACATGGATTGAAAAGATTGCAGGAACTATGCCGGCGATGACTATTGCAGAGGGTTGACAAGACCGGCTCGCATGAGTTGATCATCCAACTCAATTGAAGTTCGCGAAGACTCGGGTGACTTACGCGAACATTTTATGACAAATCAAAAGGGTTCTATGTCATACAATGTACTGCGGGGAAAGGCATCTATGGCTCAACCGATGGACTTCGATGTTTGAAGTTTGAAGTTTTCGAAAATCTCGGTCTGGCCAGCTCAGAGAAATCTCGAAAAATTCACCATTGATTATATGGGCCGCACGAGCCAGGGCCGGATAGCAAACTCATGAGAGTACAATGACTGTGGTCATCATTGTCCCCATCAACGAAAACGAAGTGCTCAAATTCGAGGTGAGTGCGTTGCAATGAGATGCTCAACATAGAAGATGAAACAGAAAGGACAATTAAGAGCTCACAAAGCTCTGCATAACGGAACGGTACACCGATATCTTGACTAAGGCACTCGCTCGTCCGCTTTTCTTGAAGCACGCCACTGGACTCGGAAGTACTGGTGTCTAAGTGAGGGGGTGTGTTGGAAGAAGTAATACCCAAGGAAGCACCGTACCGGAGGAAGCATTGTACCCACAGGCGTACGATTAATGTTCCTTCTTTTCCTTACTTGCTATTGCTTATCATATATCATATCTTGCACTACGACACCACATGTCACGCTACCGGTACAATTATTTCCGTTAGCTTCTTCGTCCTTCTTGAGCAGTACTTATACGCGTCAGTTCCCCGCTTTATACCTCAGCGTTGTTTCTCCAACTCTCGCTGAGACTTGTTCTAGCGCCGACAGATGCGAGATTGTTTGGAAATGGGAGGCATGATGGCCTCATGCCTCCCATTTACAAACAACAACGAAGACTTTTGGAGCTAGCAGGAGATGTCAAGGTGATGACATCGATGAAGGTTGAATATTGAATGACGCCGAATTGTTCACAGCGCTGATCAGCCTCTCCTCAACACACTTCCTTCGGCTTTTGAAGCGAGCATTGTTGAATCTACCTTGGAGAAACTCTTCTCTAAGGTGGATTCAACAATGTTCACTTGGACTTACCGATATACCAGGGTGTCTTCCGATGGAGACTACCCGATTTCTGATAAGTTTAGTGCGCGGCCGCGTCGCGACGGTGGTATGTTACGGTGGCCGATTTCCATGATCGACTGTATATTCATCTAAACTCCAAGGACGGAAGCTGGATGTCGCATCTTGATCAACATACTCTTGTTGAGAGTTGTATCAGTCATGTCTCCGGATACCACGACGGTGAACATATTTCCAGAATTCCCTATCCCTGGCGCGATCTTCAACCAACTTGAAGAGTCTGTCAAACGTTCGTTCAGTGGGGTCGTCGACTTCCTGGTGACTAAACTCCCCGCTCAGTACACCGGTTAGTCATTTTCTGTCGCGTGCTAGAATGGAATTGAACCGTTCTTTAGGATTCCTCCTGACCAATCCGACCAAAACACTGGTGGATCTCGGAAACACCCAGGAACCAATATCGTCCAACATATTCGAAGCCAAACGCGATAGAGTTCGGGAGGGTCTGCCTCAAGCTACAATTGCTGCGGCTTCGTATTGCCAATTGCGGGGGTCAGCTCTCTGTCGCTCTATATTCCGTGACGTAGTCTAACTTTATGATAGCTTAAATGACATCAGGGATGTTGTCACCAACGGAGAACAGTGGATTTTCTTCGTGTACAGAAGGCACACAGATGATACTGGGTGAGCTCTATTTCCCGCATGATATGAACCGCCTGCAACAAATGCGAGATAGTGCTGCATCGTGTCAAAACAACTCAAACCATTCTCGCACGACAACGCACGATATTGACTACCTTTGCATCGTGCATTCGTCCAAATTTCTTATCCAGATCGTGCGAGGGCGGTTTCAATTGGCGGTGCACGATGCTGCACTCTCCGGACGTCTCGCACTCTCCGGTTTTGACTGGGCGTCACCCATCATCCCTGCCTGATGCATGATCATGAGCGTCTTGGTTCTACCCATGATCTTTACAACAAGTTCTATCTCGGCTTTGTTGGGCTCGGAGGAGGATCGCTGAATGGGAGTGAGTATTCTTTTTCGTTTTCTTCCTTCGCCTGTTCTTTTGTTCTGTTGTGCTTTCTTGCTTGTCGAAACGAGATCTGATGACGCAGCGTCGCGCGTTGCAGTTCAAGAAATCCAATATGTCAGATGCTGTTAGGATTTTGGATGGGATGACAGGGACGCTAGTTATTGATGTAAGTGCCTGTTTTGCGCTGCTTCTAGGTTTGACCTTTGTCCCTGTAGTGTAGGATGTTGATACGCTGGGTGAGGGTGATACTGACAGGTTTTTATGAAAACATCGAATAGATGCGGGTCACTAATGGTATCATACTGTCATCCTTCCCCTCGATGCAGTGTTCACTCGACTCCTACGCAGGGAAAAGCAGGCCAATCCATCGTTTGTCTTCCCAATCACAGGAAGAGTCAGAGATAGGATGTGATTTGTGATGCATGTAGAAGCTGGCAGCGATAGTGGAAACAAGAGAGCAAATTTTGTTTTGTCAATACCTTTATTTTATAGTTTCAATTATTACGAGCGTTGGTTAAACAGTGAGATAGGATAACCTTCAGGATCAAATTGACCTGCGTTGCATGAATGGCTGTAGTTATCCGTTGTGCTCATGTAGTTTGTGTGCATGAGCACAATTCGAGTGGTTGAATCGTGATCATGGTTCTTGATGTCGACCTCAGTCCATAAAAATGTATATTTCCTAATGATAAGCATTATGCAACAAAATCATATAGCAACGTGTATGTATCCTCCATAAAGATATAACAATAAAACTCATGTAACAAAAATAATTTTCAAAGTACATAGTGATCGACGGCGCTATAACACCCTCTATTTTGAAGCTGAAAAGTACAGAGTCATGCAGGATAACAACGCAGAAGGAGAACAGCGTACCTCCATCGGACAAATGACATGGTTAGATCGCTTCTTGATCAGCCTAAAAAAGCCCGTTAGGACCATCAGGACCATCAGGCTTGTCAGGATCGCCAGAGTGAAGGCGCGTGTGATCAGGACCCCCGAAGCGTTTGTTTGGAAAGTTAGGCGTGCTAGGGCCGTTGGAGTCAAGCTCCGTGCGCCTGTTGGGCATCTCAGGTCTGCTAGGGCCGTTGGAGTCAAGCTCCGTGCGCCTGCTTGGCATCTCAGGTCTGCTAGGGCCGTTGGAGTCGAGCTCCGTGCGCCTGTTTGGCATCTCAGGTCTGCTAGGGCCGTTGGAGTCGAATTCCGCGCGCTTGCTTGGCGACTCAGGTCTGCTAGGGCCGTTGGAGTCGAACTCCGCGCGCTTGCTTGGTGACTCAGGTCTGCTAGGGCCGTTGGAGTCTAGCACCGTACGCCTGTTTGGCATCTCAGGTCTGCTAGGGCCGTTGGAGTCTAGCACCGTGCGCCTGTTTGGCATCTCAGGTCTGCTAGGGCCGTTGGAGTCTAGCACCGTGCGCGTGTTTGGCTTCTCAGGTCTGCTAGGACCGTTGGAGTCGGACTCAGGTTTGTTAGGGCCATTGGAGTCGAAGGCTACGTGCTTCCTTGGCGACTCAGGTTTGCTATGGCCATTAGAGTCTAACACCGTGCGCTTGTTTGGCATCTCAGGTCTGCTAGGACCGTTGGAGTCAAGCTCTCCGCGCTTGTCAGGCCCGTCAGGAGTGCTGGGAGAACTGGGAGAACTGGGAGAGCTAAGAGAGTTGGAAGACCTGAGAGAGTCTGGAGAGCTAAGAGAGCTTAGGTGGCTGTTGTCTCTAGTGAACGGCGCATCAGGCGTAGGAGGACCGTTGGAATCCAGCTCTACGCGCTTGTCAAGTGAGTCCACGTCGCGCGAGTCGGGCGTACTAGGAGAACCGGGAGAACCGGGAGAGCTGGGAGAACCGGGAGAGCTGGGAGAGCTCTCGTCGAACAGGCCGATGTCCCTAGTGTTAGGCGCACTAGGTGTGCCAGGAACGTTGGAGTGATGCTCCTCGCGTTTGCTAGACTCGGTACCCCCTGCAGGTAGGGTAGGTGCGGTAGGACAGGTGGTCGTGTTGGAGTCGAGCTCCTCACGCTTGCTAGACTCGGTACCCCCTGCAGGTAGGGTAGGTGCAGTAGGGCACGTGGTTGTGTTGGAGTCAAGCTCCTGGCGCTTGCTAGACTCGTCACCTCCTGTGGTTGCAGGAGTGCAGGTGGTCGTGTTACCAGGCTCCTGGCGCTTGCTAGACTCATCACCCCCTGTAGGTGCGGTAGGACAGGGGGTTGTGTTGGAGCCAACCTCACGCTTGCTAGACTCGTCACCCCCTGTGGTGGCAGGAGTGCAGGTGGTTGTGTTACCAGGCTCCTGGCGCTTGCTAGACTCGTCACCCCCTGTAGGTGCGGTAGGACAGGGGGTTGTGTTGGAGCCAACCTCACGTTTGCTAGACTCGTCACCCCCTGTGGTTGCAGGAGTGCAGGTGGTCGTGTTACCAGGCTCCTGACGCTTGCTAGACTCGCCACCCCCTGTAGGTGCGGTAGGACAGGTGGTTGTGGTGGAGCCAACCTCTTCGCGCTTGCTAGACGAATCAGGCGCTGTAGGCATAGTAGGTGCGGTAGGTGCGGGAGGACAGGTGGTTGTATTGTCACGCTTGCTAGACGAATCACCCCCTGTAGGTAGAGTAGGTTCGGAACAGGTGGTGTTATCAAGCTCCGCGCGCTTGTTAGGCGAGTCGAGCGCGCCGGGAGCGCCGAGGTCCCTAGATTCAGGCCCATTGCTACTGATAGGAAAGTTGGAGTCAACCCCTGCGCGCTTCTCAGGCAAGTTGGGCGAGTCAGGCGCTCCGGGAGCACTAGGAGGGCTGAGGTCCCTAGATTCAGGTCCGTTGCTACTGATAGGAAAGTTGGAGTCAAGTTCCCCGTACTTCTCAACTCCATGAGGCGAGTCCGCGTGAGGCGAACCAAAGTTAGGGTTGGGCGTGATGAGTGGGGTGAGTGGGCTGGGAGAGCCGACAGCTCTAGTGTTTTGGTAAACATCGGGGTTAGAGGTAGGCCCATCGCGCCTAGCCAACGCTACACAGCATATCAGCATCGATCTGACTAAGTCGGGCGACATATGAACTCACATCTCATCAACAAATGTGGTGCTGGGTATGCCGCAGCAATAACGACGAAGGCCATGAGTGTCGTGAAAGTATGTGAGAGCTGCATATTGAGATCGAGAGGAGCGACCAGTATCGATATCGGGTCCATTCAGAGTCGCAAGAACTTTTATACCCCTCCAAACCACCTGACGAAAACAGCAGTACTTCGATCCAAACAGTTTAATTGAGAAGAAGACAATATCCGACTCGCTTGCCACAAACAAGGACGTCACCATCGTAAGAACAGATATCAGGATAATTTCGGGTCCGTGTATCGTGTTTGGCTGGTACGAACCTCAAGTTGCTTCCCTTGCTGTAACAATTCTTTCTATGCCCTCGTGAAATGACTCAACCTAATCAAATGTCGTGGAAGCGAGTCAACAAATAAACTGTAATGGGTGTCTGGTACTTACGAGGAAGGCATGTTATGGTTCGCTTGCAAAGTGCTCCTAGAATCATATCGGAATCCATTTGTAAGGGGTGACGTTACTAGTAGCCGGCATGACCTGAATTTCAAGTTTCATGCAGCGGGCTCTCTGACTGAACAATTCTGCTTCTATGGGTTGATTCAAGCCGAATTATATCTCGTCAGAGCGCATCTGGTGCAAAATATTCGGCTAGAACTACGGTAAGTAACGTGTGGTTGGTACGGAAGCTGCAGCGCTGAGGACTTGCCATCCCACTGGTATAAGCTTACACCCTCGTGAATCCCCCTCGTTCACATTGCCTCCAAAGAACTTTCACGCACATGAGGCCTTGCCAGCAGTATGGAATCCGGGGCCGTGATCGTCGGCTATCACGTCAACCATGTTACGAAGTGGATTGACCTTGGTTGACCTGTAAATGAATAATTGAACTATCAACTTTAGAACGGGAGCTGAAAGTAGAATTTCGATAGTCAAACGCCTCACTGCGTCTGTACTGAATTGACCTTCTACAAGGTTAGCCCATAAACGGGTGGTGAATGATTGGTGGAAAAATCGATGACTGAGCTCGAGCAACCTAGGATAATGTTCGTATGAGCGTATCGCATACATAACGCAGCCAACATACGTCGCATCGCATCGCATCATGGTCTCGTCATGTTTAACTCGGCATACCACGTCGCCGGAGGTGACAAAAATATGGTTGGGTGAAGATGTTGGAAAAATCGGATACGCGAAGAACTCTCGTTATGTTCGAACTCGAAGGTGAGTAATTGAGCACCGACTTCGTTTATGTAGCTGAAGATGTAAGGAATCGAGTTCACATAATAACACCAAAGTTTGTGCTGACCGATTTCCGTTATTTTGGCCGCCACTTGTGGGCATAGTCAACTTTAGCAGCGCTTCAAGTTGAATTAAGACTCTTGCAAGGGCACCGCACTGCGTTTCATATGATGCGAAAGTACCCGTTACAATTCCAGCATGCTACAACATGCAACACCAAACGCGGATGCGCCGAAGGCACAGACATTGGAAGGCGGAGCGCGAGTGTTCTGATGTTACAGGAGAGCGACGTGGCCAATGGCTTCGATGACGAGACGTCTTTGATAAGCGCGGCTCTTTAATAGCTTGATCATGCCAAAACCGTTGACCTGATCCCGGAGTACTGAGAAGACGCAAGCGGCAAGGGTAATACAATGTTGGTCAAGCTGCCAGCCAGTTATCAGCGCTTCAGCTGCTGTCTCTGTGATTGCACCAATCCAAGACGCGATTTGAAAGATTTGAGGCTCTCAGAGATGCGGTTCACACCTTGATGATGTCAAGGATTCATTCCGAACATCACGAAATTCGTGAAACTGAAGTAAACCGACGTCGTAATCATTTCGCGCGTTCGAAGGCGACTGTAATGTTGATTGAAATAATGACACGTATCATTACATAAGAAAATAGTGTTATGGAACATATACATGAGTACGTAACAGTTGTCGGAGTGAATTTGTAATCAACTTCGAATAGAGTCGGAGTCCGGGATCCCTTAACCTTTCCGTCCACCTCGTGAGTGTTGCAATCCGTGGTGCGCTATGTGACGGTGTGGATGCCTCACAATCCTGGAAGCGTTGCTTTGCGTCAAAGACAATTGGTAGCTGCAGCGCTGAATCCGCGTCAGTACTAGTAAGTACTACATATTCATTCACGACCATCAATAATCACAGCGCAGAATAGTAGCGGAATGTCGTTAAAATTAATGTCGTCATTGCATAATGGGAATCAACATATGGCAGAACTGCCGGTGGATCCAGATTCTTATCATAGGTGTGGTTCAATTTTGTAGAAGAAAAACACAACTCGCGTTCATACAACAGGCGTGCCACACAGTTTCAGTTGACTCGCGATGTCCCTGTTTCGATATTGAATCAACCGAACGTGACCATCATGATGACCTTCATGTGCTCACTTCCAGCTCGATCATGTTTAACAATGATTCCGGGCTATGTTCTGCGATATCGACGAAAATCATTACTCACAAGAAGCTGGCACGTAACGCAACTCGAAGGCTAACGTTCTCCATTTCATGCAGTTTCAGTGACTATCACTGATACCGATAAGTTCGGATCAGAATGCAACTAATTTCCGAGTGGCTGGTCGCAGAAGATCACTACAAACCCTGCCCTGCATTCGAACTCGTCACGTACAAATATATCTCATCAATTCTGTTCCAGGTTAGGACTCTTCCAACTCGAAGAAACACATACCTTCCACTAGTGCTCGCCCAAAATGGTACAGTCTCACGACATCGAGCGTCCAGTCATCGTTTCAAAATAAAGGGATCACTCCGTCTATCTTCCTCGACTCCAACTCACTAAACTGTTTATTTCTCGCAATTTGACACTCGCAATCTAAACGTCCATGAACAAATTTCTCCTACCTATACCTCGTACGATAACAATTGGTTAATGACTCGGATATGTTGTCATTGACATAACATTATTTCTGATATCCCCTCGTTTATCTACCAAAAATCCCTGTAGTATGATTATATCGCTGATACATCTATCTTCGATTTCTTTCCACCAAAATGAATGCCAATTTTAAGAATTATAGAGACCTACTGAGCGCTCAAGTTGTTGGATGAGTGCAACAATTTGAACGAAGCTCGGCGATATTCCGAAAGCCGATCGGACTGAACCTTGGTCAAAGTTTATTCGTGGCACTGGCGTGCGCAATGCGCATGCCAGCGTCAAGTTACACCTCACACACGGTTTTCAAATCGCCGTGTCAAACTGCTCAGCGCTATTCACCCTAGTGACCCAGTCTCTCACCCAGTTTTGAGAAGCTGCTCCATCATCACCTCCAGAGTGAACCGTTCGTGCCATCCTGAACATGTTCATGAGGGGTCCACCATACGCTACACTCTTTGTTACCTGCTTCTTCTTTCAAGTTGTATCTGTACACAGTCTAGCCCACGATGCCGCCATGCTAAACAGACGAGCGGTCCCGGAAATTGGCGGTTCACAAGGCGGTATGTGGCTTCCTCTGCTCTGCTCCAACATGTAATTGTACGAGTAATATCTCAAATATCAATCTCCAACAGGTTTCATCGGGCTCGTTGTCGCTTTGAGCTTGCTCATTATTATCTGCTGTATTGCAGTCTTCTTCCTCCTCCGCAATCATGAACCCTCCGAACAAGATCGCAATGCCCGCCGTGAGCACTACCGCCGTAACCGCGATCTCCAAGCACACGATTCAACAGCAGAACACGGCTCCTTTGGGGACAAACTCCGTGTGATATGGGCAGATAGATGGAGTAGTAGGAGCAGAAGCGGCGGACGACGAGGTGGGCGTGGCTGGATCCAAGCTGGCTCAGGTGATGAATGGGAGATTAATTCAGATCACGGTGAAGAACGTAGGGCACAGCAGCCCATGGAACCCTTTTCCAGGTCTTTTCAAGAGGGACCTTACAGCCCCCAGGTCCCAGAAATCGACTCACCGCTGTCAGATGCAGAGTCGTATGCACCGATGCAGTATGGGGATTCGTACGCAAAGGGCCCATTACATGTGACATCACCACAGCGGGTGACCTTTGCACGGTCGCAGTCACCGCTCTCACTGTCGAGCTCACCTATGTCCCCTGGATCGCATCGAGATGCAAGTGTGGATGACGAAGAGGTGCACCCGCCTGACCACCGTCATTTCTCTACACAATCATCGACATCAGTGCGGACTTTTGAGGGAGGCACAAAGTTTATTGAGTCGTTCTAGCTCATGCTAGTTATGTTTTGCCTTTACTCATACATGTGTTGTTGTCTTTCATCTTTTATTCTTATGGTCCACGTGTACTCGTCGCGCATTTTGTATCATTCGGACGCTCATCCGTGCAGTTGTTCTTGTATGATCCTTTGCAATGTATCTTTAGCACTCCCCTGCTAAATGCACATTACCTAATGTTGATCACTGGCTTTGATACAGTTCCTTGTCACGGTGCCTCGAAGCTACTAGTTAGCTTCGCTAGTGTAATCATATTGATTCTCCACCGTACTTCTCTGCACTTCCCTTCTCTCCACAGCTTCTCGGTCACCTCTTCTGCCCACTAGTACCATGTACGTATACAATATAATGGTTTTGTAATTTTATTTTTTTCACGTATGATTCCCCTCTAGAGGGCCAGCAGCTCCTGAATTCTCCCTCCCTCCCTCTCTCCCTTTCGATTTCTGGCTTCTTCCCAGCTTTCCCTCTACAAGTATCCTCATCGCTAGGTGACCTAGCAGCACGTTGCCATAACGTGTTTGGAAATCGTATTATCCACGATTCACTCCACACCGGCCTTTCCATCCCACTCCTTGTTGCTTCTTTTCTCTTCGCATCTTCGCAGCTTTGCCTCACCGGTTTACATTTCAATTTTTTTCCAGGATCTAACATTAGAATGTCAAGCCAGAGACCACCGTGTCCAATTGTCGTTACCAACTCAAGTTCGGGTTGGGATGAGCAAACGCCGCATGTGCATAGCGCATGCAACGTTCACATACATGTATTGTTGCAAAGGTATAGCCAACAAGCTCTATGTTAAAAGTTAACTTGATCCCTCGTGCGGTCGGGGGTCTTCTCACTGCCAGATGACAATATTTACATCCTGTATTTTTATCGGCGGCACCTTTATCGACACGTGGGGACCTGGCCTGGGGTTTGTCTTCGTGGCGCACATACAAATCTCGTCCTCTCACAACATCGATTTCATGGAGTGAGTTACTCGACCTTTTTTTGATGATCTAAAATCCTTGGAGATCGCCACCATCAGATCCGTATTACAAATCAGTCACACTCAGTCAGGGGCCCGCATCTGCATCGATGGCTGTCGTTGGTATCAGATGCAGTCTTCTAAAAAATTACATTTCCGGCATTACAATGGGTTAGTTTCTGTGCTTGTCGACTGCACCCAAAGCGAAACCAATCTACGAATATGTCTACCTTCCCAAAAGGCAGCTACGATACTGTGTACAAAGTTGGTTGTATTGTCGGTGATGGTCTCAGAATGCTCTAGAGCGTACCACACACGCTTACATCGTCGCCTGCCTCGTGGTGCTAATATCACACTTTGTACGCCGTATTCACCGAGTCACTGTCGTCGGAAACGTGATATGAACTTTGTTCGAGATGTGACCAAGACTTTCCATCTTCGAATAAGATTTCGGGGGCAATGGAGCAATGGAAGGAAACGCTGGACCTCAAACTGATGGCTGCAATGAAGATATCCTAAAAGATGCCTACCACGACGTGCGGCAAACTTCATAGAGAGATCGATCCAGTATTCTCGAACTATGCAGCTTAGCGATATGAAAACCCTTGCAGATCGTACAGGTAGCCTTACATGAACCAGTCGGTATGGTGATTATTTTGATGGGCGACCGCGCTCTGGAACACACATGTGATTATTATTTCAACGCGGCAGACATCGTGTATTACATCAACTGTGTAGATCATATATATCGTACAGCCTTGGTGCAGGGCCACCTAAACAACGTAAACAGTCTCATTCACGAGTTGTAAGTACGGCCAGTAAAGCTCCTGCAACGCGTGTCAGATCTGTACATCAAATCTAGCTAGGGAACAACGTACTCCAACGAGGTTAAAATGAGCAAGTCCAAGCTGTGCTTGCCCGGTAGCGAAGGATGCGGGGATTTGAACAGAGAAGTCCTCATATGGGTCTTCCGCGCCCGACCCATACTGAGGATTGAATGGGCCTTCGTACAAGAGAGTACCCATATCCTCACTAATGGGCAGACAGTCCCCAGTTGGGCAAGACTGGATAGCAATTACAATCGCTATCTCCTTACCGCCAGTGAGATTGTTCTGATGATGCAAGTGGTTGAACATTATACTCTAAAGAATGCGTGTTTGAGAGCTCACCGGGAGGCCTATTTGCACAGTAAAGTTGGTGCCTGCAGTAATATCGGAGCCAGGCGCAGGCAGGTTAATGTAGGCGTTCTGAGCGCAAACAGACACTACCATGAGAATGGTGACAACTATTGCTTTGATTAGGAAGTACATTGCAACTGTGAGCGTGCAGTTTCTGAAGAGATGGTGAATGCGTCGCAGTGCCGAAGTTTATATGTGCTGAGCGGGTGCTACATTTGGTAGTCTCCAAACCATATACAGGGCATCTATAGGGATGTCAGCACCTCATGCAAATGCATAGCACCATAACGGAGATGTAAACGCCACAATAATGAAGATACACCGTTGACTAACCTGGGGATTGTGAATATCCAAGTGCTGCAAGGTTGATGTCGTGCTACTTACCTACCCGACTCCGGTGTCCGCGATGTTAAGTTAGCTATCCGCAGTCTGTGCCATAAAAGGGCACGTGTGTGGACAAAAATGCGGCAGGTGCTGCCCAATGGGCAAATGAAGCTGACATGTATTTTCTGTAAAGTGCTCATCTAGTTCTACAAGGATTAATCAGAGCTAAACGTAAATGTACTCCGTAGTATGGTTTCACATGAAACTACTTACAATTATTGACTATAATCATCATTTTAAAGCATATGATTCATGTTACTGTCAGGCAGGTAAGGCAATCGATCCAGTTGACCGGTGGAATCGGAATGAGGCAACGGTCTCGGTGAACAATAACCGTAACACTATCTGCAGGTGCCGCGAAAGGCATTATGACTGTGCATGCGTTCGCTGTTTTGATGCATCGAAGGTCTTCTTGCCCGTGTCCTGAAAAATGTGATTTGGATGAGGAACGTTCCATGGTTTGCATTAAGTTTGAGTATGAAACAATATTACTTCTGATGCTATTATCAGTGATGGTTACTAGCGTAAGGGGTGCGCATTCGGAATGGCGGATACCATTGGATTCTGGAATGATGTGAGCAATAACGCACTCTCTCCGGGGAATGATGAGTCAAGCACTAATTAGCCTTACTAGTGAGCGATAGGCTCTACCAGTATGCGAGCCATGGTAGGGTTACAGCTCTATGCAATGAAATCAGGCACGACAATCGATCTAATGAGAAGGTTCGTACTACACCATTTTACTCGGAGCATCAACGCCGCCCGCTGTGCAAGAATGCTGAGCTGAGGGTGCGTCTCGGGCCTCTCGGCATCTTCGGTCCGGACTTGTCCACAGCTGCATGTCAAGGGAATGCCGCAGTGAAACTAGCTTAGTTTTGAGGCAAAATGTTTGAGCTTGGCTTTGCCATAGTGTTGAATAGTCTCCTGTAGCCAGACCGGTAACCAAATAGAAGGAAGATAGTCGTTCGTCCTATGTGACGATGAATGCGAAAATAGGCTACGTGGGGGTCACAGGTAAACTTGGAAATGACCGTCCGTGACGGTCCGTCCCGATGAACTAATTTGGGTATCCGGAGCACCTCGGAATTCGTAGTCACTACTAGTGCCACATGAAAGGAAACATATGTTCGACGATTTGTACTATGTACTGCAGCACTGTGACATTATGACATGCAACACAATCGCGAGAACTCGTAAGCACTTGAATAGGACATAGGACATCATAGGAATTACAGAAACACGTACTACCAACCAATTTATATGTAGTATGCGTGCGATACAGCGTCTATATCCAAATAGTCCCAAAAGGTCCATAACGATGAAATGAGAAACATGATCATGAAATTGTGATGGTGCGGTTCAGGATCTCCATCAAAGGGCCCGCCGAAGCCTAGACCATAACATTAGTTGCGAGCACTTTTGAATAATGTTTAGGACACTCACTCCCACAAGAGTGACATGAACAACCCCAAGAAGAGCGGTTCCGCTGGCAATGCTACTCGGAATTTGGACTGTGAAGTTTTCATAAGGGGGAAGGTATGTCTCATGGAACTGTGGGTCGAAGGGACCGTTGTACAAAATTTGACCCATGTAATCAGCAGGGTTAATGCACGGCGTTCCTGGGCATGACTGTATGCCAATGACGACAGCAACTTCCACAGAACCCGTCAATGTATCCTGTAAAAACAAGCATTGATTGAGGAACAGGCATGATTACATGTCAGAAACTCACAGGTCTCTCTACCTGAACAACTAAATTGCTTCCAGGAGAGACTGAAAGACCTTGCGGAGGGTATCCAATTACAGCGCCCTGAGCGAAAGCAGAAGCTACAAAAAGAGCTAGGGAGAGAACTGACTTCATGATGAATGATTTTGCTGAATTGGTGAAGACGATGAAAGCTCACCCTTTTATATGCAGCATGCTTTTGGCTTTGGGCGAGAGGGCAGCATTCGCCGCAACTTTGAAACCATACGTGTCAGAAAATTCCAGGACGCTGTGCCATCAAAATATTGATCCGTTGACAACTTGAGCTGACCATTGACTTGATCGGTAATAATCCATTCCAGCCTAGTGAACACAGGAATACTTCTCATGTCAATGGAGCCGGCGACATTCGGAAAACGCTCATAACATGCACAGCTTTCATTCGAAGTTAAATGTTGAAGGCTATGATCAATGCGTGTACAAGTGAGCTGGTTGAGCGCAGCAGACTCAAAGTTGACTGGGACTGGTGACTGGTGTGCAGTTGACTGTTGAAACTAAGTTTAAGATCAGCAAATTGCGTAAACTTTCAATTAGAAATCGACGTAAATGCAACTTATTCGTACTTGAACGTTCCACCCACAAGCAGTCCGTGAATAACTCGATTTTTGATGCTAAGGCCCATTTACAGCCACATAAGCTTTTCACATAAACGCGATTGACTCTTGCGCAGGCTACCATCAGATTCGCCCGGACCTACTATTACATGCTGCAGACGACGTCTTCTTCGGACTTGCCAGTGGTGCAAGACCCCAACTGCGCAGTCACGGCGCTGAACCTAAGCATTTTGCTGTTCTCCTTCCATGGCCTTTCTTTCCTTGTAGGTATGGGTTTCAAGCTGTACGTCACTTTCGTAGAGGCCTTTCTCGAACCTGCTCACATGCAGAATGATGAATTTCGCAGATATATAGTAAGACGCACGGCAACTGAGTATTATTCCAGGATAACTCACTACATCCACTTCTCAAAATGAGAGTCGTCAACCCGATCGTCGCCTTGCTTTTTTGAGCATTGCTTCTGCATAATAGGTCTTCATGATGTCACCATTAGCCGCTGGGCACGACTGTCTCCGGGGAAAAATATATATAACGATCACTATTGGGAAACCAGTAAGTTAATGAGTCCTCTCCAGGTACAATCTCGATTTTACGTTGTACAAGGACTCGTTGTCTGCTTCCGAGTCGTCGTTGCCATCCGCTCATGCGTATGGAATATTTGTGTCCCTCAGGCTGAAGCGCTAGGCGAAGTTCTGTCCATTTAATCCCCGCACGATCTTCAAGCAACCGAGCGAAGACTTCAACATTAGGATCCCTTAATCTATAAGCAACAGTAGCGCCCTCCTCACCGTCACTCACTTTGCCCTCATTGGGGTACGTGTTACATTCTATGACTGGTGTAGGAGCCAATACTGAGTATGGTTAGACCGCCTTGGATGGAGATATAAATATATAGCTCATTTCGCAGCCTATGGCACGATTCATTGTATTGCAGTCTCACTTTGGCAACTGGAATGCTGCTTGTGCTCCATCACGTTCTTAATTGTCAGAACGGACGAAGAAATGGATGTTGGAAACAGGATCCGTTCACAAATGATGATCACCCCGGAAACCCCTGACCGCCCCACCATGTGGACACGTTTGTCGCTGCACAAGGACATTTCATCTAGATATGAGGATTCATCGAGCTCCACGCTTGACCCGAAACTTGAACGGCGCGATATACCTACCCATCAAGAATGCATATTATAGAGATCGGCAGTACCCTGAAAGCATCTTCAACTTCAGTCTCCCTGCCAATATATTGTGGAACTGTGAGGAGGACTTCAAGTGTCTTCCTCGCTTCTACTTTCACCGTAGCTGCTTTTGCACAAAATGTTAACAGTTAGTGCTGGAAGGAACCTTAACGTCGACATTGTTTGGCCAGTAAGCCCCCAGGCACAATATTCTCGTCCCATCGGCATCACACGATTGAATCAGTCCACTGGGGTTCCGATCTTCGTTGCAAGATGTAGCTGGCGTAATTTCAATCCAATCGCGTCATCCAAGCCGCTAGCCAGGCGAGGCACTCGATGACATCCTCTACAACGGTACAATCCACAAGAGACTCGAACCAAAGTGGCCCTCAGCCATATCAGAAATTTGATGTTCGAGTTCCTTCTGATTTGATGGGCAGTGTGTTCCTGACGATAACGGATGTGGCGCTTATTGGGGTGAGAGCTCGTGATCGTCATCTTCTGCTCAAAATTAACGCTGGTTGCATCTATGCCAGGCCGGGCCCATTGCGTGGATAGAAGAAAAGAATGTAACGTTCCATGTTCTTTGATATGCCCGCGAGAAATCATTTCATTTTACTATCAGCAATTCTGATGGGAACAGGCAGTACGAATTTGAGATATACCAACCTGAGGTCTGCGTGCATCGGCCGCAGACCAATCATTTCAAGAAACGGCGCTATACACTCCGGAGCGTCTACGATGAGATCTAGGAGTTATCACCGTAGAATTAGCGAAGATGTTATACTATCACAGCCGCAGTCGTTCCCAGCAAACTTAGCTACGATCAGGGCTTCGTCTTCGGCGTTCCCAAGAAGATTGACTTGGATCATTTCGGGTACCCGCACGTACGCTCTATTAAGCTCGAATGGGACTCTGTCAATCAAGCCAAGCAGTAATAAGGTATGATCATGACCGTGAACGGTTGCTAAAACGATCTTGAACAATACACCTCCTTGCGAGTTAATTTGAAACGATCACTCACTATGTTACACAGCCCAAATTATTCACATGAACTTGAACATACCAGACATATGTTGTAGTGAATACAAACTGGAAATTGAAAGGGAACTTCACTAGCGTTTGAGCTTGGTTTTACTTCAATTACGGAGTCTAAAAATAGTACTACCAATGTAATTCTCTCCCGAGACCTTCCTAAGATGACACATTTCAGAGTCTTCCTCGGCGCGCCATCCGTCAGTGATCTCAAAAAACATTCAGCTGTTTCGTACACCTGGAAGACTATCGAGCATTCTTCAGCAGAGGCCTCCCAAGCACTACTATATCCTCCTACAACATCGGAGGCTGCAAGCAGACGAATATCTCTGCTCTACCAGAACATTATATTCGACGACTGTGATGAAGAAGCCCTTGATCAGGAGCGTGTTGACCCGAGCGCATGGCCTGAAGGAAGCCAGGCTTTGATGAATGGTATGTTTATTGCATAGCTCCACGATCGCGAGCTCCACTTCATATACGTGCAAATAGAGCAGACGACGGTGATAACCTGGCCTCCAACCCCTGTTGCAGACACCGTTGATGTACCTTCCTTCCTGCGCGTATCGCAGTCCCAGTCCCAGTCTCAGCTTGCAATGGATCAAACACAGGAAACCACCTTTGTGTCTTACTCCGACGCGTCCTCTATAGCTCGCTTCCCGCATTTTCAGATTAGCCTTCATAAGGTCTCATCTCTTGCATCCCTCTACAACGAAAGAATTGCCAGAGGGAGAAAAGTGAATATATTACTCGCTACGCTAGAGGTGGAAGGCCCTGATACAGTGTGTGTGAAGAAAGGCCCAGACGCAGGGAAAGAAGTTTCTGTTCTCAAAATGATTCTGGGTGATGAAGATGGATCAGTATGCAAGCTCACCGCGTGGCGTGATGTTGCAGAGGCTTGGGGTGCACTGGGCGTCAAGCGTGGAGATATAATTTATCTAGAGAGTGCGTATCGTATCACCCTTGGGATCGCATTGCATGGACCCACGTTACTTCACATCACAGACCTCGCACCAACGTGCGAGCCAGGCAGCTCGATCACCCTTACCGCTTCTCCATATAACAAGCCCACCGCGGAGATTTGCTTTCGCACCATGCCTTACACACGCGAGGATAATCGTCTCCGGCCGGACCTCCGGCTCGGGAAAAGTGACGCCGCCGTCAAGAAGGTCGCTGCACTGACCCAGTGGTTCGAGCGGATGGCCGGGTTGGCGGTTAGTTAGTTGAGCACATGCCCAGCTTGACAGCATCGCTGTGGCTATTCCACATTTGACGTCGATGACTCATAGTCTTAGACGTAGCCACTACAAAGCCACTAGACCTTCGCTGTGGCGCAAGTTACCGGTTGCACTGGCATCATTGTCGCCGGCCCACCGGCCGCGGATCTCGATCGAAGATGTTACTCGGTAATTATGCATGCAGGCTTGCTAGCCCGCAGCTGCACGCAAGTGTTCTTTCATTCATATGTATGCATACACAGCCATCAAGCACCCATGCTTATAATAGATATGTCAATCCGCGATTCGTTCCGTACGCAGGTCAATGCCAAGCACACAGGTCCACACCATGGGCGCCACCGCTTTGGCCACACCATGACCATCAGTACAAAAGCCCACTCTCACTTTATCAGTGGATGTGGATGTGGACGATGGGACACCTCGACGTTGGCACTAGACTATAAAGCTTCCTCATCGTTCTCTTTGCCTGCCAGTGACCCCGTGTAGTGTCATTCGCGGTCATCTAGATCTCGACGAATCCCTCGTGATATGCCCTTTTCAGAACCCGTCTCTACAAGCTTTCTCTCCATTCCTTCCGTGTTTACACGTCTTCAACGCAGCATTAAACTTCGAATGCACGCACCCTCCGTTTCCGAATTCTTCTTGCCGAGTCATCTTACCCTGAAGCGCAGGAGCTCTCTTTCGTCCACCCGTACGCAAAAATCGTCCTTCACTTCCAGGGCCACAAAGCGCAGGTCTTTACTTCCCTCGCTGAAGTTATCTTCATCCTCGTTATCTTCCTGGTCTTCCCGGGACACGGAATCCAGTCCAAAACCTGTGGGCTCTGAGTCAAGTGCCGAATCAACCGCCTCCGATATTATTGTGATACCTGCGAGTCCTATTTGCCCTTCGGTGCTCACATTTGCTGTAGGTTTGTTTCCGTTCAGTTCGATTGATTGATTCTGACCGTTTGACGCAGCCTCCACTCGGGCAAAAAATTACTGATCGGTTTTGGCCCGAAGAAGATCTTGAACAGGATGATCAAGATGAAATATCTGGAAATGGCAGGCTCTCGTCGCCGATGATCGTGAATGTGTTGTCACCTCCTCCATATCACCGACGTGCTCCAAATGCCATCGTGCATCAGGATCACATGCTATCTAGGTCTGTTGTCCAGATTTGGCTTCTTGAAGTCTGAAAGGGCTGACGATGTACTCGCAGTGATAATTATCCTTCGCATTATAGAAACCAGGACGACTCACGCCCTATGCGGTTCCCGTTCTGAGCATAAATTTGTGATTTAGATAAATGGTATCTTACCTCGCGTTAATCAAACCTATCGTCTGCCCCTAGACTAATTTGCATAGTGTATTCTTGCTATATTCTAATGTGTACCCTATCTTGGTTTCCCTTTTGTTACTTCTTAGATGTAATTGTGCAAGTTGGCCTTCCACCGCGCAGGCCTGATTATGTTAACTTGAACCGTCGCTTGACAGGGGCGGTTGCACCTCATCCAACACTATCCGAGTAGCCTCCACAATAATCTCCCATTCTACCTTATGTAGCCTCTCCTCATAAGCTTCTATCGCCTCCCCCTTCACTACCTCCACTCTTCTCTGAATCAACGGCTCCCCGCGATCGACTTCTTTGACCACACGATGCACCATCACGCCCAGCTCATCCACCTCCCCCTTCTGGAACGCCTCAAAGCCTCTTTCAATTGCATGCGCACCATCAAACTGCCCAAACAAAGCCGGATGGATGTTAATCACAGATACCTCCCTTGCAAGCACTTCCTCGCCCTCCAATACCCGCGTCCCCTTAAACACATTCAAAAACCCCTCGCTCACGATGTGCATCCATCCCGCACACACGACCGCATCTGGCTTCGCGCGCAACACAATGCGCGCGACCTCCACATCATAGTCCTCGCGCGTCTTTCCGGGGTTTGATTTAATGAACGGTTGAAGACCGAGGTATGCGGTAGGGATCGGAGGCAAGGCGGTGGAAGCGCGTATCAGACCACGTGCGTTTTTGCGATTAGAAAGGACAAGGACGATGCGGGTATTAGGCAGGGACGATGTGTTCTGTGCATCGATCAGTGCTTGAAGGTTAGTTCCTGTAGTCACGATCTGATATGACAGGATGTACGTTTGTGATTGAGATCAATACTTACCCGCTCCTGAGATGAGGACAGCCAATCGTCGTGGCGACGTTGCTGCAGGGTTTGGATCTTCCATGTCGCTGGAATGGTATTAGCTCTTATCAAAAGGCCATGATATGGATAGCGTACTTTGTGAGCACTTAATCGCGACGTCGTGATAAAGTTTGCAAAGTACCGTTAGGTACCATGTTATTATTGTGGCGTACCTGATTTAGACTTAGCAGATATTCAGCATTTTTGGTCGCGGAGTTCAGCATAAATGAAAGTCCTGTGGATCCCAAAAATAACTTGTTTCTGATAGAAACCCTTGAGCTTAAATGTTGAAGCGGAAAAGCACAATGTTTCCAAGAAGAGCACTAGCTGGGTAAGTTCTCAAAGATGGGAATGAGAATCAGTATTGAGATGGCCGAGCACACCGACAAGGTCCATGGTACATGTAAATCTAGAATTATAAGTAATGAGTAAGGTAGCCAAACGACAAACACGGCGCCCATATCCTGTGATCCTAGGAGGACACCCGCCTTTTACGTCAACGGAGCGTATCTATGTGGTACACTTTTGATTCGACAAAGATGATACAAAACACCAAATGAGTAACGGTAAAGAGCGCAAGTTTTGGTGAGGTCAAAAAGGAGGGTTTCGTTACTCGGTGGTTAGTGTTACATAGATAGAAGACAAAACATACAACGAAAGCGAACGCGTGCAAGTTGATGAAGCTACGCATAATTATAATGATCAAGCAAGTGGTCACTGAGACAAAATGAGAGGAGTGGGTTATCAAAACGTAGACAACAAGATGCGGTCAGAGCATAGCAAGCAGAAGAGAAAGCGATACTTCGTCCTAAAGTCCCAAGGCGTCCGTGCACGGCACGGGAATTGTGTGTATCGCCTTAAAAGCTCATAGGCCTCATATCATCATGCCATATACTCCGCCATTGCCAACGTTTATCGGGGCGCCCAAACCTTGCTTCGTCATCATGGACCCCATGCCATCCTCGACCCTGCCGCTCCACGACCCTGCGATACCAGTGTTGATGTGGAGGTTTCCCAGGCCCAGCCTTTTGGGTAGACCATAATCGGGGAGGGCATTCGCAATCTCGTAGCTCATAGACGAAGCTCCATGGGATGGTGAACCGTATCCAGAGCCAGGGCTGCTGTGACCAGATCCGACGGATGATGTGTCGTCAGCATCGGCGACATACCCCATGGCACCGTGCTGCTGTTGGAACGCGAGCATTTGCTGCCGTTTAAGGTTGGCAAGGGCCATTTGGTCCCCAAAGTGATGTCCGGTCGTTGCTGACGATCCCATGCTGTGCGAGCTATTGGGAGGTGTGATTAAGTTGCGCTGCACCGGAAGTTGTTGGGGATGTTGAGGGTGGTAGGCGTTATACATGTTCGGCCACGCTTTCATGTTATGTTGATCCATAGTGGGATGGTGTTGTTCGATGTAAGGGGCTGTAGCAAAATTCACCCGAGGTTCGTAAATTGAAGGCATCTCCGGGTTCTCGAAGGAAACAGGAGAATGCATCTGAGCGATCATAGGACCGCCCTGCGATGTGGGCGGGCCACGTGGCATCAAATGCGCGATGTTGACGTCAGTGGGGGGCATATTCCCATGTGCATACATGCCGTTCTTGACCATCGGCGCAGAGGGCATGACATCCTCAGTGTCGTCCATGTTATTTGGCATCGAACCAGCGAATTCATCGTCACCCTCATCATATCCGTCATACGCCTGACCTTCTTCATCTTCTTCCATGATAGTTGCAACAATTTCGACTTCGCCGTTGAGGACCATGGAAAAGCCTTCTCCACGAACAGGTTCTTCCACATAGGGAAGACCAGCACGATCACGCCATTCGTTGAGTTCCCGGCGAAGGGCATCAGATTCTTGCTTCAGAGCCCGCAGCTCCCGCGAAGCTAGGAAGCGGTGACGCCTTGACGCGTGAACGTGAGCGATCGAAGAGTTAACGATCGCAGACTTGGAAGGTCTGCGGATCTGCGAAAGATTAGGAAGCAGCGCAGCAAGGTCCTAAAAAGATAGCGTTCGGATCAGCGGTTCTTTTGATCAAGAAAAATGAGGCTTGCCAAGAATCTGCCATTGAGAGTCTCTCTGCGCTGTCTCTCCACTGCGTTGTGAGTAGCACGCCTTTCCGCGGTATTGGCCCGGCGACTGGGCTTTCGTTTGACCTGCGTAACAGCACCATTGGTTGAGGCTGTGCTGGAGCTTTGTGATTGGACGTTATTGTTTTGCTCTGTGGATGATGCCAACGGAAGTGAGAGAGTTTGGCCGGCGGCAGGAGTAATCGGAGTTTGAGGGGGAACAGAACCCTCTACTGAAGCGGGAGAATTGCTAGCAGATGGAGACGAAGAGGAAGCGATTGGAAGAGTTAAAGCCATGATCAACAAACAGGAGTTCTACAAAGGAGAGGTAGAGTATAATTGAGACGATAACACGAGTAAAACAGAAGAGAGAGATGGGTTCCGGTGACAAAAGATGATTAACCAATTGATATTGATTTTACAAGGAAACGGTGATAAGAACAGTAGGGTACGCGAGTTTCCTCAGCGGAGACCTTGACTGTAGGGATTTGCGGGTGGACTAGAAAACGGGCTATATGCAGGTGAAGTTGTGTATAGTCGACAAGCTGCTATAAATCAGAGTCGCGAGCGAGCTCAAGCGTACTACTGATTGGTCCTTTGAGGTATGTGGGGGTCGTTTGAAAGTCGGATTGTGAGAAGCCGGCAAGGGTCGCGAGATCTATAGCAGGTCATTAAAATATCGAGTCTGTGAAAACAAGAAAGACTGACTACAAGCGGGATCCTTGTTAGCGGCGAGGCTTATCGGAGATGAGGGAGAAAAGGGTTTATAGACCTCAAAGGACCATGCAGAGAGAGAGGACTGACAAGTGATGGGGTTGTAAAGTCAGGAAGACGAAGACGACGCTTTCATATCAATCGGCTAACTCCGCATTATTTTATTATTTCCCATAAATCACTAATCCCCTCTCACGTATACCTATCTAACCGATGTCACCAACGCTTGATGCCGAAGATTATTTAATCTTATTTTAATTTGTACCTGTTTGCGTCCGTCCCTATTCATTGACCCATTTGGAAATTCAGTCGGCTTTGCCGCTCAGCAGTGCTGAGTTGCACTGGGCTGCTACAGAATAATACCCGATCCCCGGGCACTCTTTACAATTTTAATACCCTCTTTTACGTTCAATTCGCGTTCTGAACTGAGTTACGTCCTTTGATCGCGGATTTTGACGTTGCAGCGCCTTCGGATCCTCTTCTAGCTAGCCACAAACGGCGTTGCTATCACCACCGAGGGCTTGCAACTCCTGCTGTCTTCCCTCGGTCGATTCCTACTATCAACTGCTCACGGTCTCTAATGTTTCTTTGCCATGTATGTAGACTGTGTTGTCGTTTCATCGAGGTAGTCAGCGCGGCGCGCTGATATATTTTTAGTAAGTCAAGTTGAAGTTCCGACGTTTTTGAAACACACTGACCTGGTAACGTTAATCATAGCATAGCAGTTGCGTCTTGTTCTCATTTAGGCACTGCCGAGGCATGGCAGGGTTAGCTAACATTGCTCCCTCTCTAACACAAATCCCTTGGGAAGTACCCTCACACCCTGTCAAACCTATATTTTGTCTCCCGCAGGCTCCACTTTCTCCGGTATTTTTGTTGTGCTTATTTTCATGCGCCACAGCATTGGTGCAACTTTCTTACAATTAAGTATCAGCGCCCCGCATATTACTCAAGAAGTCATGAGAAGATGCGCAACGAGGCTTCCGAGAAGTTCTACGGCGCCGTATTACCTTGTTTGATAGACATGAGCAGATCCATCAAAAGCGCGAGGACGACGAGGCCGCCGCGGGCGCAGAAACACGGAAAACCGGTCATGTCTTATTATCACAAGCCAGAGTCGTATAAAGGTACCATGACCTGACTAACCTCACTCTGTCGCCTGCAGTCATTATCAACTCACTTGACACCTAGTAGTACTGTAACTCAGCCAACCATTCACACGATGGCAACCATGCAAGACGCCAACTGCGAACTGATATCCGCCGAGGATCAACAACGTAACGTTCTGATGAATGCCTGTCTATCGACTCGACGTCAAGTCAATTCGTCATCAAAATTTGACTTTTCAACATGTTCAAGGATGAGAATCATCGGGGACACTTGTATCTCCGGTGTTGCAAAAAGGGCATACGTGGTTTGTTCAGAGAGAGAAGTAGTGTTGATTGTAACAGAAGCCTAAGGCGTTTCTTTTACCCTAATCATTGGATTTTGAATCGATGACAAGTGACCGGTGACCTTGGTCAGACAAGGTACTCTTGCACCTACACACGCAGCTCCAGCCAGGTCCCGTTGAAGGCGATTCCGACCTGTCAGTGAGAGCTACATGTGATTGTCACCCTCTTTCCTGCAGATCTCCTGAACGTGAAGTTGACCTTGGCAGTACCGGAAACCGGCAGGCCGTAGGCCAGCTGCAGCCAGGAACTATATCTTGTCGTCCACTATGGCCGCTCTGTAAATCACTTTAAACGGGCTTAAGATGTGTATATATGATATATGGCCTTTTCATGAATCCTCTGCCATTCTACCAGAGGTCCAGAACATAAAGTTTATTTTAACTGTTGTAAGGGCGGAGCCAAACGTTCCCCGCGGAAGTAATCCGGATTAATTATTAAGGTCTGGATTTTGGAACCAACTCCGCTTCCGTTCTGCGTTTAACACCAACACGTGACCGCAAGTCATCCAAACGAGTGCGCAGTGAACAACTAGGGCCAAGCAAAAACCTGAGACAGCGAGGGAACGAAAGTAAGCAAAATCACAGAAAATATGATAACACGACAAATGCAATCTCAAATTTCTAGACACCTATGTGAAATACAATCACCTGTTCCAGTGGAATCTTCTTGCGCAACAACTTGACGATAGCCTGCGCGCAGTCTGATGCGCCTGAATCATTAAGCCAGTTGTCATAGAATGCAGATACAATTTCGCCTGCAACATCGTTGTCGACAGACGGCGGCATGGAATCAATAACACCGCGAAATCCGGAAAAATTACATAGCCGCAGCGACGTTGAGACTTCTCTCATCGCCTACAGTGATGTGGCAAGTTGATAGAATGCGGACTCCGGGTTCGGCCAGGCTGATCGGATGATGTCCTTGGTTATCTTTGGCGGCCCGCCGCACATTGCGAATGAAGACTCGACCGGTTTTCTATTTAGCATCCTATGGCGGGCTAGACAGGGCAATTGATTACAAGTTAATTATAGTGCAAAGCACAAACGCGAGGTTATTCCGGAGTGATGTGAAGGATAACACGGTGAATACGGGACGCTGAGCTATGACGGCTAACTAAAGAGCGACATATCTCGGAGCCTCCCTCTGTCAGGGCTCCATTGAGCGGCTTGACCAGTTGCAACAAATTATTGTGTGGGTACATCTTGAGAAATGCGCTATCTCGCGAGTGCCGCCGAGGTCGGGACATCCAAAGTGAGGTAAAAGTGACATGAATTGGAGCTTCCCGCTGCACGCAGGAAAGTTGCGTAATCACATGCAGGGGATGCTGAAAAGCTTGTGTTATCGATCAGAATGATCAAATCGCTCTACGAGGCGCCGAAACTCGGAGACTTTGGTCCGCGGGATATCGAATGGAACGTGGATGAGAGATCGGGCACTGAGGCTCATCAAATCCATACTGACTATCACCGTTAAGCCGCTTGAACAGATTGCGCCAGTGTCAATTGATGGAGACAAACGATCGAGCAGTGTGCATAAACATGCCAACTGGGTCCAAAATATCGCACGGCCTTGCTCTATAGACTATCACCTCTATAGCAGTGGCCAATGTATCATGACGAAAAATATTAATGGAATCTGTAGCAACGCAAGAAATGGCCTTCCTGACAGCATCAAATGGCGCCAAGACGATAATAAAATAGCAACATGCCGACATAGGAATGTCAATGCGGTGTGATAGGCAACCAATGCAGAACTCACATCAAATTTACTGCCCACATCACATCAATCAACTGCAAATCTTATAACCCCCCGCCAACTAAGTAACTAGCTGATTAGCTGATTCGTTGAAACTTGACGTTTTCCTCATATCTACTAGTCAGCAGCTTTTTCGTGTCAGTACGCAAAACTTGAACAAAATGACATCACATCTTCCCTATTACACTGCGAGGAATCCATTGGAGCGGTATATCCGCGACTATGTGCCTGCGTGTCGTGTATCAGGCAAGCGATGAAGAGTTGAGAGCTACGACCCGAAGCTCCGCGGCTGACTAAGCTACGTACTCCGGCCCAGGTCTAGACCATCAATTTGACAAGGCTCCCGCGATCATCATTCTTCAGAATGCAGTTGCCACTAATCCTGAGGGTATGTCTTCTTCATCCAATGTTCTCCATCTTCAGAGAAAACGTCATGGTCGCCACGTGCACAGATTCCGGAGACTGACCGTGTACGGTACTACATGATCTTCCTGCCAATTTCGATGAAGCAAAGTACAACACATCCACTGGTCCGGTCACTCAGGTCACTCAAAGCTGTTTTACTATGTTGCGTTTTTTTCTATCTAGAGGGAAATTGTACCCGCCATTGAAGAATATTCTGTGCGGCAGCAGGGTTGACAACCGATGTCATCTACTTGCATCAACCCCAGTATGTTTGGGACACAAGTAATTCAAGCGTTACTCATACCACGTCGACTACTTTGGAAGGTTTCATTACCGGTCTCCGCCTATGGAATATCAGTGCAAACTGTGGTATCAGTAAGTTTGTGTCGATGGTGTTTGTCTGAATTCGACTGTCAGTTCCCAGGTACGCTGGTGGTGCAAGAATATGCGGCCATGATGATGGAAGCGGAAATAGGAGCTCCTCGGGAAGCGGCTTTCTTCCTTCCATCCGAATATGCCCAGGACCTAGGTCTATCAACCAAATGTATACGAGCTTCTGTAAGTTTCGAAATATGTTCATAGTCATGGACTGTATCTGTTTCTATAGTGATCAAAGATTCGACAAGTATAACTTTCTTAACGCGAGCTTGAGAAATGATTCTTCCAAAATTGACATGCCAAAATTATTCCAGATCTAATTTTTTACGTTCCCACATCACCTACCCCTTTTTTCCAGTCGGAGAATGTCCAACTACTGTGACTCATCACTGGGGTTGCCAAATATCAGATGATCAACTCGCAGGAGCTTGTGAGCAGCACAATTGGGGACACCTTGTACCCCATCTGTTATTCCACGACCAACAGAATCGTTAATCATACGCTTGATCAAACGGAGGTTTTATCTTGAGCTCGTAAGTTTTGTGTTACACTGTCTTTTCCCACCTCTAATGATTCTTTTCAGGGGGGTTCTAGCGTTGTGTTGTTGAATTCTCCGTAACAGTGAGGTAGTTCTTTAAAGATAGTTCACATTGACTTGATATTACTTCACAGTTTCTTTTATTATAGGCCACGGGTATGATACCCCGAACCACCTCTCTTCCCGAGTTAATGGGACAATGTCCATATCGACGATCAGCTGGACTAAGACGTCGCTGACATGGTATGATTTTTAGTTATTCTCGTTATAGTAGTGTTTGTTCTCAGTTGTATACCTCTCCTTTCTCTTGTTGATTTATGCATATAAGTAGCGCACGAAGCTAAGCTTTAGGTAGCTGGGAAGTGTGCTTTCATGCCATCGGCGGAGGACACGACGTGAAACGCCCGCCGTTTGTACTGGATATGCGAATGCCCCTATGAATGCTATACATGTGACCCGAACCTTGTGAATTACGTTGGACTCACACATCCACTGACCATCATATCGACCAGCTGCGGGCTTTGTAACTTCCCGCCATCGAAGCAATTGAGTACTGCGACACACTGTAAGTACCACGGCGTTGGTTTTCCCCATACAAGTGCCTAGAACATTCCGTCTCAGCAGCACGCGATGAGTAAATAAAACTTATTAGGCCCCCTCTACTAGATAGTCTTGTTGACGAGGCTTCCACAATGATCATCGATCATTAACCCTCGGGACGAATTTGTCACTAATCCCGAGGATCCGTCTTTCGAGTCTTCATCCAATGTTTCCTGTCTGCGGAAAAATGCCACGATTCCGACGGGAGACTGTATGGTTGTTGGACCGGCGGATCTCACAAAGCCTTTCTATGAGTTTCGCAGGTGTCGGGAGACCTATCTTCCGAACAATTCAACGACATTTTGCGAAGTTGGCACCCATGATTATTGTGGTATTGCACTCGCACGCACTGCCAACTTGGCCTTTCTTCAAATAGAGCACTCGTACAGAAAGTGAAGACGTAGGAAAATGTACAAGATGAATGAGCAAAGATAGTTTGATACGTACTGTACGGTCGTTAAATTATTCCGGTCTAGGCGGCACTACGATGCCGTTCAGCCTTATTATTACAGCTTCTCTCCTCGATAATGTGGCTAATGGCTGCTTGCGTACTACTAATCTTCCGTTTCTCCCATTTCACTCTCCCACCTCATTCCATACACATGTACACCGCATTTACATGTTGTCTCAGCGCCATTCTACTGGTACCTTCTTGCCACTCACATAAATACAACCCAAAGGCTTTATGTAAAGGCTCTAGACTCTACGTATGTAAAGCGTCATGGCGCATGTATGTTTTTTCCAACCAATTCACCGGAGTCTCACCGATGTTGAAAAGTCTTTAGAAGATGCTAATATGTGATTCCAGTCTCTAAAACTCTTAATCGCGTGTCTTCGAAAACACTTCTTTCAACCTTATCGCTTGAGTTCGAACTCATCAGTTTCGCCTCGTGCCGTCCGACGTCATAGAAGGATAGATTTACAGGCCCAGTCTACGATTCCTCGTATTACGTGTACTGTGTTCAGTACGAGGATGTCGAGGAAATAGTTGTATTGCGGGTCAGCCAACACGCTCGCCAAATAGATATTGAAGCCACTCGCAGAAGAACAATATGGCCACCCCGTGGGTCAACAAGGTCCGCCTTAACTTCCGCAATCCTGCACAGATGTGGGACAAAACAAGGTAAAAAGTTTCCCAAGATGGTCGCAATGTTACTTAGCACAAATTCAAAAGCGCGTCTCCGAATCTCAAGCAGCCTTCTTCCCACCAATCAGACCGGAAACTCCGCAGAGAACGAATGGGCCCCAATTGCCTTCACCGATGAAGTCATATTCAGCAGTGAAAGGGTCTTCCCAGAAAAGGCAGGCGTCGACAACTGAGATGCGGGAAAGTTGGTGTCAAAATCACAGAAGCAAAAGACTCACGTCACTGGCTGCTGAAACTTGGATTTGGCCTATTCTCATACGTAGGTCAAAGATCAGTTCGGATCAGGAAATTGAATAAACGGCTTATGCGAACGAACACCTTTCCTCCAGGATTTGCGGTTATGTCTTCTATATGGTGTATCAGCGCAAAGATTGAATGATGGTTACCTTAAATTCAATATGCTTAGAAACCTTCTCACGGAAAACCCTGTAACCGGCCTGGTTGAACCCGGCTTCATTCCCCTCGCCGAGAATGTTCAGGCCCCTGGGGGTGAAGCCTTGTACGCTGACTTGGAAGGTGTGATCCATAATAAGAGGCTTGATTGATTTTGAAATCTAGTGAGAGACCCTAAATGTGTAAAACAGATTAGTTTGCCAACTCAACTGAGCCACTGGGGCCTGGGGTTTGGGCGTCAATGTCAATATATACGTGAATGATGAAGAACCTTTTATGCTTACGAAAGGCCGATATTATCTGCTATGAGGGTGAAGACTCATTGGCGCAACTACCCAAATTTGGCGAGGTTGGCGGCCCGGGACTCATCCGTGTCTGATAGAACACCTATAATGTGCCTTGTGCGAATCATGACGACGGAGATCCGCGATGCCCGGGAGCTGCGCAAGAGATATGGTGATTTTCGGTATACGAGGCTTATCACGCCTTCGAATAATAGTATGCTCTCCTTTCGTGCCAGACGTTTGATTCTGAAGTTGTTTTGCTTCCTATCGGGATCGGCTCTCGGAAATGTGACGATGTTCCTCCTTGTTGGTTGCTTGGCGTCTCGCTGTCAATGCGGGCAACAAAAACAATAAGATGAGCCGACATAGCGTAGATGAGCGCTATGCTCGCAATGGTTATGGTCAGCGAGAACAGGGGGAAGGTAATAATAGGAATATCAATTGTGGAGCAGCAAGATAAATTTACATCGGACACCGAACCAACTTCTCGGAAAATGCCTCAGGGTCGTAATGGAACTGTTGGCGAATAAGTACCGCCTTACCTTCCTAAGCGCACGAGTCATAATCTTGATCCTCTGTCGTATTCCGTTTGCGTGTACGGGTCTTGCTCGCCCCTTCCGTCTTGCTCGCTTTCTCCGTCTTGCTCGCTTTTCCCGTCTTTTTCGCTGCGTGACTTCGCACTAATGATGTAATTTCATTAACCAACGACAGTTCCGCCTCAAGGACTTCGCTATCGTCGACCAAAGAAAGGCGGTTGAGAGCCGATATCTCCTTGGTCCATATTTCTGTTGCTTCGAAAGTTGGGGTCTCGAGAATGAGAGGAATGTCTTGCGTCCGAGGGTCGGACACAATGTGCCTGAACGTAGAAATGCCAATATGACCGCTAATACGGCGGTAAAAACGCCCATTTTATAAAGAACTAAGTATGGGGCACGCACAGTCCAATATTTTCATGTCGATCCTTTTTTGACCCGAGGGCGGCTTTGGAGTCATTTAAATGCAACCCCTTGAGATATGATAGTCCCACTTCGGTGTCGAACGCGGAGACTGTGTGATTCAGGTCACGTTTGTGTTTCATAGTTCGTATCTGTAGAACTCACGCGTTGCACTAGAGAGTTACATTAGCTGGTGTATAAAACGAATAGTCGACAGACATACTTCCATCCAGCTTTTGTTGAAATGTCGTATCCCTGAAATCACGGTGAAAAGTTTGCGAGACAGAGAATGAAGCCCTTACTGCAGCGAACGCATGACCTAAATGCGACCTGTCAGTAAGAACAAGCACAAAGGCCGAGACGAACATGTATCAAGGCAAACGCCTACTCGTGTCTTGTCCTCGACGCGGTCGATGATCTCCTTCAGCTCTGAAAACTGAGAGCCTATGACATTTCCTGAACCTGCCTATTTTGAACGGATGAAATGAGGATAGTCGATATTCCAAGAGCCGTATAAATGCACACCATGTTCTCGATGACAATTGTTATATATTTCGTTATTTTGTGAGCGTTGTTGATACATTCAGCGATCAGGGCTATCGATTCTTCTTTTGTGGCCTGCCCAACGGTCGAGCCTGGACTTCAGTAATGTGAGCTTGATTTTGACGGGAATAGGTTAGAATGATGGACTCACTGGAAATTATACAGCTCGAGGCCAAGCTGTTCGCACCGCTGAAGATCATCAAGGAAACAGTTGAACGATTTCTGCCTCTTCTCCCTAAAATCAGACAGCCATCATCATAAACCCACAAATCGAAAAGGCGAGCTCATACTCACTCGTCCGGGTTTCCCAGATTAACTAAATAACTACCATGGGGAAGGACGTGTTTTGGCGAATACCCAAACTCTTGCATTCGACTCTTGAACGCATCGACGCTGTCAGCGGAAAGTGGTGCGGAATCCCATTTTCGTTGGGACTTGACGAATAGAGCGAATGCGTTAGCGCTGTACGGGTTTGATGTTCAACGTTCAGCACTTCAACAAAGAGAGACCAGCACGAAACGCGTCTCTCACCCAACCATCGCTGCATTTCGAACAGCATTCTCAATCCCTCCTGCAGCTGATACATGCGCTCCGATTTTCCACAAACCGGAGACACGTACTGGAAAGTCTTCCGTCATAGGTTTATCCTTCGTCTTTGTCCGCTTCTTGCGGCGCGGGGGTTCTTTCGTGGCTAGAAGTTTCATATTTAGTCACCAACCAGGAAATGAAGTCGGTTCACAGTCTCACAGGCACCATTATCTGACTCGTCTGCTAATGCTGTTCTTTGACGTTTGGAGGACTCCGGGTGAGAGTCGGGTGACGTCAAAGGAATTGATGCAGCGACGGCAGTAGATCTTCTAGTCTGAACCATAAGGTTCGTCGGAATGAGAACCCTTGTTTGCTTAAGTGATGAGAACGATATGCAGGGTGCAGGTCTGATATGAGATAACGCTGCTAGCATCCGAATCCAAAAGTCGCAAGATTTGAAAGTCAATAGTTGTTCCATGTAATACACCCGCGGCATTTCCCGGCCCCCAACAACAATCTACGACTTTCGAAATATTTTATGTGGATCACAAGTTGCTCAGAAAAATAAGGTGTAGATGCATCCTGACTTCACTAAATGCGAAGTGTTTCAGATAAATATAGGTGAGGGGAAGGTGTAACGTAAATGGGCAGGCAGGGGCTGTTCTATGAAACTATGTATATCATTCTCCAGTGGACCTGGGAAGTTCCGCCGTTTTCGCGAATTCGAATCATCGTGTTTGCGTTCACGTTTTTAGAACACAGGGACCATGTTGTAATAGGGGGTTGTGATTAGATCATGTTGCCGATCCTCTTCGCAAGAGGGGGGGAAATACGACATTGTGCAGGAGTTGACCGTTGACCGGTCGACGTGAAATGATCCGATGGTGGTTCTGTGCCGGGTTGATCCAGATTGAAATATTGAATGGACCGACTACTTACTATAGTGCAGCTAGAAACTCAAGGAACTACTTCTGTTTCTAATCGGGAGGCTGCATGCATATAATTTATGTATGAGGTAACTGTTATCAATCGCCACGCACCAGTAACGACCATTGAGAACTATGTTATGTCTCGGTGGGACCTTTGACACACACGAGTACTTTGTCTTCCTCCAGTGTCTTGCACGGCGTTCGCTATCGTCTATGACAAACCCAACATCCCGATTCCTAAACATCAATCCTATAAATTCATCCAACATTACATTTCGTGATACGAAGCATGGAATTTCCCGGGGATGTCCCAGCAAGAATTATTCCCCAATTTGATGCCGGTATCGCCATTAATATTCTGGTTGATGTGCTTCTGCATTTCTAACACAGGGTATATGACACTTAATGCTGGCTCCGATAGCGCACCTAAAGGGTATTTCCACATCACCTGAGCCACTTCGCTCCCCGAAAGCTCGGTATGCCCACTCATAACGCGCTTTCATATCAAATTTCGGAACTGTAAATCTCAGTGAGGTCGGATTACTAGGGGGATCGGTGCCTGTACGTCTTCTTGCGACATAGTAAACTCGTCATGAATTTTTTTAAGCGTGTGTATGGGATTCGACAGAGCGGGTTCTATGTGCCAAGACAAAGTTGATGATGAATGGGGTTAATTGTGATGGGGTATCTGCGGGCGGGTACATGGTAGATGAGTGATTAGATCTCCGAGGGTATGTGGCGTACCAGCACGTTATGCATTCCATGTATGACAGTAGTAGTTGCGGTACCCTATTTCACATTTTGACATCATATAGTGGCAGGTGGGACAAACGAAGCGACTCACGAGGTTTGTACTTGTTGATGAATGGAGTATGTACGCTGAAAAGCGCAGTAATTGGTATAAATCGCAAATAAAGAGACGGTCAAGGACCTCGTGCGTTTACTACGGACTTGGCATGAGGGCATGACTTGAGAAAAAAACACAGCCCGAAGCTGTGCATAAAATTTGATACGTGGTATGCGCAGCGAGTACTAGGACGTCGCGCAAGAAAACTAGGGACATGAGGGGCATCGTGTTCGTTGGGTCATAAGATATAGTACTACGAAGCTGTGCATAAGCAGTCAGGGAATAGTTGCAAGGAGATAAGACCTCGTGCCTTTCCTATTTGAATATGTGGATGGGCTATGTATACCAGTCTTTCGTTAAGGACATCACAACGGCAGGTTGACTCGGACATGTAGTCCGAAGCTGGTGTCAGTCCGACCTTCTACTCGGACGTCACCAAATAAAGACCTCGGAGAACGGAACCTTGCTTTCGTTGTGAGTGAAGCGCCCAGGGCATTCCGACTTGGAGAGGGTGAGAACCAATAAGGATAGGTGAATGAATAATAGGGGTGGAGGGAATGAAGTATATGTCGGGGGAGATAGGTAGGTGCATAAGATGGAAAATCAGAATAGCGAAACCGACATGATGGAGTAAGGATCGGATATTTGCTTCGGCGAGGCCCGAAGTTGAAGGAAGGGGAATTTAAAGGAATTAGTGCATTGGAGGAAGGATGATGGGAATGCCAGCAAGGTTTGACCAGGTTCTACATAAAGAATTACTGAATCGATAGCTTGGCTGGATAGTGACCGGTGAAGGAATTTGGTCTAGAGCAAGTACTAGCAGTAGTATCGCCGTCGAGTGCGGTAGTCGGACACTCGGGACCGCTTGAAGTTAAGCCTGGCCTGGAACTTTAAGGCGCCTATTGAACAGTACTTTAGTCAAAAGTTCTAGACTCTTTTACCGACTAATTCTTCCATTGATACTTACTTGATCACCACTACCATCGTCCATCGACGTCGGCGAGCGTGGGTTTGAAGAAACCGTGAGTTTACTTGTGTTTGGGTTTTGACCTTTACAAGATACACCCTTGCGATTTGAATAAATCAATTGGTACCTACAGCCATGCACATGGACCACCACCACACCTCTGCAGCTAGTACAACAGGTCCTCCTTACTCTTCAGTTCGTTTATTTGCTTCACATCAGTTACCACCACCACAAGTTCAGCTACCTGCTATAAACCTCCCTCAGCGTGCATCAGCCACAACGCTCCCTCCCATGGCTGCAATGAACTCTTCGCCCTATCGCCACCCTTCTCCAGTATCATGGGGCGCATCATCATCATCAATCCATCGCACTTCAAATTCAAGAGAGGATGTATCAATTCATTCACAACGAGAGATGAGGCAGATGAAGAGAGAACCCACTCACCAGATCCACTCAGTCCCCCCACTCAAAGAACAGGAAGATACCATGCCAGCAACAAGCGATTTCGTTAAAAAGCTATACAAGTACTTCTTCTCTTCTTTCTTTACCGTCACAACTTTTCATTTTTGTCCTACAGAATGTTAGAAGACCATACATTCTCCCATGTCGTCTCATGGGGTCCACAAGGTGACTGCTTCGTCGTAAAGGTCTGTATTCTCTTCCAATTACTATCACTTCCATCAATCTTCGTTTACCCAGGACATGAACGAATTCACCAAATCTATCCTCCCACGCATGTTCAAGCATTCAAATTTTGCCTCCTTCGTCAGACAACTCAACAAATATGATTTTCATAAAGTGAGCCTTCGGATCTCGAACTTCTTTCTTTCAATCCTTTCCCCCTTCCACTGTTCCTTCTATTTTTATACCCCTACACCTCGAGTTCTCCATCGTCCCCTCCCATCACGCGACTTCTTGCATCCCCCCTCATATCGCCTATCAAAGGCAATACAATCTCCTTTATCTCAGAGATCCGCATTCCATTCTACCATAGGAATCCCCCATCTCCAACTCGGCCTTATCCGTCGATCTTCGGTTCGATCCGAGGCTTCTACTACCGCCTCTACCTTGTTCAAGACATCCGACAGTTTTTCCGTGCATTGGCACCCTTTTCGTAATTGGTCGTTGCCACAGGGGTCCTTGACGTGACTTGGCAGAATCACGTTGGTTCCTTCTTCATCTCCGTGAAGGCAGCCTCCAAACGCCATACATTCCTCCAGCCCGTGACAAGACGTACTTGCTACACGATCCACCACTCCACCTCCTTGCCTATCTTACCTCCTCTTAACCTCGTTCTGTTCTCCCATACTAATCCTTCTAAATCAGGTAAAAACATCCGATGACGCCCAATTTGGCGAACACAGCTGGACATTTCGACACCCTGATTTCCATGCCGACAGACGCGACGCCCTCGAAAACATAAAGCGCAAAGTCCCTGCTGCACGTAAATCTATTCCTTCCGCCTCTAACGGGGGTCTCAGCGGTGGCAGAGGAGCAAGTTCCGGCAGCCCCGTCCCAGGCGAAACTACTAACGCCGAAATAGCATCTGTGCAATCGCACATCAGCGTCCTGCAAAACTCGTACCAATCGCTCTTTTCGTCGCATGATACACTCTTGACATCCCACGAGACTCTACGAGGACAGACTGATTCTTTACTTGCCTCCCATTCATCTTTACGCGCTCAGAATGATAATCTTTTCGCTACGAATGAGAGTCTGAGGAATCAAATCGGGAGGGCTGAAGAGCGGATTAGGGTGTTGGAGCGTCAGTACGGGGACGTACTTGTTGAGATGGTCAATTTTCAAAAGGGGATGGCGCAGCAGGATGGCTTGATGCAGGGATTGATACAGTATTTTTTAGGGGAGGGAGGTGAGTGTCTTTGATTGAAACTTTATTTTTATTATTATGTCCCGCCCCGCCCCTCTCCGCTTTCCCATTTCTTCCCTGTACCTTTTCAAATGCGATCCCCAGTGGAGATGAAGATTCGTCCGTTTGCAATGCGCTAGTCGTGGTCGTATAATCTAGGCATTGATGATGAGGCCTCGATACCCAGTTTGATGGGTCTACTAGGCACCGAGGACGCGGGTGCATTTTTGCGCTGGTAACGGGCCTGATTTTCTATGCCTGGGCCTGTCCTTCTTCTCGTGTACTTGTGTTTTCCCTCGTTAATACATATTGCTGTGCCCCAGGTAAACCTAAAGACCCCTCAGACGCTACCTCCCAAACTGCCGCCGGGTCTTCTACTATCGCTTCAGCACCCCTCGCTCCAGCATCGGTGTCTCAGTCTACTGTGTCTCAACCCCCACCTCAAACTCCCATACGCAGCATATCTCAAACCTCAACAACACCCATCGCGCCTAGCATGACTCCCAGCACACACCCGCCGCCTTCCCTCCTGGCATCCCACTCACAGCAGTCCATGGGCCAACCTCAACCATCGCCCTTCCTCGCATCTCCTTCAAACTCAAATTCATTCTCCATGCCTTCCTCACACGCACGCAAATCTATGTCAATGTCCCAGCCGCCTCAATCGGCCTCCCTCCACAATCCATATTCTCTCCCCCCACCCCACCCCCATCAATTTGTCCCAGCTCAAGAACTCGGCCTTCAAGATCCAGATATGGTCGCGCGGCTGAGTCTGGTGCAGATGAATGAAATGTCGAGGCGGGCCGCGAGCGATGCGGAGTTTAGGACCCCAACTTCGATGCCGAGGTCGGGTTCTGGTGCTTCGGGATCGTCGGCGGGTGAGGAGATGCATATGCACAGGACGAGTGGGACGCATTCGCATTTGCATCGAGGGGGGCAACAGCAACAGCAGTCGCCATCACAAGCGTCAACACAAGACGGCAACGCTACGTTTATCCTTCCCCCTGATATGAACTGGGACGCGCCAACGACAATGCATGAGGGACTGCAGGTTTTTACAGTTGGTCATCTGTTGCCCCGGAGTAGCGCGGAGGATCAGAATGGGAATTGGATGTTCAATGTTAATTCTTCGACGGGTGCCGTGCCTCCGCCTGCAGAAGGTGAAGGTGAAGGCGAGGGAGGGAATGACAACGACAACGACACTGACACCGACAACCTACCATCGGAACCCGATCCATATTCTGAAGAAGTCGTACGTCCGACGTTGTCTAATGGACAATCTCAATCTTCGACTACGCCTACGACTATCCGTGTTCGACGGTCTACGTTCGTGCCGGGATGGGCTGTTCCTCCTAGGGTGCTGCTTGTGGACGACGACGCGGTGAGCAGGAGATTGAGCAGCAAGTTCTTGCAGGTGTTTGGATGCATGATCGATGTTGCTGTGGATGGCGTTGGAGCTGTGAATAAGATGAACCTTGAAAAATATGATTTGGTGCTCATGGCGAGTCCTTTTTCTCTCTTTGTGTATGCTACGAACTAATTTGATGTTTTTAATTGGGAACGCGACAGGACATTGTGATGCCCAAAATGGACGGAGTTAGCGCTACGAATCTCATCCGCCAATTCGACCACATGACCCCCATCATTAGTATGACGTCTAATTCAAAACCGAGCGAGATTATGACGTATTATTCATCTGGGATGAATGATATTTTGCCCAAGCCGTTTACGAAGGAAGGGTTGTTGGATATGTTGGAGGTGTGTTTTATTTTATTTTATACCAAGAGCTGAGGATCTATATATTGATGCGGCTTCACAGAAACACCTTATGCATCTTAAAGTTATCCAACAAATGTCGAAAGTACCACGTTCGCTCGGCGTCCCTCCTCTATCAGACCCGTCTTTTAGCGAAGCACTCGCGGTTGGGGCGTCGCAATTACAACGACACACTTCAGCGTCCAATCCCGGTTCCTCATCTAATTCATCCTCCTCTTCTAGTCTGCATCCGATGGGAATGTCGGGGTACGACGATGATGGACGGATTAACCCCCTAGCTGGGATGGGTCTATCTGACGAGCGATACGCAGCGATTCTCAGAGATCTCGTTACTCAGGAGAGTTTTTCGGGCGTAGGAGTGCCCGAGGGCTTTTCATTCGGTCTAGCAGGTGCCTTAGGTTCTGAGATGGGAGGGGAGAAGCGGGGATTGGACGATGAGGGCGATGGGAGAGAGGGGAAAAGGGGACGGTTTGAGATCATCGAGTAAGTTTCATCAGAATGGATACCAGTTTCGGAGACGCTTTTTCTTTGATGCCAATCCCATGGACTTGCTTTTGCGAGCGTTTGGGTATGGCGCGTTGTCCACTCGTACTTCTCACTTTCCTTTACGTATTCTCGTCACGTCATGATCTTCATACCTCATGTTACCATGCTTTACTTTGCGCTTATGCCCGTCTTCATGATATCATATCCTACGCTTTCGTTTCCAATTTCGCCCTTCTTGTATCAAGAATGTTTTTCCTTCTCTTCTTTTTTTTGTTCTCTGTATTACCGTTGTACTCTATTGCTGTGGCATATCGTATACGAATTTAGCTTGTGGAGTCGTCAGATTGGCACAACTATTTGATGGGTTAATAACTTGAAAACGTCGTGGTCTCCTAGCCAGACTAATCAATCGAAGTCGTATTAAGATTTTATGGTATGTTCATGGATGCTTTCCCCATGGCATTAGCGCAAACACTCCGCCATTACCCTGCCGCATCGGGAATTATCGAGCCTGTCAAACAACATGATGCAGTTACCTGAGTCACGTACACACCCTAGATTTTTCATCTTGCCTGGTGAAACTAAGCTCATTCCGGGATAGTGGGTTCTTGCCCACATAAATGTAAGTTCCGATATATGCCGCGTCAGCAATATTGTGGATCGATAAAGCTCCTTCCTGACAAGTATTCCTCATCGAAGATCTGATCGGTGAACTGGCCCGGGGAGTACTCGAAGGTCAGTTTGTTTATACCACACGTATGGATAAGGCAGGTGTCAATGCGTGGTTCTGGTTAGGCAGAAACGTGGCTCAGCTGCCAGGTATTGGCTTGAGATTCCAAGATCTGAGATCGATACTTATCATGATAATAGGACTTTTGCGCGCGAAGGTTTTGTGTACCCTTTTGGCCTCTCAGATAAGCTTGAGTCATCGAGACTTGAATTGAAAAGGTTACAGCAACAGATATCACAATTAAGGGCACAAAAATAAGATGGGGGAATGTAAACAAAAAGCGTACGAGAAACATCAGCAGAAGAAGAGTCACAAAATCATCGACGCAAAGGCATCCAGTATTACGCCTAGAGAACTTGCGCGTTATACAGCTTCGCATACTCGCCATCGCCTTCGATCAGTTGATGATGCGTCCCTCGCTCGACCACGCACCCATCCTTCATGCATCTGCCACGAGGTATCAATTTCATCTGTGGCTAGCACGGTGTTTTTACTTACATGATCTGATCAGCCTCCTTGACAAGATGGTGGAAGCGATGGGTGACAAGGATCATCGTCTTTCCTTGGCGGACATGGTGAAACTGAGTAAGAATATCGCGTTCCGTGATAGCGTCCAAAGACGACGTGGCTTCATCGACTACGACTAGTCTGATGTCTGTGTGATTAATCCTCATAAAAGTTCTAGCACTGATGACGAGGCAATGAAATGAGTAGCTATGACACGGAAGTAACGGCAAAGTACGTACGCTGCAAGTCGTTGTTTTTCACCACCTGTCACCATTTGTTAGTTAGCGAAAACGTGTGCATAAACCGCAAGTACAGACCTGAGATTGTGACTGTCTGCTGGTTATGACGCGCTAATTCTTCCCGTAATCTCTCAGAGATAGTGCCATAAGCTCCGTCGGCCCACGCGTTCCCGATGTCATGAGTAGGTTTCACCTGTGTATCATAGCCATTCTGCAATTTTGAAACCCAGTTCGTGCAACTACCCATTTTGGCTGCTTCTTGAATTTGCTCATCGGTCGCATGAACACAGGATGGCAACCCAAGGCAGATGTTCTCCTTCACCGACATGGGAAACAACAGGGGAAGCTGGGGCAAGAATGCGATTGATGCGCGCACATCATCGGAATCATACGTCGACAATGAATTGTCGTCAATCAAAATTTCCCCTTCGGTAGGATTGGAGAGACGCGCAATGAGCTTCAATAACGAAGATTTCCCGCTGCCATTGACACCGACAACAAGAACAAGCTGACCAGGAGCAATCTCCAGGGTGACATTGTCAAGAGCTTTGTGACTGCATTTCTCGTAACGAAGCGATACTTGTCTATTTATATCATATGCACCAAAGTTAGCAGGTCACCGCATTTGTAGCATGAAGCTCACCGAAAAGATATTTTCATCCCATCCGACGAGCTACATTGTGAGGGATCTGGATAAGACATCGGTCCATTGGATATTTTGCTCTTGTAACCGATAGCGTCGTAGAGCCACTCTGCCTGAAGGCACAAGCTCTTTATCGATGTATTCATCCCATATTCGCCTATGCTTAGGGAAAGCCTGTTGGTCGCTTGTTGCAGCAGAGCAATTGCCATCACAGAAGAAGGGGAAAGACGATAAGGCAAAACCAGCGCATAGACCGCCTTGAAGTATGTTAGTACATCAGACGAGTGACATCCAATAACTTACGAGTGGAAGGTCGAGGGTTAAATTGATTAGGAAGTCCCAGTACCACCTTCTGACCAAACCACCTGCCCAGGGAAGCGGTTCAGTCACAATTTCATCACCGAGCTGCCTAGTCGACTTTCGGTATTCTGCACAACCCGTTAGCATAGGCACGCTTAAATGAACGTTGTCTTACCGGAGTGGATGCTGTTGGTGGCGCCGTTGAGTATCAGTTCCTCTCGATATTGAGGTGAAAATGCCAGGTCATATAGAGCTTTCATTTTCTTGAAAGGCACGTTGAGTGTATAGAAGATGTATCCTACCACGAGTTTGTTTCAGAAAATAGCAATAGTCCTCAGTGACCACGAACCTTGAGTACCGGTAACATTGGATGGTGCCAACCAGCGGACGAGCGGATGAGCAATGCAAAATAGAAACAATACCTCTCTCTCCGGACTTGGTTTGTGTAGTACTGCGTTTATCAAGACGGCTACTTGCGACAATAGGGAAATGGTGGTGCGAGTGATGTGAAATAAACCTTGTAAAAATGACGAGCCCGGTACATCCGACGCAAAGTGGCCCCTCACGGGAAATATTGTGTAACAATCTAAAAAATCATATCACAAAAGGTTTTGAGCAGTCGACGAAGATCTATACCTTGCATCGAAGACGCATCCACACGCATACTGGCTGAAAATATCGTTTATGGTCTCAATATGGATACAATTCTCGATGGATCGCGTCACCTTCAATAAGCTGGGGAAGGAAATGTGCTTTCAAGCGACTATTAATGACGTCGTTCACATGAGCTCTACAGGTAATGATAAGCCAGCCACCCGGACAAAGAAATCATATGAGCGTACAGGCAGCGACTGCAAGTAGGTTCAACGATGGCGCAGAGGAACCCTCCGTAGATGGCAATATCAAGTGAATCGTGAGACACGTTTCCCGAGGACTGACCCTCGACCTGCATAGGATAAGTTTCAGACATCGGATTCGGGCTCATCACTCACAAAATTGACTATGGAACCTAAACAGAAGAGAAGTAGTGCATCGGAGATGCCAAGCCACAGCGTGACACAGATATGGCCGATCAACAGCCCAGGACCTAGAAAATATATTTCTCCGAGAAGCCTCCGAGCATAGGATAAGTTGGTGAAGGAGACAAAATACTGTCCAATCCAAGCTCGAATGTCCGAGGTCCAGTTGAGAGGTGACGGGCTTTCGTAGGCAACTGTATATATGCCGTGACTCAAAGTTCGTGGTGGGGGGTAAGGGGAAGAGACTACATCCAGAATACAAGAAATCATCGGTTTCTTCTCGTCGGCCATAATCGTATACGCGCGAGAAATGGTGGTCTCTGGAAACTATGTGATCGAAGGCACGTATGCTGGGGAGTATTTATGAGTTATTTGAAGGACACACACCGCCTCTTAACTCGTGCCACCGCTACTCTTGTGCTTCGTGGATGAGGCAGCCAATAAATGAGAACCTGTGATTTCTGGAAGCGATCGATTTGACATCGACAGAGTGGTGCAACGAAAGGGCCCACAGATCCACGACCTGTTGCGACACAAGTACGGATGCTAGATGTCAGACACCCCATAAGGAGAAGGGCTGTGAGGATTCAGGAGGGTGTTGTGTGTCCCAGGAGACAAAAGTCCGACACCAATAGGACAATGTGTCCGTGACTGGTGCTTCTCCAAAGTCCTACTAGGCCAGTATGGCCACATGCCAGTGTGCGCGGGTACACACAATAAAAAAATGTTTTGGCCATCATAATAGATGCTCCTTGATTTCTTGTGAGCTAGTAGTATCCAGAAAAGCAGCTTCCTGCAGGTGATATGCATCTTGTAGAAATCGCATTGCACGAGAAAGGATCATCGATGGCCATATCCGAGTCAGCCCGAGGAGGAAAAACGACCACGAACCTCTGTTCGAACAAGTGTGAAAATACTCGTGGAGAAATTGTCAACAACAGTTCATTTCGGTCGTTGAAACTTGGAATGCCCTCATCGCGCCCACAAGCAGCTTGCGTTTGTCACGATGTTTTCGGCTAGGACAACGCTATGATCCAGCAGCGGGGCCGAAAAACCTGAAACCAGCAAATCACTTCCCACATATGGCTTGAGAATAAACACGGACGCTAGCTTTATAAAGTCGTTGAGCTAGCTCAGCCTAGCTGATGGTCGAGCAAAAATATTGATGTCATGACCTTAATGAATAATGCAGCGTGATGACCCGGGCATGTGAAAATTTTGGTGATCAGTATTGTGTTAATAATAATGGGCAACTACGGACATCCTGGGCCAGCGTGTACACCGAGGACACACCGTCGAGATTGAATCGCCGGTCAGACCGGTCATACTTGGGTGCACAAAACAAAGAAGAATGCAAATTGTCGAGACTAATATTACGTACAAGCGTTTCTCGAATCGGAAGCTGTTGTGCACCTAAATTTACTTCCGCGCCAATTTTGAATTGTTAAGAAGTAGCAGTTGAGTAGCAGTGTTGTTTCATAGTATAGCGAGTTTTTGTTGTGTGCTTGAAAAAAAAAGGCCACGTTGCGGCCCTGCGGAACTTCACTGTAACAAACGTTGTCAAGGGGAAGGCTCTTCCTGCCCGATTTACATACAATTATAGATAGGCCGCAATACCGCAACAAACCTGATCTATATTTCCTTTGTGTATTTCAAACAAGGGACTGCTTTGTACCCTCCGGATTCAACCATGAGTTCATTTTCTCCCATACATCTTCCTGCTCCTGTGTCCACTCTTGTGTCTTTTCCCTGACACACGCAACGCACAAGCCCTCGGCGGCCCAGTCTATTTGCTTAATTTGCTCAAGCATTTCGAGTGGTTTGCAGACGCCAGAGTCAGATATTGCGGGCGTTATTACAAGCAACATCCATTTGTCCGCAAATACATCTGTACATGCCATATGAGGAGTTGCAGGCTAAAATAAATAATGAATTAGCACACAGGCTTATGGTCACACGAGAACGGAGCAAGTAATAAATAAAGTAAATCTTCCAACGTTCGGTACTCAGTATTTGATGAAGGCTATAACAACTGAAGCCAGTGGAACATGTCAACAGAGTCATCGTTTGATTAGGATCTCATTTCCCGGTGACTCTCCACAAGTCAAAATATTACTGCGGTGGCTACTTCCTCGGAATCAGATAACAGGAACACGCACCGGTGTGAACAAAACAGGGGTGAAATGTTCCACGATGCCGGTCATCAGGCTTCTGCACCGCTTAACATCTGTAGGGGGTAGAACGAGGCGTGGCGTCGAGGATGACCCTGGCAAGCCATTTGATTTGATGGAATTTTCCAGATCCAAGTCATCGTCCTCAGGTTCGAATTCAGAAGTCGTGACGAGGCTGTAATATATGCCCTTTCGGATCTGGAATAGTGGAATCAGTTTCTCGATATTTTGTGCCAAAACCCTTGGAAATACCGAACGAATGAAAAAAAGTATCCGACAACAGTGAATATTTTGTCCCCCGATCATAAATAAGACAGAATAATCACCGAGACCTAGCGGTTGCCTCCCTTCAAAAAAAGGACCGCAGGAGTTGGACGCTTGCCCATCAGCAGCAGCATACACAAATTCTCCGGAACAAAAAAATTGCTCATGAATAATAGGAACGAGCCACTCCCAGCGTTGGAAGCAACATTCCCAGACGCGAGGAGAACACACAGCCTGAAGCACAGCATGTACAAAATCAGGCATTTACCATGCCACAAGGGAACCCCCTTGGGACACTACATGATCGCCCGCCACGCGTCGGGTAATGTAAGATTTTCGAAGGACCGAAGAGCATGCACAAATATCTGACTGGCCATTGTAATGAACTATCGTGCCACAAAAAGAAACCAGCAAGTGGCAAGCGTATCCAAAGAAGCTCGCTTTTCATAATGATTCCATTCACTAACGCAACAACAAAAAGGAACCTAACAAAAAACACAAGTATGACAGAATGGAGATGAACTCACCGAGGGAATCTGATACGAGTGCGCCAGTGCCAGTGCCTCTTCTAGATGGTTCCTAGGATGTGCGAATGGCTGAGGTCCCTGTGGAAACATCGACACAAAGTAAGCCCGTGCCGACATGTGCACACCAGGCAAATCAAGCTGATCTGGGGAAGAGACACGCAGGATCGCCGCAACATGCGAGAAGGGTGCTTGAGCGGAAAGAGGGCTGCAGGAGCATCAAGATTGTTTTCTGTCAGTTCCACCACGACAGAATGCTCTCACGTATCATGGTATAGATGCTCCAGCAGCGCTGTCAAATCTTGGACTTGAACACCGAGTTCTGGTGGAATCAATACTTCAGAGTCGGCGCTGATCTCGCTATCAAGCATCCTTTGAACAAAGCGAGATTGTCGACGCAGTAAACTCCCATGCAACTTGAAGCAAACCTCCTTATTGCTCATGCTGCGTGATCGAACGACGATGGAGCCATCGTTGAACCAGTATGTAGGATGCTGTCTGACGTTGTGCGGCTCGGTGGTCATGGTCGTGCATAAGCTTGCCTTGCTGCCTGTTGTGCGCCACGATAACCAATATGTCAAGCCTGCAGCCAATGAGACAGGAATGAGTGTGAACAGCGCTCGACGGCTAGCGGTAACGTTTGTCAAGTTTGCCATGAGAGGTATTAGTGGCACACGATGTGAACGGCGTCGTCTCACGGAAGCAAATCTTCGACCTCACTCTGGCACCGTAAACACCATGATGTCAATGCACTAATGGACCTACATACGAAGATACTCAAGGTCCCAAAGGATGTCTATGTTGATGACAGGAACGACTTGAATGTGCCCAAGTCGTAACTGTGCACCCTTTATGTATCAAGTTAAAATGAGTACAATACTGTCTAAGTACACGAAACACTGGGACGAGACATAAAGTACTAGTACAGCACTTTACTCAATCTTTGTATTGAATTTAACAAGACGTCGCCTTGCTTTATGACTTTGTCATATTGTGCGTTCTTGAGCGATGGCCGCGTCGTCTCCACAATACCGTGCACCTTGTCGATGGTGCAATGCAGACGCCCGTTGGCAATAAACCGTGAGAGCTCACTAAAAGAGATGCTCAGAGACAAGGAATATGTATGTGCAGATAATACATGCCTGTCAACGAACTCGACGCTGACGCCAAATGCACCACTAAGACTTTCAAGAGTAAGGCTGCGGTAGGACTCCAGAAGTTGGCTGTATGCCAGGATGCGCATCTCTCGTACATAGTAGCGGGTATGAGGCGAAAGGAGTCGCGAGGGCAGGAGATACGTCTGCTCAAGGGTCGCTGTGGGAATGGACGCGGCATGTCAGTCGTTATCAATCACATCAGACAAGTATAATGTGAGGCTAGACAAGGGTCTCGGAAGTGGATTGTAAGTATGAAAAAACGTACCGAGTGCGACGAAGAATTTTGCGTAGTGACAGTCGTGAAGGTTGTTTAAGAGGTCTCCAAGGATCGGAATTTCGGGCAAAACGGAGATAACCTCTGGTGCGGTAATGAGCTACAGAAAATATGATCAGCAGTGAGAAATACCAGGAGAACAAGCATACCCGTTTCTTGAGATCTACTCGTTTGAGAGTGAGAGCGTTTATGATGATGGTGAGAGCGACGAAGTCGTTGTACGTTGTGAGTTCAGTAGCAGTGAATGTCGATAGTGCATCGAGGAGAAGTGCGCCACCAGCCTTAAGCTGGCGGATGGATATCATGTGGAGCCCGCGGTAGACTTTGAGACGATTACGCCTATCCCAGTCACCACCCTCCTCGATGAATCTGGATGGTATGTCAATTCAATGTCGCGGTAAAGCTTTGCGATAGCGCACCTTTCTGCTTTTGGGAGGTTCTCAGTGATAAGGCCATTATCACCGAAGAAAAATCCTAGTCGGATGAGAGTGAGCACAATATCTATCCTCGAGCCAAGGCCAGGTGTTTTCTCGAGGGCAAGCTTTTGTGCAGCGACTGCACCTTCCTTTATGTATAGATAATATTCAGTACCTGTATGACTTGGCATAGGAAAGACGTACCTTGTCACCAATTCGAGTTAGATGATTGGCTCTAGCTTTCAAAGCATCTGATATCTCAGATTCTCCCTCTTGCTTCTCCGCCTCTGCCAGTCTCTCGTCTAGCTTCTTGAGCTCTTCCTCATTATCTTTCTCCATCGATTCGAGCAACGCAGAGTCAGGCGTTAGAGCACCTGCAGATATTACTAACTTATAATACGGCGACATTTCTGCACACACCACAGATCAAGTCAATAACATTAAGATGATCTCATTACTTACTGTCTGCCTTGATTCCTTCAAGCAACTGTTTTCGTGCATTGTCGTGAAGTTGCCCGAATGTTGGTGAGATAAGAGTAAATAGGTGCTGCGGGAGGCTGAGATTTGGTATCGGAATGATTTCTTCTGCCATGACTGTCAGTGTTAGGGAGCTTTCCTTGGCTTACCTTCGACGCGTCAGTCTCACAAGTTCATGTAATTCCCACGGTGTGAAGACGCGTCACACCTATGAACGCTTTCTACTATAGTACCATCAAAGTACCATAGCCGTAGCCCACACTGAATCATGGCATCTACTCAAGACCTCCTCAAGCAAGCTGCAGATCTCACGTCCTCTAACCCAAAGCGTGCAGAGGAGCTTTACAAGCAAATATTGAATTCTACGGGTGCGCTGAACAGTGTATGTCTTGACTGGTGCTAATCATGGTCTCAGCGTCAACCTCCAAGGGATCGGCAGTCAATGCCGACAAGGAACAGTCTTTGCGTGACCAAGAGTTAGCCTTGATAAAACTCGCAGAGCTCTATCGAGATCAAAAGTGAGTCTTGCAAAGTCTGTTGTTTTACGCAAGCCTCACTCCAGACAGAGATGCCAGTGGCTTAGCGCAAGTCATCACACTCTCGAGATCATTCATGTCTTCAACTGCCAAGGCAAAGACTGCCAAGCTGAGTGAGTGCCTTCTGTTCTTGACCTGCTATACTTCGTTAATGTCTCCCTGCAGTCCGCACGCTTCTTAATTACTTTAACTCTATTCCTAACAGCCGGCAAACCCAGATCGATGTCCTAACCGACAACATTGAGTGGTCAAAGCGCGAAAAGCGCATCTTCCTTAAACATAGCTTGGAAATCCGACTCGTTTCCCTGTAAGAAACACTTCTACTTCTTACGACAATGCTGATCATTGGTGCAGGCAGCTTGAAGCACTGCAGTACAAGTTAGCCTTAACGCGAATCGACGCACTCTTGACAGAGTTGAAAAGGTTAGATGACAAGATGATTCTTACCGAAGTACACTTGCTCGAGAGTCGCGTCTACCGTGGCATTGGAAACCTGTCGAAGTCCAAGGTTAGTCCTTCGAGTGCCATCCCGGTATTCTCATTATGTGCCCTTACGTCCGTGAAATGCAAAGGCTGCCCTTACTTCCGCCAGGACTGCTGCAAACTCAATATATTGTCCTCCTCATCTTCAAGCAGCGTTAGACCTCCAATCTGGTGTTCTCCATGCCGAGGACAAAGATTACACTACTGCATACTCATATTTCTATGAGACTTTCGAGAACATGTCATCGCAGGATGACCCAGCAGCGCTGAACGCACTTAAGTACATGCTTTTGTGCAAGGTCATGTTGAATATGGTGTGTTGTCACTGATCTTGACTCGTCAGTCATTTTGATGTGTGTTCCAGCCCGAAGATGTAACATCACTTCTCTCTATCAAGCTTGCGGTGAAATATGCTCAGCTTCGCGAGATCGAGAGCATGCGTGCCATAGCGCTTGCGCACCAGAATCGGAACTTGTCAGATTTCGAGAAGGCCCTTCGGGATTACAAACATGGTATATTATACTCCATTTACACAACTTGTTGTTGACTTGTCATTGGTACACAGAACTCTCGTCCGACCCTACTATTCGCTCACATCTCGCAGCGCTTTACGACACCCTTCTCCAGCAGAATTTGCTGCGTATCGTTGAGCCGTACTCGGTGGTAGAGATTGACTACGTTGCCAAACAGGTCGGGCAAGGACGGCAGGACGTTGAGGCCAAGTGCGTATTGAATCGTCTCTGTGAAAAGTAGTTAATATCGTGTTTTAGGCTATCTCAGATGATCTTGGACAAGGTGTTCCACGGCGTGCTGGATCAGGGACGAGGATGCCTGATCGTATTCGATGAGCTAGAAGCTGACGTGTGTCCTCTCTTCTCACTCATCTCATTCATGCTCATACTTTTTTTCAGAACACGTATGGTGCAGCAATTGGGACCCTGGAACAAGTTAGCAAGGTCGTAGACTCGTTGTATGCCAAAGTACGTCTGTTTATTGTTCCTGGCCGCTGGTCTATGCTTACGAATATCATTCAGACTGTCAAGATTGCATAGATGTAGTTGTTTATTCCTACACGTGAAATTTAACACGATGCGTATAATTAAGAGGGGGAAACGGCCACACTAGGTCAATGGTCGCCATATATGTGCTGGAAATCTGAGACCAGGAGCGTGCGTCGGTGCTGCACAGCATGACGGGGTGGACGCAATTGACACCGAGCCGACGGCAAATCGTGCTTATATATGTTAGAAACCATAACCCCTATGTCTCTCACATCTCGCACATCATGCCTCCCATTGCCAACCGACAAAAGCTTGCAGACCTAACTGTAGGAGATACAACCAAATTGCTTCATAGGCTCGAGGAATTTCGTTCTGACCTTGATGAAGCTCTGATCGATAAACTCCGAGAACCGCATGACAATTTGGAAGACGTTAAGGTGATGTGAATGATGCTGAATTGTTCACAGCGCTGATCAGCCTCTCCTTAGGACGTTTCCTTCTCTAAGGTGGATTCAACAATGCTTCCTTCATTGGGGATATCGTCTGGTCTACTTCCTCTGGCCAGCGACAAGAGGCAAGAAGCCGAAACCCTTGGATTCACCGAAATACCAGGCTGTCTTCCGATTGAGACTACACAATTTCTGATACGTTTAGTGCGCGGCCACGTCGCAACGGTGGTATGTTACCGTGGCTGATTTCCATGGTCGACTGTATACTCATTTAAACTCCAAAGACGGAAGCTGGATGTCACATCTTGATCAACATACTCTTGTTGAGAGTTGTATCGGTCATGTGTTCGGGTACCACGACGGTGAACATAATTCCAGAATTCCCTGTCCCTATTGGGAGGGGACTCCCCTCTTGGGGGCCCGCAATCGTTCCTTCCGCATGGGGCCCGTCGGGGGGGGGTCGCTTTCAGGGTGGTCGTTTCGTCCGCCTCAGCGGGGGTCGCTTGTGGTCGCCTTTGTCATCGCTTATCAATGGACTCTTGTCATCCAAGTGGCGCATCACCTTAGTCATCGCTTATTAATCACTTTTTTGTCCGAGTCCAAAACCATGCTCCTTGTCGATGTCATTCCATCCATGGTCTCACGACATCATCGCATCAAGATCCCGGCGACATATGACCAAAATACTCGAAAATCATGGACGCGTTTTCATCAGACCGTGGGAAATTTTGGCCTCATATCTTTGTCGTGCTCCTCGTCTTGCTCTGTCCATCCATGGTCTTGTGTCATCTTCTCGTCGTATTCCCGGCCGCATACAGTCATAATGCTCAGAAATATGGTGCAAAATTCAAAAAATATAAATTGGCAATGGCAGGAATTGAACTCAAGATCTCAATACGATGATCCATCTTTACCACTCAACCATAATGGCTTTTACTTTCCTAGCTCACAACGGCATATATCGTAATGTGATCTCTAATAAATCTCTTATGGCTTGCAAATGGTAGGAATGAGTCACATGCTTACAAGGGTAAAGGCCCCTCAAAGTGGGAAAACATGTCATGCTTGTGGCGCAAAGCACCGAGTTCAGAAGCTTATAGTCGTACCACCAGTATTGCCTACTCGGTGTGGTTTGTCATAATGCAGTGTAGAGACTGACATATCTGTAGCCTCATAGCAGCCATATCCACAACTTGTGCTAAACACCTCTCCAATCATTCCCTATGCAAAGTGCAACTCTTCCGCACCAAGCGTGCGCTACTTTCCTACACCAAGCGCTGCATTCTTGTATACCACCAGTATACCATGTCCCCACACTTCATAAAGCAAAGTACTACATTTGCAGTCCCCATCGCTCTCACATATGAGCATATTCTGTTGGCAGGAACCTCTGTGTCTAGGAGTACGTTCAGATACTGGTCTGTCTTTTGTATCCATTGCTGATAGTCATGTCATGGTTTAGCTATGGCTGGACAGGCTCGGCTCTTACTGGTTTTCCAGCAGTTTGGTGGTCTCCATGAACCAAGTCACCTATGTGCAACTTGGTCCAGTCCGCAAGCCACCTGGACCAGCACGAACCAGCACAAGCCAACAATATGGGAACAACGGCTTGAGCTAGCTTCAAGCCACCTCAAACTGTTATGACTTGGATAGGTTGAGCCTTCTGCAGTTGAATAGCTGATCTCGAGTGGTCTTGCATAGGTGGAAGGATGAGTTCTAAGCTCAAATGTCTAATGAGCGAGCCGGGTCATGTAAGCAGCAAGTCCATCAAAACAACTCACCAAAGGTTGTGCATCCAATAGCACTCATCTACCAAGAGTCTGCATCTTCCGCAATTTACCAAGTTGGTGGATAGTTTATTACCTTCAAAACAAATCAATCAGATAGGTGACATTGTGTACTGTGTACCTTGTACTACAGCAATAACATGCTCTGCAGTTGAAAGAGGGCTTAGAAATACAGGTGATCCACGGCATTGTACCTAGGATAGGAAATGCTCTAGCGTGGTGCCATCGGGAGCCATAATCGCATGATCTCATTCATGATGATGCACGACTAGTGTGAGCTGTCAATGGAAGGATTGGCTTCTGAGGTCAGGAAACACGGATGGCTTGATGAGGTTTAACATTTCATGTTTCTCCTCTGGCTGTTGAAGCCATATAGGAGCAAGAAGTATTCACGTCCCATAGCGAGTCTGCCAACATCAATGCTCTTTTAGAACTAAGGGCCAGCAAAGAGGAACATACACGAGTGGATTGTGTGAGGTTCTCTACATGGTAACTGGCATCATAACTTGTAAGTGAGATGAAGGTTAAACGAGTCACTGCTGGCACCTCATTCGTGATCATGACTGCCCAGTCTAAACCAAATGAGAGATTGCTCGGAACAAATAGGGCTGTGGACTGTAGCAGTCTGTCATGCCAGAGTGTTAAGAACGTGCTCAAGGGTCAAATCCGAAGGGCTTGGCTTCAGCTCGTGCGCTGCGCCCCTTACCCGAGTACGTGCCCCTAACTTCCGAAGGCTGTCGAACAATATCCGAAGGTTACCGGACGATGTCCGGAGGGCGTCGGGCGATGTCCGGAGTCCGATGTCCGATGCACGGGAATTCCGGCGGACGTTCGGGAACAAGAGATAAGACTAATCCGGACAAAGTCCGAACTAGAAAGGAAACAGCGGAGGACTACCAAAGGTAGAGGCGGAGGTGATAAGTCAATCCTAAGACGAGCGGAGGTCGACGAGAGGATAACTCAAGTCGGACGGAGGAAGGAATGAGCAGAGTCTAAGATAATATTCGAACTAAAGATGTACATAGATTCTACAGGGTTTATATACTACTAAGATGCGAAGTCCAAAGCTATACAAAGCGGTGGACGGAGCGTATAGAAAAGTCAAACGCTAGTCTATCGGAAAATAGTTAAATGAACCCGGAGATTAGATCAGAGGAAAATAAAGGGCGGAAATGAAACGAGGTACGGAAAATGATTTAGTCTAACCGGAGTAGGAACATACAAAGGGATAAGGCACGGAAGTTAGATGCGGGTCGGATCCGGACATAGATAGACGTCAGCCGGATCCGGAAATGATATGTGATAAGTCTGGGTCTGGAACGCGGGATATGACACAGAGGCACTTGACAATCAACAATACATATTTGATGGCAACTGCAGTCTGGTCAGTGATCACTTGCAATGGAAATGAGGCCACTCACATATTGGATTCCCATACATGAACAACGAGATAGTGACTCAGGGTGACATAGTTATAGCAAGCCTACCAGTGGCTCAAATGTTGGATCTCTCCATGAGCAACATTCCAAGGACAGTGCGAGCTGGAGGGTCCTGCTCAACTTAAATCAGCCAAACGAATGATGATACTCTAAGAAGCTACCAACCGTGACATCTAGGGATGAAAGGGGAGGCGAAGTGGGACGAAGATATATACCTGCCATACTACTGCGGATAGTAAATCAATCATTCTGTGTCGTGTATGTCCAACTGAATCTTGATGAGATTCACTGGTCACATCAGTAAGGAACTGTAGCTTTTGGCAGACAGTTGAGTCATATCCGGTGTGTACTCACGTTCCATGCGGCAACAACTTCAAGTTCACACACAAGCTCAAACAGTGTCACATGGAAGCTGAGGCATTCATGTATATTGGACCAATATTGGACTACATAGTAGTGTTTATATAGAGCACAAGGGTATTGAACCCCATCATTGAATCAGTCCAGGCCCAAAGCTGGCCATTGTCAATGGAATCATGAGCCCTCCCCCAACAACAAGGATCAGCCCGCATCCTATCCTTTCGGACAAGGGAAGGCCAAATTCAACAGTGAAGATCCCTGCTAGAACTCCAATGATGGCAAATGCCAAACTCTAGTGCGCCTGTCAGTAATGACTCATTGCGATGAATACCTTATTTCACCTCATCAGGAATGTGAACATCAGTATACTCACAAGGATCACAAAAGTGCCCATCTCCTCTTGTAAGTAATATGCCTATCCAATCGATATTGTCAGACCAGGCTGCAAACAAAAAAAAAGAAGATGATCGCACTGAAAAGTCAAGGTATCTCAAGCTTTGAACCAATTGTTGTGCAATTGCACACCCGATGATGCTGTAGACACAGAGAATGAAGGAGATGGAACACAATGCCTTCATAGCCAGTTGTGTACCTAGACCTGGGACTGCAAGGATGCTGGCATTGACCGCCATAATGACACTTGCCTGTCAGACAAATAGTAAGTGTTCTCAATTAGGCCACGATGTAGCACTCACCACGGTAGTTTGAGCTTTGGCCTGGGCGCTGAAATCATCAGTAAATCTCCTGATGTCCACCCCATTTATGAGACCATCAACATAAACATGTTTAAGACGATCTAGCATTAGGAATGGAATCCAAAACATAGCAACTGCAGTGCCAGTCAGGAAGGGAGACTTTTTGAGGGGTCCACGCTTCCCGGCCACCGAATGCACATCAAGCGCACTTCGGGTTGGCCATGGTGATTTAGGTATTCGTGATGGCCTTTGAATATTCAATCAGGATATGTCTGGTATGAGAAATAGCATCGTACGGAGAATATATGCTAATCTGCCTGTTCAAGATAAATTTATAGTTCCAGTCTTTCCAAGGCTCACGTACCATAGATGACGGTACATGTTCCATCCATAGCTCCATCATGTCTTGCAAAGTCCTCTGTTTTGGTCATCAACTTGAAGATGTAGCTTGAGATCAGCGTGCATGCCTACAGCGGCCATTTCCTTCATTTTGTCGGTGTAGAGAATCATGCCTCTCATGGTGTGATATGGCACTTTACACTAGGAAGTATACAGCACAAACTTGCAGCATCATTCTGTGTGCTATCTGCAGCGATTCCTATATGAGGCGCAGCTTTCCCGCGCTTCACGATGTATATGCGCGCACGCGTTCCCGCGCTTGAGTGCCTTATAGCACCAGCCATCTAGAAGCATCCATCCACTGTCCACCAAGCCCTCTAGTGCGTACATTTCCATTTCTTTTATTAGCATATCATTCCACCATTATTTTTATTATGGTTTCTCACTCATATATATCTTTGCATACCTACTCGGTAGCGCTTTGGCTCCGCATGACCACGCTTAGGCGCGCTATATAAGTGCCAGCAGTACATACTATTAGGGATCTGACTTTTCCTACTTTGCACTTTTCACCTTACTTTAGTTACTTTCCACCCACTTACTACCTAGAAACTCGCAGTAGAAATCTATTTGTTTACACTTCGCATCACTCTTCTCTTATCTTATATCATATCATCACTTAAGTTTAGTCTCTCTTATTTCCACTTACGCGCGCGCGTTCCTGCACCTTGCGCGCATCTGCGTTTTCTCGCGCTTCGCTTCCGTGCATACCCCTAGATCTTCGCTGTACTCACTTCCCCTTTAGGGTCGAACACACTTGTCTCCTCAAGTAACGCAGACTAGGCAACGTACGACCTTACAACTTTTACAGATACAGTCAGGAGCATCATTTGTTCCTCTTTGTATTGTAGTTTCTACATCAGGTTTCCAAAATATCAAAGCCGCCATTGAGCGTTCCATGGTGGATGCTTCTATTTATTCCTCAGGTTCGTCTTGTTCAGGCGCTATAATGCTGAAGAACTCACCCACACGATACCAATTCAACTTAATGCACAAAGTTCTGACATCCTGGAGAGGTATGTCAATCCCGTGGGGAAAGTACTTGGCGTGTTTCCTGGTGCAATTGAAAATGGTTGCTTCCATCAGAATGGCGATCTTTAGCTCACCAGTACTGAGTGTTACGACAAACGGTCGTGTGCG